TTGGCAGCCTGACTGTGAACCAGCCAGGACTTGCAACTTCCTGCCGGTTTCCCCAGTTTTTGGTTGTTGGAAGCTAGCAGGAAGTTGTGATGAGATACTCACTTAACAACCCATGATCTTCCTTGCTTATTGATGGCAACAGGAACTGTACATATAATCACTTGATATCATGTTTTAAAACTATTTTTTGTTTAGCAAAGGAAATTCCAATTGCTATTGTAACTCAAGGACAACCTGTTGCATATCAGCTTGAAGATGGGGAATATCTGACAGATGGTGATTTTGTCTTATTTACAGATTTTCAAGGAGTCTAAAATACTAGACTTTTTGTCATTTTCCTTTTTCTCTGCTTTCTTCACATCATTTTTTTTATCAGAACAAAAGTATTTCATGATTTTACATGATTTTCACATTGGTAGTAATAAAAACTTTCAATTTCAAAGTGCCATTACTCCAGGCACACTACTTCAGGCAAACATAAGCATGATGGAAATGAGAATTCAATGTATGTAATCATGTCTTAATCTTCAGAGGGTCAGACAGAAGAATTCAATTATGTAAAAAACAAAATCCTGGACACTAAGCTTTTTAAAAAATGATATAATGAGGAAAAGACATAATAAAAATAAGAAAATTTGTACTTTGAAATAAATGGACTATTATGTTATACAGTTCATATTTCAAAATGGTTTAGTATACATGATGACAATTTGCTATTTCAACTCTTTTAAAAACATTTGGGATTGAAATAAGAATACATTGCTTACATCCATCAGAAACAACATGTTTCATGTTTTGTGGTAAACATACCCATTTGTGAAAAGCTGTGATCTCTAACATTTTTATTTAGCAATTTGTGAAAAATATTTTCTACTAACTTTCAGTTCTGAAATTTTGGTCACTGGGTTTTCTAAGCTTCACATAGGTCCTAGAGTCGTTCCTTGTTTATTCAAACTCTTTATTGTATACATTGGTAGGGCCCACATGTAGCTTGGAAAATATTCCATGCCAAAAATGGGATGGGATTCATAAAATCCAGATTAAGGTTAGTGCATATTTTAAGTAATTGCTATGTTAGGCAAATAAAGCATAAGGGTTTGATTAGAACAAATGTGATTTGGGTATATCTTCTGTTAGACAAATTTTATTCTACTGCATTTCTTTAGAATCAGGATATCTAACTTTGTTGTAAGTTTTATTCTGCAGGTATATTTGTAATGTAATTATGATTGCAAGCATCTTAGCATTTCATTCTAATTTAGATACTAAACATATTTTCTTGGGAGGAAAAAGCCGTTAATTTGGGGATGTTTGCTCCCAAGAAAGATGGTATGCATAAAATACATTAGTTTGATTTAGGACATCTTACAAGAGGCACTTGGTTTTAATGCCTGAAAATACTGTTGTCTGCTTCCAAGTGAGTTAAATCCAAATAAAATATACTGAGTTTAATGGCACATTCCCCAATAGATGTACATAAAATGATGTAGGGTAGTATTCCCTTCTGAAAGCACCATTTTTTGTTGTAATTCACAGGGACTGTAATTCAAAGGGATTCATGGAATTTCAGTCCCAGCATATCTGGAGAATACCAGGTTGGAGAAAGCTACTTTAATGACATTAAAAGATTATTAAAAAAAACTGGTATAAAAATGAGTAAGTTATGGACATCAGTGGAATAATATGCCATTCAGTGAATGTTTCCGTATAGCAATTGTGATACTATTTACAATGCCTCTTACCTTCAGTACTTAGTAAACAGGCATTCATCCTGTTCTGTGAAAAATTAACCTCTAGACTCTACAGGATGAAAATAAGTCAGCTTTCACTAGTACAGTTCAATCCTCCTAATTAAAAAAAATCGCTAATTAAAGCTTTTTAAAATTTATTTTATTTATTTTTAAAAAATTATATTGCCACCTACTCACCCATGGTGACTCAAGGCCACTTATATAAAAACATCATATAAAAATAATAAAAAACAATAATAAAAAACAATAACATAATAAAATAATAGCCACTCACCCAACCCCATCCTGGAGAAAACTCATGTACATACAAGCCATTTAATGGGCTCCATCCCACTCTGGGTTCCCCAGGCCCGCTGGCAGAACCATGTCTTCAGCCCCTTCCGGAAGAATGTTAGAGTGGGGGCCAATTTAATCTCTGGTGGAACGACAGAGAGAGCCACCACGGAGAAGGCCTTTCTTCTGGGTCCCGCCAGATGTCTCTCCCTACAGGATGGGACGCGCAACATTCCTTGCCTTCCTGCTCTAGTGGGTTGGATAAATGTGACTATCAAGAGACGGTCCCTCAGATAATCTGCAAGCCATGAAGGGCTTTAAAGGTGACAACTAGTCCCTTGAATTGCACTAGCCTAGAAAGCAGGAGACCATGAGTTCAAGCCCTGCCTTAGCCATGTGTGACCTTGGTCTAGTCTCTAATCTCTCAGCCCAACTCACCTCCCAGGAAAATAGGAGGAGGAAGGTGTGTTAGATATCTTTTCTGCCTTGAGTTATAAAAGTAATAAAAGGTGGGATACAAATAAATGAAAACAATACAGGCAGTTCTCATTTAACATCCACTCATTCAAAGTTCAAAGTCATGGTGCTAATTTAGGGTACTTACAAGTCCTCGTAGTTGCAGCCATTGCAGCGTCCCTACGATCACATGATCACAATTCAGGAGGTTGGCAACTGGCTCACAATTACAATGTGCCAGCATCCTACAGTTACATCATCCTTACAGGTAGTCCTCAACTTACGACCACAATTGAGCCCAAAATTTCTGTTGTTAAGTGAGACATTTGTTAAGTGAGTTTTGCCCCATTTTATGACCTTTCTTGCCAGATTTGTTAAGCAAATCACTGCAGTTGATAAGTTGGTAACCTGACTGTTAAGTGAATCTGATTTCCCCATTGACTTTGCTTGTAAGAAGGTCACAAAAGGGGATCACATGACCCTGGGACACTGCTATCATCATACATATGAACCAGTTGCCAAGCATCTGAATTTTGATCACGTGACCATGGGGATGCTGCAAAGGTTGTAACTGTGAAAAACGGTCATAAGTCACTTTTTTCAGTGCCGTTATAACTTTGAATGGTCATTAAACTAACTATTGTAAGTTGAGGACTACCTGTATTTGCAATCTTCAATGCTGGCAACAGTAATAGGGATTGCAGGAACAGCCATCGTAAATCGGTGCGATCGTGTTGTTACACCTTACAACCATATTGCTTAACACTGAGTTTCCCAGTCCCAATCACCATTGGAAAGAAGTATTGTAAATACATAGGCAGCAGCTAAGATGAAACCATAATAGCAATAGCACTTAGACTTATATACCGCTTCACAGTGTTTTTACAGCCTACTCTAAGCAGTTTTACAGAGTCAGCATATTGCCCCCAACAATCTGGGTCCTCATTTTACCCACCTCAAAAGGATGGAAGGCTGAGTGAGTCAACCTTGAGCCTGGTGAGATTCGATCTGCCAAATTGCAGGAAGCTGGTAGTCAGCAGAAGTAGCTTGCAGTACTGCATTCTGACCACTGCGCCACCAAGGCTCATAAACAAACATCCAAAATTGAACATCAACAGAACCATCTCATGGACTCTAGCCAATGTTCTGACTCTCATACTCAATGATACAGCCACATCATCAAAGTCTTATGAAAGGCCAGCATGGCTGTACTCCCAACCGTCTTATCTCTGGGATGATGATGCTCCAAAGGGCAGACAAAACAGGAAAGGCTCTTCCTGGACCCCACCAGAGGACATTCTGGAATGGAGAAGGCCCATAGTCTGCCTCTCCTGTTGGATCTGATGGGATGACTACATAAAATAGGGGAGAAACTATCCCTCAGATAACCCAGGTCCCATGCCATGAAGGACTTTTTACATTTTTAAAAACTTGTAGCTAACAAAGTAAAGCATTGCTTACCAATGATTGATTGCCAATTCTGATTTCAGTTGCTATTTTTTCAAATCCTCCTAGTATATGTGCTGCATATATTATAGATATGGTGAAAATATTTGTCTTGTAATGTAATCCTCTCCATAGTCTGAAGTATTTGATTGATTTAATTGCAGCAAATAGATATGATCCTAAAAGGAAAGTAAATATCCTTCACTAAACAAAGTAAGATCACAATTTATACATGGATCATGATAAGTTTCCTTACCACAGTAATTAATTTAAGCAATGGAACAGACTGGATAATGCAGATTTGAATTTATATGTAATAAATTAAAAGACTGCTTATTTTTCAAGCTTAAGGCAGCTTTCAATTATGCCTATTTTGGAAATGCAAAAATGGGAAAAGATTTTCTACTTGTTGCATATGGAAGGAACTGTAGGCAAAAAGGCTATAATAGAAATAACAACGGCACTTTTAGGAACACAGGAAAAATAATACGTGTAAAATAAACGAATTCATGTGGGACACAACGAAAACCCCATATAGTATAGCGTACCCTGTTAGGATTAAGTTCAACTGAGTTCTATAGTATTTACTTCTATGTAACCTCCTATATATGAGGAACCTATCTAAAGTGAGTTCGGAAACTGCCCGGGAATTAAGCCGTTTAGGGCTAAGACATCGGAGCTGCAAAAATTAGGACAAAAAAATACAGGTTTTGTATCCCGTTGCTGCCAATTGTAGATCATCCGAATAAGTGATAAATGGTAGTAACACTAGGTGGTATGGTAACACACGCAAAGGATTTTCCGGGGACGGCTTTATTTACTGAGTCCTGGATAGCAATCAGATTTATTTTAAACATCTTTCGAACTTACGACCATTATACCTGCTATACCAAGATGGATAAAATACGAGAATTTTTTTTTTTATTGTTGCATTTATTGTAATAAAATTGCCCCGCAACTTTCTAGCATTTTCGTGCTCCGCTCTTCCAAAGGTTCCGCTCTTTGCTTTTCTTCGTCTATGATGTCATACTAACGCTCTAGGAATGTCGGGAAATGTATTTTGTAGGCCCTGAGAGTTACAAAAACGCATGCGCGGAAACTAAGGAAGCCACCATTTTGAACGGAGGCGATTTGAGGTTTGGGCTCGGGTTTGCTTTGGTGGGGGTGCGTAGCCGTCCCCGCTTGACCACCGGAATGCTTGGCGAGCGAGTAGCCGATTTGTTTTGAGGTTAGTCTGCAGATGCGGGTAGAAAGTTTCTTTGGGTAGAGCGACGCTGAGGCAACGGCCGCGAGGAAGCCTCTGAATTGCACAGCGTGAGGGAGAAGAATTGGGGTGGTGGGCAGATGCTTGTTTTCTGTGTGACGCGTGTTTACGGAGAGGATATATCCGCCCGCCTTGGCCAGTCTTGGACGACGGCTCCCATTGCTCTTAGCTGTAAGGGCAGTGGCTTTGCCGTGGGGGATGGGACTTGTAGTCCAGAACCTACGAGTGGGAGAAAGTGGAGGCAAGCCCTTCATTGGGGCTCTGCTTTTGTACCTCAGCTGTCACTCGACTCATGAGGAGATGTAGGATTGACATGCCCCCCCCCCCCCGTGATAATGGAGCACCTGGTGATAAAAACAAAGGGAAGCATAGATGGCGTGGCCATAACTGTCACACGGGCAGATCATTTGGAGGGGCTGCCCTGCCAAAATCCGGATCGAGAGTCTTAGCTAGCACATGGGACCTTTTAGAAAAGGGGCAAGGCTAAAACTATATATGACTTGGGATCTTAATTCTGAAGTGGAAAGGGCTTACTTTATTTTGAAGATGGCTGTTGTGTGTTTTCAAAATAAGCTGCGACCATTTCGTTGCTCAATTTCTTCACAACTTTTTATTTTTTTTTCCAAAGCAATTGAAAGTTAACCTAGGTAGCAAATGTGTGATAGTGTATACTGTCATTGAAATATATATATAAAAAAAAAACACCTTGATGCCAAAGCATTTTGTAAACTGAAGAATATATTTTATCCTTTCACAATCTCTCACTAATTTTATAATAACATTATTTTATTATTTGGAAAGTACATTTACATAGAAGAAAAATAGGTTGGCTACAATGGGTGTATCCTCAGTTCAGCATGTTTAGCTTCAATCATTGCATGAGTAATGTGTGGTCAAAACATGGAACATATTTTATATAATATTTTAAATATATTTTATTGTTTTCAAGATGCTTCATGCTGTGTGTAAGTCAAGATACTTTGAAAATCAAGATGTCTCAGTAGCTGAGCCCTCTTCTAAAAGGATGAAATCTGCAGAAGAGCCTTATGGTAAATCCTATGATGAATTACAAAGACTTCATGAGGAAATACATATAAAAAAAACCCATTCTGGCTTTATTCCATTGTCGCTATCTGATGATGATGGTGAAGAGGAGAAGAAGGAAAGAGAGAGAGAGAAAAATGCAGAAGTGTTAAATTCATTTAACCAAGTACCTCCTGGTCAAACACCAAGTTCAACAGATCTTTCAAGTTTAGTAAACAAAACTAAAATTAAAGGAAATGAATATTCTTCTTTTACTGATAACAGCAATGTAGCTCATAATGGAGATAACAATTTCATTAGTGAACATAAGAATAAAGGAAAAATGGAACTGTACAGCACAAGCAAAGCATTTATTGGACCCATTTATAAAAGTGAAAGTAATTGTGAACATAAACAAAAGCAAACGTATATTGAAAACAACTGCCCAAAGAGATCAAATACAATTACTGGTAGAAAGTCTCAGAAAGAAATAGTGCAAGCTATCTCCTGTGATATGCCAAAAATAGAAGATGAATTGTCACAGTTCTACAAGGAAATTGATCAGCTTGAAAGTAATGAAAGTTGTCCAGATACTCATTTACAGGAGACAGAAGCAAATTCACCTTATCCACCTCTGGACTGTAGTAAATCAAATCAAGTAAAGTATGTAAAATCTCAAGAATGGTCTCATAAGACATTACTTAAGGATAATGAGGAACAATATTTTTATAATGAATCAAATAGTTATAGAACTGGCAAAGACATTTGTGATGACCCAAATGGTCACAGAACTGGCATGGAACAAAGTGAACATGGAAGAGATGCATGGGAAACCGAACAACCATGTAATAAACAAGATTTTAGATCCTGGAATGATTTTGTACCTCAGTTTAGGCATACTGGCCAGCAGACTAATCCATTTGTAATACCTTACAACCCACCACATCCATTTACTGCTCACTTTAATTTTCAGAACTCTAATTCCTTATCACTTTGTTCAGATGGCTTCAATTCTTCAAATACAGAATTAAAAAAAAATAACACGAACAGTTCAGAATGTGATCAAAGTAATCCATATAGTAATCACTCTAATATTCATAGTATGCATACAATCAGAAATGAATGTAGTGTACCTGATGGATATATGTTTAATGGTTTCTGTGAAACTCAAGCAAATTGGAAAAACAGTAAAGCTCACAATTTTGAGGACTCAAATAATGTTCCCCAACAGCATCCTCAGGGCAAATTATATGAGTTTAACAAGCGGCTTTTAATATTAAGAGGACTTCCAGGCTCTGGAAAGACAACCTTAACTCAGTAAGTGAACCATGAATTTATTTTAAGAATAAAATACAAGTAATTTATGTTGTGGATTTCCTTTTTTATACTGCTCCTTCCTCTTAAACTCTTCCCCCTCTACTTATTCCCTCTATCTCTAGATCGAAGTCAGATTTTTTCAGTGGTTGGCCAATGGTCTTAAATTATGCATCAAAATGTACTCTTTAACTTATTGTTTAAGTTCAAATATCAACCCAAGTATTAACATTTTAGAAATAAAAACACCTTGTTTTAGCTATTTGAAGATTGTGAGCTTTGGACAATTTCAGATCAGCTAGTTCATCTGTATTTCTTTTTTTTGTTTAAAATGAAAAAAGTATATGGGAGTATGAGCAAATAGATGTGCAAAAAATTAAAAGATAAAGACTGAGTAATTCCCCTTCAACAAAGCAAAATTTAAAGTTGTTGAAATTATAGAGTTTTTAGATAACTGGTGTTAGTATTAGGTTTATATAACTTTTAACTTCCAGCCAAGAAAATGGGCCTATGAACATACAGTGACTGGATTCCTCAAAAGGCCTTTCTGAATGTTATCTGTAAATCATGTTTTCTTATTATTAGATTACATTTCAATGATTATTTCTTTCATTAATTAGAATATTCTGTAAAATTTGGGAAATAATTTGAATTAAGATCGCTATAAATAAGTTTTAATGTAAATAGCATACATTCTTTTAATGTATGTTTAGGGAAATGGGTCAAAGTATTTTTGTTGAAATATAAGTAACTGAGCTAGAACAAGTGGACTGGTTTCTAAGTGTTTTAGAAAGACCATTTTTGAGGACTTGTTAGAAATGTTTATATTAATAATTTTCAGCTTAGTCTGCATGAGACCTGTATTTACCTGAATTTAAACTATAAATGTACATTGGCTGTTTATTGGTTATCTATGCAGTCTAGTTTTTTTTTTTAAAAAAATGGATGGATGGATAAAAGGATAAAAAATTAGTTTTGGGAACTGTTGTAGTCCTAAGATGTCTGTCAAAAATGTATTGGAAATGTTTTACTAAATTTCAATATAAGATTTTCTGTTTTTCCAAATCAACAGTTGGCTATGTGGTAATAGACTTTCTTTTTATTCTTTGACAGTATTCTTCTTGGTCAGAGCTGTAGTGGCATTGTATTCAGTACTGATGATTACTTCCATCAGATCAATGGATGTTGGAGCTATAATGTTTCTCAGCTTGGTGCTGCTCATGAGTGGAATCAAAATCGAGGTGTGAAAATATTAAGATATGTTAATGTAGAAACATGTACAATGAAATATGCACTTAAATTGGTATTATAAATATGAGAATTTGTAACAGATTCATTGGTATATGCAATAATATCCCCATAAACAGTAGGGAATTTGAATTTATAGCATGGTTCCTTACTATTTTTTTCTTTTATGGGAAGTTTTGGTAAATGGAAACTGTCTTGTGCCTATCTTCTCTATAAGTGCAGACAAATCTAAAATGTTAAGGGTAAAGGCAAACCAAGTTAAGCTTAGTACTTTTTCTTGCAAATTGTACTTTTCAACATGATCAATAATTTTCTATATGAACAATCACTTGACCATTCATATATAAATGCAGATTTGGGGCATCTTTGAATATTTAATGGGAAGGGTGAGGCAATGTAGATAATAACTGTACAGAAGATGTAAAGGCTATCAAAACATTTTGCTAGATCTTATGAAATTAGAAAATGTTTATGATATTAAGTATAGTCTTCAGAATTTAAGAAGAGCTAAATCAAGCAGTGACTAGTCTAGTCTAGTCTATCATTCTGTGCCAGTGCTTAGTCAACCGGATATATTCAAACAGGAACAGGGAGATGATAGGCCTCTTCAACTTTTATTCTGTCAGGAGGTTTTCAAAATTATTTTTGCTAAATTATTTTAGCTGCCATTTATTTAATTGAATTCTTATGTATTGCAGCAAAAGAAGCAATGGATCTAGGAAGATCCCCAATTATTATAGACAACACAAATACGCAAGCCTGGGAAATGAAGCCTTATGTGAAAGCGGTAAATAAAGTAGCCACTTTTAATGGAGATTCACTTTTATAAATTAATTATATAAATCAAATTTCTGTAAATGTATTAATCATTTTTGTCATACATTTCATCATGTGTTAAAAATCTCAATAAAACTTAAAACTTTTACTGGAATAAAAATATGTTAAATATGCTGAAATTGAAATACAATCTTATACATGTCGTCTTAAAAGAAATCCCATTATACATAATAGGACTTATTTCCAATTTGGTATATAAGGATTGCAGACAAGATCAGAAAAACTTATTATTTGATTCCTTTTATAATTGTAATTCTTGTTTGCTTAGGCTCTAGAAAAAGGCTACCATGTGGAATTCCATGAACCTGATACATGGTGGAAGTTTAATCCTGAAGAACTAGAAAAGTAAGACTTAAATTATACTTTACTCATTTGAAAAAAAAAATGTATGAGACTTGAGAAATATGCAACTTGAAACTTTTGAAAACTTTTATATAAACTTGAAATTATCTTTTTTCCCTGCTCCAAGACTAATTTCTTTTCTAGGCTTTGTGAAATAGAATGACACACTGTGCTTTCACTTGGATATTTTATTAATTTTTAATTATGCTGATGCTTGTAATTAAGTAAGGTGGATAGTTCAGTTACAGTGACAGCAGAATTGCTGTACAGTTACAGCAATGGGTGCACCTTTGGAGGTTAGGAACAGATCATGGTAGAGGAAATTTATCTATGTGATCTCTAAGAGTCAACACCAACTTCTTGGTATACATCTTATAACTACAGTTTCCTTTTATGCTCATAGAGTTTCATTCACAATCTCCTTTTGTTATTCAATTGATCCACAAATTCCCTAGGGCTTGCAGGCTACATACAAGTCCTATTATTGACTTGCCCCAGAGGTCCATTCAGGTATTACAAATCCAATATATCAGTGGTACCCTGTGCCAGGATACTTGGCAGCAGTTAAACAAAGGAAATGAAGAAATATTTCATGCTGCTGCTACTTTTTTGAACATCTTTTACATTCAAAATCACTGCTCAATTGATGTTTTTCCACTTAAATATATATTGGTCCTTGCAATTTTTTTTGAAGAACACAAACTGAAGGCATTCTAAGTGGTATTCCAAGATGATCGGATTTTTATCTCTTTAAATTATTTTCTTTTATAGGAGGAATAAACATGGGGTCAGTCGTGAGAAGATTGTGCAAATGCTGGAAAGATATGAATATCAAATTTCGATACCCATTGTCATGAATTCAGTGCTTCCTTTTCATAAAACTTCACAAAGACCATATTTACAAAGAAGACAGAGGTGGGGAGACTGTTCAGTCTCTTGGAATACTTGTAATGTATCACATAAGCAAGGATACATTTAAGGTCCATTTTCTTTATCAGTAATAGCTTGCCATTTATACACAATTAGAGTACACAATTACACAATCTATTGAAAAGACTTTAATTCCTTGATCATTTTTAAATATGCAGTTAATTTCTTTTGTGACTAAAATAGGTTTAATGCAGATTAAATATCTTGGAATTATTTATAAAAATGTAAATGTTTAATATTAAAATGTAAAATACTTTCACATTTTATATTTGTACTAATCTTGATTTTATTGAAACTTGCGATAATCGCTAATTTTTAGTGCAACATTTCACTTATACCACAAACTGCTGAGCAGTTTTTTTTTCTCAATAGAATATCATGGATTTTTAATAAACAAATAACAATAGGGTAACACTTAATATAGGAATTACATTTGAACAATTCTTTTTTCTTCTTTTAGTAGCATTTCAAGTTCTCCATATCTATTGATAACAGTTATGTTATTATGAAGCTTATCAATCAAACATTGACATTCAGCTGAAGTTCTTACGTTTCCATTTTCTGATCTGTACAGAATTTTATCTGTGCAAGTTGTAAGTTGCAAAAGTGGTAGCAAGATTCTGCAGTTAAAATCTGTGACTTTGAATATCAGCATGCAGCATGGGATTTGTATTCTTATAAATCAGTTCTCACATAGAACTTTTTTATCAAATTCTAAATCCACGCTATTATGGTATGTTAAATGTTGTGCCTTTTGATATGGGTACTTAGTTTTCTTACAAAAAATTTAATACAATCAAATATGTTGAAAAAGTGAAACTGACATTAGTTACACCATATTACATTTGTTTAGGATATGATATATACAGTATCCAGTTCATGATACGTTTGTGGCTGAATTCACAAAAGGTCTTCGTGCTAATGCCATGTAATAAATTGAATCCCTCTTCTTTTTGCATGGTTTTGTACTACTGTTTCAGCAATCCAGTCTCAATGGAATTGAGTTTTACACCAGGCTCCATTTCTCCATGGGAACCTTTGGAAGTTAAAGAGTAGCATGCCCTGTATAAAAAGTTCCTATAAATTATTAAGAACTATTAGTAGAAATAATTTGGCCCTCATGACTATATTTTAAAAGAAATAAATTTATGCAGGGCCTAATACCCATGCTCAGGGATGAAATCTGAAAAAGTAAAGACATTTATTAAAGCAGCAGCCTGAAATACAATTTAAACATACTCTTCCATAATATTTCTAGATAATCAAATTATTAATGGAAATATTCACTTTATCTCTCATGTCTAGGCTGACATGTTGTTCTACTGACTCAACCTTACAGAAAACTTTTACTTATATTGTATGATTTTGTATGAAACCTTCAGCCTTCACCAGGATATCCACATGATGGAATAAAGGTTCCATTACACTTTGCCCTTTGACAGTGAATTCAAATGTAGGATATGTAGATCATTCTACACCTACAACTTCCAAATGTTCACTAAGGACCATGTTGGCTGGGAAGGGAAATGAAATCAATACATCTCTAAGGCACCCAGGTTCATGAAAGTTACCTCGTAAAGTGGATGGAATATTTACTAGTCAGAATACTGTAGTTAAGTGATTATTTTTCAACAGTCATATTTGAAAACCCCAAATCTCTTTAACTACATGGTAATATCTGGCAATAGTATCTACTGAAGTGCAGTTTTGATCAATTATTTTTCTCTACAACTCTACTTTTTCTACTTTTTTATTATTTATTATAACTATACAAACATACAAACATGACTTTCTGTTTCTTGTGTTTCTTTTTCTTTTAAAAGATAAACACATAGAGGATTGAAGAATCATGCAAATGAGACTCGAACACCAGATTGAATTCTGGATAGTTATTAATTTTTGTGTGTCCTAATCTTTAATGTATTGAAAAATATGCATGTAAATATACTAAATAGAAATAATTAAAAAATATTTTGGATAATTTACTGCTTAATTTGTTTGCTCCATTGCCATTTCCTTTTTTTAAGTAGAAGAGGTTCTTGTAAAAATTAAGTTAAGTTTAATATATTAAACTTTGCATTTAACAATGTGTGCTTATAACTATTAATCGGTGCACCAGTATTTTGCAAGTTAATACTACATATTTTGTCATTAGTAATAAGAATATTGCCTTTGTTCATCTCAGCATAATTATCTAGCTGATCATGATATGCAGAAAACTAGGGAGATAACTTTGAGGCAAAGATTCAGGAACCATTACCTAAACAAAAAAGACAAAAGCATTCCTTAAGGCTAAAAAAGAGGTAACATTAAGAAGGAACCTGGGTTGGCTCTTTCCTGACTCACTGGGGAACAAGGGAAAGAGAAACTCTATCAAACTTGCAAGATTCTGTTGTTATAGTCTATCTGAATAAAATGCAGCTCTAGTATTACTGTTTTTTCTGATCTGGTCTACCAGAAAAGCCTCATATGATATGGAGGTGACTTTTCCTTTCAGAAGTAGACATTATTTGTCCCCAATTTTGTACTTTTGCTTATAGCATACAACAAGCTCCACTTTTTCTACTTTTGTATTAATCATCATCTTGTTGCCACAAAAGTGAAACAAGCATGTGAGCAAGCAAGGCAAGTCTTCACCTTTATGTCAGTTTGAACGGATTGGGTTCCAGCTTAAAAAAAAAAAAATCAGTAGGAAAACAAATGTGTATATCCCTGTGCATATGAGGGAGTTGGGTTGGGGAAACTCGCAAGGCACATTTTGGTTCTCAATACTACTTAACAATTCTACTGTGGTTGTTAGGTGTTTGGGGTCTGAGTATCATCATTATGCTAATGACATTTGAGTTCTTCTCTATAACATCAGAAACAGAAGAAAGTGAGTTATGATTTGAAACTAGTGCATTTAGGAAATAGAGGAGGGCCAATAAATTGAGGTTGAATCTTGCAAGACCTTGTGGGGAATTACCAGATATGGGAATTAAGAACTTACATATTGCCCTCATTTAAGAAGCACATAGCTTGGAAGTCTTTCTAGGGTCATGGTCATCAGTTATGGCACAATAACCTGTCATCTGGGGTGCTTGTAATTTTAGTTGTATATCAGCTCCTGCTCCCTTTCCAGCATAGGTTAGTTTGACCTTAATTGTTCACATCTGGTGGATTACTGCAATGTTCTATGTATGGCACTATCACTGATTTTATTCCAGAAGTAACCACTAATTTATTCAGTGGGATACCCTAAAGAATTTACAGTACCCTCCAATTAGTTACTGAGATAGTTTTGCTTTTGACATAAACTATTTGAAAGCACATATCTGATGGACGTAGTCAAGGAAGATCTTCCTGCATGTGCTAAAAGCAAACATTCTCTTGCAGTTATTTTACAGGTGGCCCTTCCCTGCAAATTTGTGAGGACCTACTGTTACATCTTTTTTATACCTGTTGATAATTTGGCTTTTTTTACAATATTTCACTGACTGAGTGTTGTATTAATGGTTATTTTTGTTTTCCTTCTTATTTATAATTAATGTTATTTTTATATTGTTTTAGTGGCTGTATTATGGAATCCTAATCATTTTATTGTAAACTGCTTTTAAGAGTCACAGTATGGAAAAACAGTATATACATATTTTTAATACTATGTACTTAATTTATTTCCAGTATTTATACCCTAATCCTACAGGTAACAATAATATATATTTTTGAAAATTGAAATACTTTATGTAATGCTATTAAGATTTAATGTATTTTAAAGTTAAACTTAACTTTATTTCAATCTTGCCTTTGTAAAATATGATGTATACAGGTAATCCTTGAAATAATGGAGCTTGGCCATTATGTTTTCATGTGATGATGGCCTTAAGAGAAGCATCAATCCTCCCATCCCTGCTCCCCCCAGTGACTTATTAAACAAATGTGTGGCTCATTAAGTGAAGCACGGGATGCCTTAGAAGTCCTGGGTGGACTAACACAGGCATAGGCCAGCTCTCCAAAGGTCACCCTACCCCATGAGACACTCCATGTGCTGCTTCCCACTCATTGGGTCCCCATAGGCCTTTTCCTAGTCCCACCAGGTCCCTGTTGGGCTTAAGCGGAGAAGAAGGTGCCTAAGTGAAAACTTCAAAGGACCCTCCTCTTCCCCCTCTCCATAAACTTGCACAAGATGAATCAGATGGCCAGTATTTCCAATACCATCTTGTGTCCCAGCAGCAAAGGAGGAGGGATGACATGTATGAAGTTGGTGACTTCTATGAATAAGAAAAAAGGGAGTCCCGAATGTGCATTGGGAAAATTGAGGTGCACAAAAAGGATGGGAGGAAAGGTGACGAGGAGGAAATATGAGTAGCTTCTGTTTGGCTTCCTGCACAGACAAGCTATTTGTAAATTGAGGGGGTGCATTCAATTACACTTCTTGTAAAAGCAGATGCACACTAATGTTTCTAGCAAAGATATTGGGAGTGGTGAGTTTTGCCTAAAAGATCAACTTCACAACAGTTAAGTGACTGGTCATAATTCAAGGACTACCTGTAATTTAGAAATTGAGTAGTGTAGAAACTTTAAAAATGAAACATTAAAAAGGAAATAAAATGGAGCAATAGATAAAGTAACAAATTGTACAAGAATCAATACATCTTTTTAAAAACGTGGAATTGTGGCAGATCTCCTAAGGCAGGAAAAAGTCACGTTTAATTTTTATTTGTTTATTCATTTTGTTGGAGGGAGCACTTTGTCTTTTTTGTAAAAATCGGCTTCTAGGCAATAGTTGTTGGGGGTGGTCCTGATGATCTGAAAAATAGACAATGCCAAGTTACAGTACCCATTTTGGAAGCAGAAATCAAATGCAAAGGCTTAGCATGCAGCTTAGTAATAATACCTGTGAAAAATATATTGGAATAAAAGATTATTACAGACTGATTATCAGAGAACAGTGAAATATGACTGCAAAAGGACAAATATAATTTTAAGAAAATAGTTTCCAAATCACAGGAATGATAATTCCAGTTTATTCTGTTTTAGTCAGACCCTGCTTGAGTATACACCCAGTTCTGAGTACCACACTTTAAGAAACAATGTTAAATAACTTCCATCCAACCTTTGTTTTTACGGAAAGTTAGGCACTCAGTTTCAAAGTACCCTGGATTAAGTGATCTGGAACTGGATCTTTTTCAATCAGGGTTCAGACTGTTACAGCATTGATAAGACATAGAGAAGGTGTTGGTGGCACTGGTGTATGACCTGTGAAGAGCTTGGGAAGGGATGGTACATCCATTCTGATTTTCCTGTACCTCTTACCAGCTTTTGATACTATTGACTATGGTATCCTTCTGTGCTGGTTCCTGGAGCTGGGAGTGGGAGGCACTGTTTGGATGTGGTTCTCTTTCCTCTGTAACCAGTTCCTGTCAGTGTTGGTGGGACAGGATAGGTTAAATGCTAGTACCCTGTAATAAGGAGAACCTCAGTGCTTAAGTCTCACCCCTCCTTATATGAGATGGGGAGAGATTATCCAGTGGCACAGGATGCGGTATCAATATACTGGTGATATCCAGCTATATATTTCCACCCAATTGGCCAAATAACATTATCCAGTGTTGGTCCAATACCTGGAGGCTGTAAGGATTTGAATCAGGAGGACTTGAGTTTGCCTCACCCCTAGCAAGAGACTCTTCTGTTTTTGGTCCTCTTTGACACTTGATGGGGTAGCCTTCACCTGAACAGAGCTGGTCCACAACTTTGGGATCCTCCTAGCTTGTGGCTCCTGCTTGAGGAGTAGATAGCAACCATGGCTCGGAGGGCTTTTGCACAGATCCATTTTGTGTGCCAGTTGCACCATTCATGGGTCAGGAGTCCTTGCTCACTGGTGACTTCCTAGTGGATTTCCATGATTACAGATGGCTGCCTTTGAAGACCATCTGGAACTTATAACTAGTTCAGAATTGGCAGCACATGCAGTTCTGGTTGCTGTATGGTATGTTCATATTACACCACTGTGTGAGCAGCGCTAGCTTCTATTTTCTGGTTACAGTGCAAGGTGTTGGTTGCCACCTTTAAAACCCTAAATGGCATGGGACCAGGTTATTTGTGAGACTACTTTTCATCTACCCTCTAAATAGCCTTGAAGAGCTGATTCTTTTCAAGAGCATTGGGGTAGCATGAGGTTGGATCCCAGCAAGATTGTGCAGGGGAGAGTTGTCCAAGGTCATTGTGAGTTTTACTCAGTTTTTGTTTAGTTCTGATTATTTGGGTTGGAGGGGTTGTTTTTACTGTTTTGTAAGCTGCCCAGGGTTGTGGATGTGGATGGTTTAGTTTGGATTCCTATTCAGTAAATCATGGTAAAATAATCAAATAGTGATGGGACACATTTCAATCAGCCATAGTCAAGATTTGAATTTTGGGGATTTTGCACTAGTCCAGTGATGGCTAACCTTTTATGTCACCATGTGCCAGTCTGCATGCCAAAAATGGCACGCAAAACCATCCCACTTGGACTGTGTGGCCTTTCTGGCCTTTGCACGCACGGAAGTGGCAAAACCCAGAAGAGCGTTCCGTCACGCATGCGCGAGCCAGCACCCAAACTTCCTGTTTCCAGCACGGATGCGTGCCCGATGAACAGCTGGCCATCACGCATGCGCGCAATGTAAACCTGGAAGTTCGGGTGCCGGCTCATGCATGCGTGATGGAATGCTGCTCTTCCGGGATTCGCCAGTCCCGCTCGTGCGAAGGCCAGCTGACTGGCGCACGTGTGTGCACAGGAACGTGGACAAGGAGCCAATGAGGCCGCGCATCCCTCGTGGGATGGTTCTGCGTGCTGCTTCTGGCACACGTTCCATAGGTTCACCAACACGGCCCTAGACCATGTACTTGATTTTTGCATTGGTTTGTTAAGAATTTAAAATTAAGCTGCCTAGGAGAACAGCAAGGTCTTGTAAGGCTCTTAGGAACACAATCAGGATGGGAGTTAAGAATAACTAAATAGATAAGTTTAAAGGTGTTGAATACATTTGTCTTTTCAAATATCACAAACATTTTTCAATGTAGCTTTCAGAAATTTCTGCTGTCTTTTCTTTGAACCAGACATTGCATCTCTTATATTCATGTATGAATTTATTTATTAAATTTGTATGCCAGCCATCTCATTAAGAGGTGACCGTAGGCAGCGTACAACCATGTAAAAACAAGATAAAACACTAAAATAATAAATATTAATATTAAATTACCTATTAATGTTACATAGAAGGGAACAAAATAAATTTTAATTTAAGATTTTTCTTTTGAATTTATATATATTATGACCTGTGTATGTACATATGACAGTAAATAAAACAAACCTAAGTGATTGTAGATAACAGTGATTAATATGATCAAGGTATGTCCCCCGCCAGGTAAGTATGATTATTATTAACAGTGATTAATAATGCAGTCCTATACATGTTCATTCAGAACTAAATCCCATGGTATTCATTAAGAGGAGGTTAATTTATCCATAAATTTACAGTATAAATATTAGGCCTTATTATTGCCAATACCAACTATGTGTGTGATACAATGTTTTGGATTTTGAGCACAGTGACAGAAAATGCAATTAACGTGGCAAAATAAGGTGCTAAGAATCACCCCTCTTCCTGCTACCATGAAGATCATAAACAGAAAATGCTAGTTTTGAATTACTCCCTGCACACAAAGAGAAAAAATGGTAGATAAGGAAGAACAGTTCTAAATTTATTTCCACCTCATGCCCCACTGGGTCATCATTTCAGAGATATTTAAAGAGAGAAACAGAATGACCAAGGGTTGGCAAAGAAGCAATAGGATCAGGAGCGACTTCCTGCTGGCTTCCTCATTGAGTTTCCTTGAGGGAATCTGGCAGGAAGCATCAGAGATCTTCCCTTTCCTATCCTACCCTACTCAACAAGCAGGTAAGTGGCTATAGTTTGGTGGGACAGTGGGTGATTGCAAGATAGAATGTTGAAAACGAAGATCATGTAACCATAGCAGCAGCCCAGCAGTGCAACAGGAGCCAGTAGCACTGAAGCAGCTACAACTTTTTAAAATTTCATTCCTTCAGCAGTCTTGGATCTCAGATTTCGGACACATTCCTCAAATTAGTCCATTTGAGGTCTCTTGGTTCAAAAATTGTTGCTCTATGATACACTCTTTCATCTACGGTAGTTTAAAGTCATGATAGACAGTTTTAGTAATACATAACTTTTACCCTCTTCTGTTGCAAGTTTGAATCTATCTCCTTGGTATATGTTGACATATGACTGCAAATAGACTTGTGGCTACTATTCATATGAAGGAGTGAACAGCTGATTAGAATCTTGATTTTGCTTTTCCCTATAGAGACTATACACAGAGGGAGAGACAGACACAACCATAAACACTGTATGTATGATAGTTTAGCATATATACTGTAGCTTTTTACAGTGTACAAGAATTTCCTACTCTGACAAATTTGCAATCAAAAATCTCTCAGGAAATCAAGTAGAGAAATGAAAGTGAGAATAAATACAGAATTTATACTTAATTGACTGAAGGAAAGAAGAACCATGCTAGGTGAGACCTAATGCCAGTCTGTTTCAACATTTCTGTTCCATAGTGTCCATGCATAAATTCAATTATGGAATTCTATATGAATGGATGCATAAATTAGCCAGTTGATGTCAGCTAACATATTTTATGTGCTTTGTTCTTCATTTAGGGATTATCCATAAACAATTTGAGAATAAGATGAGGTGAGGTCAAATAATACTGTATTAATAAAAATATTATGGCATGTTAGAGGCTGAAAATGGTAACCACTCTTTCAATTTTAAAACCAACATCCTCCCAGTAATAATTTATGTATGTTATGTATCTTTTCAGGGCAAAACATCATTTCAAAATTGCACATGAGTAAAACTATGAAATGAAGTAAACAATGTAAATTAACATTTTTTTCTCCAGACAGAAATCCACTTTAATGTAAATGATATTCTATGAATTTTACTAGAACTTAAAGATATGGATGAATTCCAAATTTCAGTTAAAAGCAGATTGGAGCAGTTTGGTCTTTGATACCTATTTTAAAAATATCCATCAAACACACTACAGGCATCTTGTAACAGTTCCATGATGAAACCATAATCAGAGAGGATTTTTTTCTTATGTCTTCCATAACTAACTAGAAAAAAGTAATGAATTCTATATTACAACTTGAATAGATCTTTTGTACTAGTATTTTCTGGTTAGAAATGCCTTCTCATGTAACAACAAAAATATATAGGAATGTTTCTAAGTAACGGGTTTTTGGGATAATGGCATTGTTAAATACACAGAATTTAGGGAAATAATTGAGTAAAATATTAAGTTGTGTTAATTGAAAATTAAGATTTGTTAGTGATTTGTACCAATTTATGACGCAATCAATGCTTCATTTTGAAAAGATGTATTTTATGTTTACGTTTTTAAAAATAATTTTTAAAAATTTTATATATATATATATATATATATATATGTATGTATATATATATATATATATGTATATATATGAATGTTTCATGCTGGTTAATATATCATGCCAGCACAACATCCTGTTCTGTTTTTAAGCTTGCTAAGTACATTCTGTTTTATTATCTAAGATTTAAGTACAAAATATTTTCTGTGGAACTTTTGAATATTTAAAAAAAATGTTATGAATCTGTTGATGTGATTAAAGTTGGATCACTCCATAGCTGTCTTAAGGGGATGCTCCATGAGTTATATAATTAGTCATGATGTGTATGCCTGCACTAAGAGCATTCATAATAATTTGTTCATATTTAGTTCTTTATTCTATTTAGGGAACTGATTGTAAAGAGGAAACACAGATTACACAAGATAAAACAAAAAAAGAAACGAAGGAGGAACAGAAAAATAAAAAATGCTGTTATTACATCCGTGGACATAAAATCAGATGGACATTTAATTCCAAGTGATGGGGATTTATCACACAGTGAGCAAGAAAATTCAGAAGACAATGGACAATCAGAATTAGTGACTGGCCATCCAGATGAAGCTAAATTTGACAGTGAGAATGACTCAATGAAGTATAATTATTTACAGCTTTCTGAATTGCAAAAAAAGGAATTCCTTCATTCTGTCGTGGTGAATTCAGTGTCTTTAAAGAAGTCACTAAACGCAGATATTACTGAAGATGTATCACTATCAATTACTCTTAATGAAAATATAGGTGGCCAATTATCCAATTGTCATTTATCAAATGGGATCAAAAGCATATCGCTTGCAGAAAGTGACAATAACACTTTAGATCATAGTCAACATTCATTTCAACAATCAGATCAAAATGATGCAAGAAAAAATACTGTATTGACTGAAAAAGAAAACAAAAATACATCTGTTGAAAACTTGGTCCAGGGAAACCAAAAGTTAAGCAATGAAGAGGAAACAACTCTTCCACATCCACATGGAACTTCAAAAAGTAATGAAATGAATTCCTGGGCTTTCTTTTCCTTTGATTTGGTTGATGAACAATTTCAGACCAAGACAGAGAAAAATGAATCCTGTTTGATTTGGCCTGAGGATGTATCTAAAATGTTTCAGCAAAGACCAAAAAAGGTCAAAAGGCCTAAGAAGATGCTTTCAGATGCAACAACAGAAATAACTGATTATAATTCTAGTAAAGAATTAGTGAAGGAAAACAGTGGAAAACTTCTGCATGAAAGTAACAATACAACAAATAGGCCTTTGTCATTATTGCTAATGGAAAATAAGATATGTGATAATGCTAGTGAATTTGTCAGAGGAAGTGGAAAGAAAGCCAGTTTCACAACTGATGAATGTATATTAGCTTTACCAAAGAAAAAAGAGAAATATAAAAGGATCTTCAAATTGGCCCCAAACTTTGATTTACCACGGCATATTCCTCCTAAAAAGAATCAGAAAGTGCTAAACAATATAGATACAGTAACAGAGAAAGAAGGCATTTCAAATAAAGACATTCTAGAAAAGAACAAACAATGCTGTGAACTTCAAGCATCCAATTACAATGCAGTAGTTGAATTTTCTGATTTTGATGTGGAACTTCCCTTACACAATGGTTCCAATCAACTTGCAGACGAATCTGTGAATATTTCAACAAAAGAATCTGATACTCCAATTCATGAATGTACTTTTGTTTCGTGTAAAGCTTCCTCACCAAGTGAGCAAGAATTGTTTGAATGTGATGTAACAATAGAAATTAAAGAAAAGGAAAAGATATCTCCAGATATTTCAACTACTCAGCCAGATATTTTGCATTCAGTTAAACTAATTACTGAATGCCTTACAAACACTATGGCTGAACCTTTTGAAAATATGGAAGTTATTAATGAACGTGAACAAAAAGTAAATTCTCAGATCAAAGATGTTCAAGATTCCGCATATACAAAATCCAGTAATATGGAGCTTCCTTTATCACTAAGATTTGCACTTCAACTAGTAGAACTTTTCGGTTCTCCAGGAGTTCCATTAGGTAATTATTAGCTAAAATAAAGTTGAGGAAAATGTAGAATTTCATATAGTTGAATTTTAAAAAATAATTTAGTAGGTTAAACTTTAGCACACATTTTTAGCATTCATTGCCTTTTTATACAGAAGTTAATGTTATTGCTTACTTTGGGGGTTAAAAATGCCAGGTTAAAAAAACTGAAAATCCCATTTTAATGTTAATGATTAGGGTATACCTTCGTGAACTAAGAGTAACCTCATAAAAATCCTGTGATTAATGTTTAGATTTCAGGCTTGCCAATTTTCAATTTAAATTATTTTCTGTGTATTTAATTATTTTACATGTTTCTTAATCATGTCCCGTAAATGGGCACATCAGTTCCACATTTGCTTAAGCAATGCCATAGTTTTAGGTTTTCAAATATTTAGTTCAAGTGAGAAGATTGATATTTTAAAAATATTCCAGCCCTTGATGCCTTTTCTCTTTGAGAATGTTTTATAGATAACGGTAGTACTGTTCAAACTATTCTGGGAGTGTTTTGCTTATAGGACCAATGTCAACATCACTACAACAAATAATTTTCACAGTCTTGTTGATATTTCTTATTCTGGTCACATGATCATACTATTCAGTTGGTCACCACACTGACAATAGTTTAATTTTGCCAGTTAGTAATACTAGAACTTTTAAATGAAACTCTCTAGATTTTTCCCCATGTAGCTTTACAAAGGATACTACACAATATCATCTCTAGCTTATTAATCATTTTATAACAAAATATAAATACTATGACTCACCTTATGTCATGTTGCTTCAACATATAGACTGAAAGCTAACCAATTGTATTGAATGAATCTTTGGCTTCTACTTTAAAATTCAATTTACTACAACTGGATCAACTGTTCCTTGGCTGAAAAGAGAGAGTGAATAATTGATGAGGGTGAAAACACCTACTGGTTTTACTACCACTGAGATGCCATCTTACAGTTGCCTAAATCAACTTTCTTGATCCAGCGAGCAGCAACCTTCAAAATCACAGCTGAGCTCTAGTCTAGCTGTTGGTCATTCTCTCTGCCAATGATCCCCGTTTTAAATCTTAAGAAACAGTTCCCAATTTGGATGAAATGATGAGTTCATCATTTCATCCAAAGTGGAATGGCAGTAGCAGCAAGTGGTCTCTAAAAGCAACTAAGCCAAGATCATGATCACCATTAATGCAACACTATTCTTGCTATTGAGGTGAATTGGGGTTGATTGCTCTTTCCAATCCATTACCTAAGATGGAAGGGCTCATAGAGCCTTAAAAACCAATTATCTCTGTCCAAAGGAAACTGCCAGAAGAATTCCAATTGTTTGTTTTAGAACGGAATATGCTGCCCACTTCCAAATGGTTCTGGTGGCTTCCAAAAAAATCAAAACATAAAAAAAAAATCACACACACAGTTGGCCAGCTGATATTCCCAGTCTAAGTGTGGAAAGCACCCTCTCCTTGCCTAAATCTATCAATAACTGGTTGTTAAATTTATATCTACCTTACTCATCCAAGTTGTCTTTCCATTATTGTTTTGTAAAATCCATTCAGATATTATGGTTCCCCAATTGTTCATATTTTTTCTAATTTTTTTTCTTTATACCTCCTTACTGCACTATATCTGTTGCAGTAAATGTAGTATGTGGTGATGTTGTGGTAAAGGGCAAACCATAGTTCAGAGACTGGATTCAGTCTGTTTTGAGTTAAGTGAATCTGGCTTCCCCATTGGCTTTGCTTGTCAGAAGATTGCAAAAGGTGATCACGTGACCCCAGGACATTGCAATTGTCATAAATATGAACCAGTTGACAAACATCTGAATTTTGATCACATGATCATGGGGATGCTGCAAAGGTTGTAACTATGAAAAAAGGGGATAAGTCACATTTTTCAGTGACGTTGTAACTTAGAATGGTCACAAAATGAACTGTTGTAAATTGAGGACTACCTGTATTTCATATTTGACTGCTGCAATTATAACAAACATTTTCTATCCTGGATTACATACCTTCATTTATGCAGTTCCAAAGCATCAGGTATATAAAACAATGACAATTTCAATAAACAATAAATGAAGTCACACTGCATATTTTATTTTCATTGCTCCCACTATAATATCTCAAATAATTTAAAAAAAACTTTATAGTTTTCATTTCATTCAGCACAAGACCCAATTTTAAGTTGATAAGCCTTAAGTAAAAAAGTGATATGTGTAAGAGTGAATCAAGTTTAATAGCCCAGTTATCTTGCAAATTCAATGCTATGCCATTAATTGTAACATAATTAAATAACCAATGTGCTCTTGGGCTTGATTTACAATAAAATGACTGTCACACCTATTTAATGTAAACTTTCAAACCTATGAGTAGATTAAAAACACTTTGTGTGATCTTGTTTTGTAGATATTTTATCGCCAGATGATTATGTAGTTCCTCTTGACTGGGAAATATCAAAGGAGATCTATTTACAATGGAAGACATCTGTGGAGGTATGGCCATTACTCACCTATATATTATACAAAATAATTGATGGATGTTAGTCAGGGATGAAATGCTACCAGATCGGACCGGATCGGCCGATCCGGTAGCAATGATGGCTGGTAGTTCCGAGAACCGATAGCAATGGCAGCTGGAGGCTCCGCCCACCCGCCCCATTCCCCAGAGTTGGGGAAGTACCATTCCCCAACTCCGGCCTTGCCGCAGAGCCGCTGCCTGCTCACCCTTCGCAACGCGGTGTATCCTACTGCTCACCTTTCTCCCGCGGCTGGCTGTCAGGGAAGGCAAGCACCCAAAAGTTACCGGAGTCGCTCACTCTCCTTCTTGAATGAGCCTCCACAATCACCATTCTGGTCCATGCGCCAGCTGCACAAGCGCACCATTTATTTAATTTACTCATCAGTGGCAGATTGGGTGTGTGCTTGCGCAGCCGGCGCATGGACCAGGGCGGCGATGGTGGCAGCTCATTCAAGAAGGAAACTGAGCGACTCCGGTAACTTTCGGGTGCTTGCCTTCCCTGACAGCCAGCTGCGGGAGAAAGGTAAGGACACGCCGCTTGGTGATGAGAGAGCGGGCAGTGGCTCCAGGGCAAGGCTGGTATTGGGGAATGGTGCATTCCCCGACTTGGTTGAGGCAGGCAATGAGCAGGGGGTGGCTCCAGGGCCCCAGGGAATGGCGCATCCCTGAGCCTTGGCCCCCGACCCAAAGCGAAGAGAGAGCGGGTGGCGAGTGGGTGGCAGAATAGAAATTTAAAAAGTTTTCCTACCGGGTTCTGTGGGTGTGGCTTGGTGGGAGGGGGTCTTGTGACTGAGTGGGCATGGTTGTGAGTGACATTGAGTTGGCCACGCCCACTCAGTCACAGGACACCCCCCCACCAAGCCATGCCCACAGAACTGGTAGGGAAAAATTTTAGATTTCACCCCGATGTTAGTCATGTTAAATTATACCTAGTAATTTATGCAATGATACACAGCAATTATTAGACAATAGCAATAGCACTTAAACTTATATACCACTTCATAGTGCTTTACAGCCCTCTCTAAGTGGTTTACAGAGTCAGCATATTGCCCCCAACAATCTGGGTCCTCATTTTACCCACCTCGGAATGATGGAAGGCTGAATCAGCCTTGAGCCGGTCAGGATCAAAGGAATCAAAGTCCTGACAATATGAGCAAAGTTAGCCTGCAATACTGCATTCTAACCACTCTGCCACCACAGCTCACAACAAAATGGATGTGATGATGGAACAAGCATTGCTTGTTCCTTTTGTCAGGTCCTGCTTTGCTAAAGGATGTTTTTTTTCCTGTGGACAGAAGAAATATAAGGTACATATAGCATTTTCCTTTATATTTTATTGCAGAAGAAACAGGAAAATAACCTACTGAAAGAGAATTCCTTGCTCGGTGAGTACAATTTTGTGACTTTTTATGACTTTTTGTGACTTGCTGATTTATAACCAGCACAAAATATTTGTCATAATACAACATTGTAGTAAGATTAAAGTGGCAATACTGCATCAATGTATAGAGCCAGGTAAGCAAGTGACCATAGATTGATGCTGGGAACTGGGAATCCTGTCCTGTTCCTTCTGGTGAAAGATCCTGACCAGCACAGAAACAAAGGCATGTAAAATCCTTACACTGTTTTATACTGTCTCTCTATCTGTAGTTGCTGCAGCTGCTCTCCAGGGTTCAAATAAGGATGGTCAAGAAAGAAAATCTTCAGAGATAAAACCAAAAATGTCTTTTGGAGAATCATCATTGCTCTGAAAAAATTGTTTCAAGCTACATAATCCAAGCAATAATGCTAGCTTCTCTGAAATTTTATTTAAAAACAATCAACCTTTTTTTTTGGAGAAAGGTAATTTCTTCCAATATTTTGATTCTGTTAGCTCTAAGCTTTGACCCATTCTGAATATGAAATTCATAGACTGGAGCTCCACAGAGTCAACATGTTTGCTTCTGGTTTTGCTAGTCTCAATTGTTGAGGTGAATTTTGCATTGTAGAAAAAATGACGGGATAAAGAAAAAAGGAATTGATTGGTTTGTTTTGAATATTACCAAGAGTAAAAAATGGCTTTACCAAGAGAAGATCAATATTACTGTGGCAATAGTAGGCTCATATATTTTTTAAAACCATAATTGCTGAAAATGTGTATTATTTAGTATTGTTGGTTACCCATAGTTCAGTGTGAAAATTCCCTAGCATCTTACCACTCTGTTAAAGAGGACATTGTATTACTTTAGTTTTTGATTCCTCCGTCCCATTTGTTCTCTGTAGACTATTTCTAACCAAATTGTGCCATAACTCCCTTTACAACACCAGTGTGCAATCTTTTCCAGGCCAAGGGCACTAACTTATCAGTGGCATAACAGAGGCTGTTATGTGAAAAGTAGTTAGTATGAAAAAGAGTAGGTGAATCTGGGATGGAATCTAAATTGGATTAATTTAATTTTTATTTTATTGTAATTTAAATTAATTATATTCAGTTAATATTATTCCCCATGTATTTAATTTTCCTCTTCCATCCCATTTTAAAAATGCAGGTTTTTAAAACTACCCAAAACAAAAATTTAAATTGTCCCAAACTAGAAAGGTTTAGGCAGTCATACCCCAAAGCTTTCAAGGATCATATGCAATGTGGGGCCTGAAGTCCTGTACAAACATGCAGTAATTCTTAATTATCTCCTGAACAAAAAGAACTGTTTCTGCTATCTCCTTCAAATTTTTTTCTTCTGATTCTTGGTTTAATATGGATTCTTCATATTTATCCAAAGTTTTGCTGAGATAATTGGTTCTCTTTCTGGTTTTTTGATCCCAATATGTCCTCCTAAAACAACTGCAATAATTTTTACCGTCCTTCAAGATCTCACAAAGATGTCTTTCCTTACCTTCATATTCTTCCATGACCATCCTTTTTTATCTTTTTACTTATACAGGTAGTGCTTACTTAACGACTGGTCACTTCATGACCATTCAAATTTATGAGACCCTCCCCACCCCCATCAAATGGTACTAAAAACCCAGATTCAAGTTCTAAGAGTCACCCACTCCAGGCACATGGTTGCATTTTTTGCACTTGAAACCTGGCCCACTTTTATGGCATCCCATGGTCAGTCATGTGACCACAAACTATCATGTTTTTGCAAGAAACTGGTGTTTACTTGCAGTTTCTGGCAAAAAAAACCCCATTGTGATACTACAAGAATGTCATAAAATTGGGTCGGTCATAATAATTGGCACAATTTACTACTGTAATTCTGTCTCGGCTTGTCCTCCCAGGATAGTTGAGGACTATCTGTATCTGGTTGCATCCCTATCCACTATCCTCCATTGTTAAGACCCTCAGATCCTTTTTTTTGTTGTTGTTATCCTATGTTTGGAACTTCTTGGAATACTGCCATGATGATACCTGTTTTGTGTTGAATTTTAAATTGTAAGTTCTTGCATAACTTTAAAATGTCTTAATAACATTATATAAATATTTTTATTTATGATCAGAGCATAACATTTGGTTATAAATTAAGCTATTTTGTGCAAAGCAGATGCAAGAAAGGTAATTATCCAGAGGGAAAGATTATTTAACAAAAGTACCATTATAATGTGGAGAAATGCATTAATTAGTAAGTTAAAAATATCTAAAATTTTATTTGCAACTGAAACTACACATAAGCCCCAATAAAATGAGCTGTCAATGTTATTTAATTGCAATTGTTAATATATGAATTTTAGTTTGGGTGGATGAGACAGTTATAAGACTGTTATACTTAGGTCTGATCTTTCACTAGATTTTTTTTATTATTCTATTACAGAATGTGCTTGCTTTTTGGCTTTCCCTCCGGTGGACCATCTAGAATAAAAGTAAACTTCAAGAATCAGCAAAAGTACAAAGCATCAAACTTTTTGAATCCCTATCTGAGTCACCTGCTGCTTTTGAATTTCATTTTCAAATAAAATTGTGAAGAGTGATTGTCATTGTTAAAAGGACAAAGTGAAATAATGTGGCTTCAACTGTTTAAATCATGTATATATGACCCTCCCCACCAAAAAAAAATTAAGGGATATAATATCATAGATTTGGAAAGGTCATGCAGGCCCTCAAATCCATCCTCCAGATGAACGTCATATCTGGCCTAAGGTCTATCCGGCTTCTTCTTGAACATATCCAGTGAGAGGAATTCCTCCCTATGAATTACTGTGTGTAACTCTTCAAACCATTAGAAAATTTGTTAACATTTAACTGGCATCTGCTTGCCATTATAGTAAGATCATTATTTTATGTCCTGCATACTGGAACAAGAAAACAAGTTATACTTGTCTTCTGTGTGATACCTCTTTGGTGCTAGCTAGGAGGACGCTATCCTATGCCTTCAATAAGCATTTTACAATGCTAGATAGACATGTCCTCATATATTTTAGTTTCTAATCCCAAGATTATCCTTATTGCTTTTCTTTCTATCACTTTTTTTCTCCGAATCCTCCTTAAAATGTGGTATACACACAGAACTGGACACCATGCCAAAGGTAGTACAGAGCTGAATTATTTATTTCTATTATTTCTAAATTATATTTTCATTAATTTAATCTATGAGTACAAGTGGTAAATTCCAACTCCTACAATAAAACACAAGACCTTTGTACACAAATAGAATTGCAACTTGATGGGCATTTAGTTGTGCAGTAGTTTACTTTCAGGTTAAACAGTACATAGTATATTGTTCTGGTACAATTCAAGTACATAAAGAGATAACTGGCTACTTCATTATAAGAACAATAAATAGAACTCTAAGGGAACAAGGAGAAGGAGAGGGAAGGGGGAGAAGGGGAAGAGGTAGAAGTAGCTGTAGTAGTTAAATAATACTGGATAACCAGTAATATTTAATGGCTGGAAAAGAAAAATAAAATAACCAATATAGTATAGAAAAATTAAAAAAGATTGGCAAACGAAACAATTCTATAAATAAATACAAAAAATTGTTGATGAATCTGTTTAAAAATAATTTATATTCTCTGTTCATACATTGTAACTTCATAATCAACTAGTTCTATTAATAAATATGAAGCAAAATACAATAAACCCTAGTATCTAAAATATTCTACTGTCAAGAAAAGAGCCAATATGAGAACATATAATTACTATCTAAAACATATTTATCATTTGGAAGTCGGATAGTAATATTTTAAAGAATTTTCATCTCCAAAATATTTAGAAGAAATTACCAATTCTGACTAAATGAGTACGGTATTATGTTACAGCACCAACTACTTTTATCTACTTTAACAAATATAACAAAATGTTTTAAATACTTTTACTAGTTGTAATAGGAAACCCTTTGTTTGTTTTTCCATCCACTCACTCAAAATGATCCAATTCCAGATAGAGATAAGTAAGTAACTTATTGATAGAGATAAGTAAATAAGTAAAGAGATAAGCTCATCAATTGCAAAATAACCAGTGGATATTTTAAAATATTATATTTACATACTGTAACATTTTTGTTACAGTATAATAAACAGTAACTATAAACAGATAACAGACTGATTGGCATGGGAAAAAAAATAAACGCTAGGATTAAATGATAAACTGCATACAGAGTAGTTGTGCAAGCTGAAATGTACAGTATATAGAGAAACGATCCGGGTGACTTTTTATAATAATTCCCAATAACACATTCAAAACTAAATTAAGTTACGAAAGGTATCAGCCGCTGTCCGATGGCAGAGAATGTGACAAATAGGTACCGTGCGCAATTTAGGCAAATTATTCAGCGCTTGCCAGTATGGCTATGCTGTGCGGTGGCTCCTTAATAGAGCTCACCCAGTCTCCGGAGCGGGACTTCACTCCCCAGAAACAAAACACTCTTCGCCACCTAATGGTTGCCCGGATTTCTGCAGCCAGAGCTGGGGGCTCCAACGTCCCACTATCGGAGCCTGCAATCCCAAACAGCTGCTTTGCTCAATCTATGGTAAGCCAAGCGCTGCCTAGTTACTGGATAGATAGCTTGGGGGGGAAGCGCCAAGCCCATTCAACTGCTTGATCCCACGGACCGTGACCGAGCTGACTTCGCGGGAGCCTCCATCGGATTGGACTTTTCCTGACCGAGGGCCCTCCTCAGCGAGGGGTTTTACACGTTAGTTAGCCGGGACCGACTCTACAGTCTTCCGGCAAAAGTGCCACAGGCCGGCCTTCCCTCCAAAGAGCCGTCCTCGGAGGAGGAGGAGGAGGAGGAGGAGGGGCGTCCAATGCATCATCTTCGCTTTCGGCCGGCTTCTTTGGCGCGGCCCTCACTCTGCTCCGGGGAAACGAGGGCGGAGCAGAGCGGGGCGGCGCTGCCCATCTCAAGTCACGCGGCCGATGGGCATTGTAAACACCACCAGGTGACTCCGAAAGGCTCAGCCGCCGCCGGAGATGAAGAGGCTGCAGCTGCTGCCGCCGCCGTGCTGCCGTTATGGAAGATAGTCTGGTTCGCGCCTTCGGGGGCCTCAGCCTCCAGCAGCCCCGCCGCTCCCAAGGCAGCCCCCACGCTCGCCGCTTCAGCAAAAGCCTCTATTTGCTCCGCGGCCTGCCCGGCTCAGGCAAAAGTACTCTGGCCAGGTAAGCCTGTCCCAGGTGCAGCCCTTCGGGAGGTCGCGCCGGGTTCAGGTTGGGGGAGGGGAAAAAAAGAAACTTAGTGCGGGGGGGGTCAGCGGAGGGGCGCCGGGCGGCGCGAAGGGCAACTTTCGAGGGTCTCCAGGAGTTATTCGACGCCTGGAGGGGTTGTAGACGGGAAGCGCCGCCGCAGCCGAAACCGCCTGGTCCGAGTTGATAACGAGGCAGGCGGTTAAGTCGCTGGGCGTGGTACGACCAGATAGGAGCCGTAGTTCCGCTTTTGGGGTTTTCCCCCACCCTCTCATAAATATGTTGGAGTGTATTATCTTAAACTTAAAGGAACAGCAATGCTGGGGGTGGGGAAATACCATTAATGGTGGCCAGGAGAGAAGTCGGAGCCAGTCAGGGAAAGCAGAGAATAATAGGGAGAGTGGGTGATGGGAAGGGTACTTTGCCCTCAAGGGGCCATCTTAGGTCTGCACTACAGTGATAAGCATCAACAGAAAGCCTAGAGTGATGAGGAACTAGTAAATATAAGGAAGCAGCCTTAGCTAGGTGGGTCGATAAGAACACCCATTTTTATAGCTGAAATTTGTGTGCCATCCATTCTTCAAACTCTGGAACTTGTTTGGCAAAGTCGCACTGCTGTGTTTGGGTTGCCCTAAGGTGATGTGTGACTTTTCCCCTCAGACTATGCAACTATCAGAAGGGGCAATTCCCACCCACCTGTTAGAAATGATACCTGTTTGGAGAAGTGATTGCGAAAATGCACTGTGAAAATGGAATATTTATTCTTTCCACTGAATACAATACTTTAGTATTGAGCCCAGTGAAATTAGTTAATATATTTTCTGCATGTTATTTAAAATTTAGATTGGCAGCTGAATCCTGTCAGAGCCACTGTTTCTCTGCAGGTAGCAGCTATTTTGTCATAAATATTTTATACTGCATGCATATCAAAAGGTCACTGTTTGTATACGAGGAAGTGTACATTTTGTCATGTGCTAATAATGCCAGTTTGTTTATTTTTTAATTCACTTCCTTCACTTCTGTTCTAATGGTTTCTGCAAAAGTTCCATAATTGACAGTTTTAATTCTTATTTACTAAACTGAAGGAACATAACAAGAAGCAGATTTAAAAGATGAGCAACAGGAGTATGATAAATAGCTGCATCTATTTATATTTATGCTATTAATCTTCTCATGTTCCTATCACCTACCTCCTCCCACTTATGACTGTATGATTGTAACTTCGTTGCTTGTATCTATACGATTTATATTGTTATTGTTCCTGATTGCTTATTTGTACCCTTTGACTATCATTAAGTGTTGTCTCTTATGATTCTTGATGAACATATCTTTTCTTTTATGTACACTGAGAGCATATGCACCAAGACAAATTCCTTGTGTGTCCAATCACACTTGGCCAATAAAAAAATCTAGTCTAGTCTAGTCGGAGAATTGTAATTTGTGGTTTATCATAATACTGACTCTATTTAAGAAAAAACAGTCTTCAAAAAATATTTTGCTTTGCTGGCTGAACAAAATCTATAATTTTGATAATAAAACAAAACATGCCAAACTGATCTTTCAAAATTATGCAAATATTCACAAATCAACCTAAATCAACAACTAATAGTAAGAGTATATCCGTATATGTGATGAATTGAAATAAATAAAAGGGAGAGTGGAGAATAAAATGCCAGGAAATGCACAGCATAAAAGTAATTCCATAAAATTTGACAAATTGAAAGTACTGCTATTTTCCCTTTGACCGTATATTTCATTATATTTTACCTATATTTCTCAATTCAGGTGTACTAATCTTCAGGATTTGAATGTAAAAGAAGGCCTGTTCTGTTTAGCAGAAGGTTCTGTTTAGTAGTTATAAAGACAGAACAGGTCCTAAATTTAATTTTCATTTTCTGTTCTATGCCAAAATGGAATGCATTTTGGAAGCATATTCCTGAAAAGAGAGAATCAAGGCATGTGGATAATTGAATATAGAGATAAATATTGGGGGCCTCTATCTCAAATCCCTAAATGGAAAAGGGCATTGAAGAAAAGCCAAACCTTAATGCATCATGAAAAGAAAGCTGTGCTATCTTTATAAAATATGTATTACGAGTTTAAGAAAGGAATTTTTATACTTGGCTAACAAAAACCAAAGGCACAGGTATAGAATAGGTAGTATCTGGCTAAACAGCACTAATTGTTGAGTAATTTCAGAACTCTAGTGGACAGCCACTTAAGTAAGAACCAGCAATGTGCTGCAGCTGCCAAAAAAGCCAACACAGCCTTTTACTGCATTAACAGAGGGATAATATAAAGATCATGTGAAGTGTTAGTACTATTTTATACTGCTTTGGTAAGACCACACTTGGAATACTGCGTCCAGTTTTGATCACCATGATAGAAAAAAGATGTCGAGACTCAAGAGTGCAAAGAACAGCAAAGATGATTAGAGGGCTGGATACGTCTAGTTTAAAGAAAAGGACTGGGTTGACATGATAGCTGTGTTCCAGTATTCACACAGAAGAGGGATTCAACCAGTGGTGAAATGTAAAATTTGTTACTACTGATTCTGTGGGCGTGGCTTGGTGGTGGGGTTGCAGAAAAAAATGCTTTTACTTTACTTTTTACTTATATTTGATTTGTATACCGCTCTACTCCCAAAGGACTCAGGGTGGTGAACAGCCAACAATAAAATACATACATACAAAATTTAAAAAGCAGAAATAAAATTGAATTAAATAGTTTGGCCCAGACAGATTAAAACCCCAATCAATTTAAAACAAATTTAAACTTTGAGTATTAAAAATATTAAAATATTAAAATTAAAATTGTTTAAAAAAGAGGGAGAAAGTTAGGCCAGGCCCGCCTGGTAAAATAAAAAGGTCTTTAGAGCGCGGCAGAAGGTGCGCAGATCCGGGATCCTCCGTATCTCCGGGGGGGAGCTCGTTCCAGATAGTAGGTGCCCCCACAGAGAAGACTCTCCCCCTGGGGGCCGCCAGTCGACATTGTTTGGCCAATGGCACCCGGAGAAGCTCCTCTCTATGAGAGCGTACCGGCCGGTGGGAGGCTATTGGTGTTAGTAGGCGGTCCCGCAAGTACCCAGGTCCTGAGCCAGGGAGAGCTTTAAAGGTGGTAACCAAAACCTTGAAGCGCACCCGGAAGACCACCGGGAGCCAGTGCAGCTCGCGCAGGAGGGGTGTTACATGGGAGCACCATGTCGCTCCCATTACCACCCACGCGGCCGCACTGCGCCAGTTGGAGCCTCCGGGTGCTCCTCAAGGGGAGCCCCATGTAGAGAGTGTTACAATAGTCCAGGCGGAAGGTGACGAGGGCATGAGTAACCGTGCGTAAGGAGTCCCGATCCAGAAAGGAATGCAACTGGCGAATCAGGTGAACCTGACGAAAAATCCTCCCGGTCACGGCCGTCAAAAGCCTCTGATGATCCCAGCTGAGCCGCATGATCATCAGAGGCTTTTTTTAAAAAGGTTGAAAAGCATTTTTTCGGCTGAAGAGGTTGTAGAAAAAATGCTTTTAAAAGTAAAAAAAAAGCCTCTGATGATTGCGCAGCTCAGCTGGGCATGGGGGGGCAGGGATTTTTGCTACCAGTTCTCCGAACCACCCGCCACCATCGCTACCGGATTGAGCGATCCGGTCTGAACTGGGAGCATTTCACCCCTGGGTTCAACCCATTCTCCAAAGCACATGAGGGAAGGACAAGTGAGAAGCTTCAGTTTCTGCCTAGATCTCTTGTTATCACAAACCTTTCAATAAAAGCTCCTTTTGGAACAACTGCAATTTCAAGAGTCCTGTTTTCTTGGGAAGATTGGAGAGGCAAGACCTTACACTAACCTAGCTTTTTTGATTTCAGCCAAGATTAGTTAGTGCTTTATCTGCTGTGTCATAGATGGAGACAATATACCACTCTTTCAAGACCTTTTGAATAGGAGAAAAATTCAACTGGCATTGTATCCTTCAAATACAGAGTGAAACTTGCCCCAGAAATCCAGCAGAATGATCTAAGTGTACTAAACCATTGTTTAAGAATCATTTATTAACCATACTGCAGTTATCTGGGTTCACAAAGATATGCCCAGAACAGATAACACTTTAACTCAACAGATATGTGTTGCTATTCCTAATACTGTCTATGTGGTGCTATTTTCTTCTCCCCAAGTAAACTCTCCATGCTGATTATTTGTTCTAGTATTGTGATTTAGGAATTGTGAGATTTCAGTCTTCCAACTTGATGCTTCTCAGAAGGGTTTGATTTCAATTCTGCTTCTGGGTAGACATGTAAAGATTACATTGCATAGCTTTTTGGAGTTGTAGAAAGGAATTGCATACGAAGTATACCATATTTTTGGGGAGTATAAGACATACCAGAGTATAAGACACAGCTTAGTTTTTGGGAAGGAAAATAGGAAAAAAAAAATCTGCCTACCAGGTATTCATCTGGCTAACGTTCTTAGTCTGGTCAGGTTCAGCACATTAGTTTGCTGGTTTTGAGCACGCACGCATGCTTTTTATCCCCTGCTTGGGGATAAAAAATAGCTTCTAAAGCACAACTGATCTTTGGAGAGAGAAGCAATGAGAAAAACAGGCAAAGCAGGGGGAGATTGCTTCACTTGCTAGCGCCTCGTTAGGGCTGAAAAAAAAGCTTCGAAAAAGCTACTTTCGGAGTATAAGACGCACCTAAATTTTCAGCTTCTTTTATGGGGGGAAAAGTGTGTCTTATACTCCGAAAAATACGGAAGTTCTTTTGATTGTACATTTGTCCTGAAATGAGGGACCATCTGCTTTTGTCAGCTTAGTTTGCAAATATACTGTATTTTCCTTTCCATTGTTTCTGTATATGCCAGGAATTATGGCAACATTATACCCTTATGTGATATATATCCAATGTACTCAGTTTCTGTACAGAACAGAACAGAATAGAATTCTTTATTGGCCAAGTGTGATTAGACACACAGGGAATTTGTCTTTGTTGCTTTATATGTGAAGGAAGTTACTTCCTTTGTTTAATTTGGAACTCTTGCTGCTCAGAGATAGGCTGCTGACTTTTATGAACAAAAATCAGTGATAAGAACTACATTTAAAATGCTGTGTATTTTAGATCATAATCATCCAAGTTAAGAAGTTATTTTTACTCTTATTGTGCACAGAACAAATACAAACAGTGTTTCAGAAATTTATTTATGCATCAAATCCACTATATATCCCACCACAATTCTAAGGACTCTCAGTGCCTCACAAAAATGAACACACTTCATAACAATACAAAAACATAAGATGATTAAAACACCCAAATAATTCATGGCATCAGGGCTGAAAAGCTCCATCTTCAGCTTTTTCCAGAACACACCCACTTGAATGATTTCTGCATTTTTTCCACAGTAATAACCAGGCAGCAAATTGGACGACCTCTGATGGCAACAGAGGAGAGGAGCTTTAGATTGTACACCTCTGCCTTGCTATAATGTGTTGTTGTTGTTAGTTGTGAAGTCTTGTCCGACCCATCGAGACCCCATGGACAACGTTCCTCCAGGCCTTCCTGTCTTCTACCATCCTCTGGAGTTGTTGTGGCCCGTATGCGGCCTGTGCAGCTAGTAGCTGATTCAGACAGCGAGGAGGCTGATGTGGTGCTGAGCCAGCAGTCTGTGCAGCTGGCACTCGAGTCGGACAATGAGGAGGCTGGAGAAGATGTGGCGCTAGAGGTGGGGATTCAGCCAGGGCCTTCAGAACCTCCAGAAGCTCCCTTAAGTGAAGAGGACGAAGAGGAGGAGCCTTTTCTCGATGCACGGGCGCGCAGAGTTGCCAAAAGGCAGGAGTGGCTCCTCAGGAGGAGGTCTCCTCGGGAGTAAGGCTTGGGGCTAATTGGCCACTCCCTTAGCCTATTTAAGGAGGAACACCGACTGAAACAATTTGCAGGGAACAACTTAGTTCACATACCTTCGTGTTTTGTCTTGCTTATCTTATCAGCTTCCTGCAAATTGCGTCTAGGCATTCTGCCAACCACAGTAAGCTTTCAGTATTATTCTTTGAATTCTTGGCGGCTGTTAATGCAGTTAATTAACAGCCGTTGTAAAAAACTGGTTTATTTAGTAAACTAAGGTTTGAACAGACTTTGTGTGTTCTGCGTTCTTTGGGGTCCATAGCTGGGGCAGAACAGGAGTCCATTTAAGCTCACACCTACTACTTCAGTGACTCCATCCAGCCACCTCATTCTGTTATCCCTTCTTCTTCTGCTATAATGTAGCTGTAGTTAATTATAAAAATGCATTTGTTTGCTCAAGTAATTTGCAAAAATCAAAGTATTGCATTTGACAGTTGCACCAAATGGCATTTTCAAAGTGGTAGAAGTTTTTCTCTTGTGACATCACATTGTTGTATCCAATGATGATAACCAATCAGCACTTTGTTCTTTTTTCTTTGCTTGTCAGGCAACTGAAACGTGAATTTCCTAATGCAGTCATTTTTAGTACTGACGAGTATTTCATCATGGAAGATGGCACCTATGAGTTTAATCCTGATTGTTTGGGAGACGCACATAAGTGGAACCAGGAAAGAGGCATGTATGACTGGTTCTCCTCAACATTCCTCTTTATCTACTCCATCAAAGTGGCTTTCTAAAAGTTGATTAGAACAAATAGAATTAAGAACAGAATAAGCCTAATTCTGAAGTGAAAGCTGATATGCTTACTGTTTAAAGACTTTCTGATATGGAAGCTAAACATTATACTGCATTATGTTTGGTATGGCTGTGAGAAATTGATTTCTTCTGCCAAGTCTATGATAACTTCCAATTGACTTCTAGGATGATATTGAAAAATGGGTAGAAGTAGATGAAAAATAACCTGGACCCTTACAATTTTTCATAAATTGTAGGACAGAAATGGCCATCTGGAAACACGAGCCTAGAACAGAGGCAAAAAATATACTAGGGTTTGAAGAGTTATCTGGGTTTAAAAATCTGCTTTGAACTTAATTTTTTTAAGTTCATTCCATTTCTACTTTGACTCCCAGTATACATTATCTTTGCACTATTTTCAATATAATGCAATTAATCCAGGTACTTTACACTTAACAATACAAACATTTCCTGCTACATCCTGGGAAAGCAATTGTGATCTGTATGGAATCAAACAGCTTCTTAGACCTATTTTTGCAGAACCATTTATCTAGATTGCAGTGAAATTTAGATTCCACATGTTGAAGTGAAAAAAACATGCAAAAAGATGTAACATTATTTTGGTATCATAAACTCTTACCTGATCAAAATTTGTCTAATACATGCCTATCCCATCTACAAAAAAACTGCCTATCTGTATTATACCCTAAACATGAAGTTTGCCAGAACAGGAAGTAACTGAATTCTTATATCAGTAATTAATGTACTTGCTGATTTTAAATGCAATGACAATTGTTTTCTAGAATTAGAAATTGCAGATGATGAAAAAGCTTCTGGATAATTCCAGCAAGCTGAAAAGTGAGGAAAATAGGAGCAATGTGAGGATTTAAAAAATATAGACATAATGCTAGATTTTTCATAAACTAATGAAAAATCTAGCATTATGTCTATAACTATTTAGTTACATAGATATATAGTTTAAATTTAATCACTTCTTAGCTGAAGAAAAATGTATGAAGAGTATATTTACTTTTATCATTTTTGTACATGGCATATTTCTATTGCATGTCTTGATTAGGATATGGAAGCATTATGATCAAGCACATTTACATTTTTTAAAGCAATAATTTAACTGGTCTTTCGTCCATAAGAGTTTCCAAGTCAATATGCTTAGCATTAAAACTAATATCATAAAATTACAACAGATAGAAAAATAAAAATTATTAATTATAGTAAAAAGTCTGATATTAGTGGAGATCAAAGTCACCAACATCTTAAGTTTCAAAATTAGATAGACAGATAGACAGACAGACAGAGATAGAGCTATAGATATAATTTACAGCCCACTTTTGTTATTTTTATAAACAACTCAAGGCAGTGAACATATCTAATGTCGCTTTTTCCTTCTATTTTCCCCATAACAACAAGTTTGTGAGGTGAATTCATTCAGAGAGAGTGAGTAGCCCAAGGTCACCCATCTGGCTTTTGTCTCTAAGGCAGGACATGAAGTCACAGTTTCTAGCCTGGTTTTAGTTTAGTTTTAGTTTTTATTATATTTGTAAACCGCCCTTCTCCCAAAGGACTCAGGGCGGTGAACAGCCATGATAAAACAACATACAAGACAAAATTTAAAAAACATATTAAAACAATTCAATCTTTGGCCAAAATTAAAACTTCCAATTAAAACCATTTTAAACCACTTTTAAAACCCAATTTAAAATCATTTATCCCGTCAGACCGGCTTGCTGAAATAATAGGGTCTTCAGAGCTCGACGGAAGGCGCAGAGGTCGGGGATCCTTCGTATGTCCGGGGGCAATTCATTCCATAGGGCAGGAGCCCCCACAAAGAAGGTTCTCCCCCTGGGGGTCGCCAGTCGACATTGGTTGGCCGACGGCACCCTGAGGAAGCCCACTCTGTGGGAGCGTGTCGGTCGGTGGGAGGAAAACAGTGGCAGAATGTGGTCCTGTAGGTAACCAGGTCCTAAGCCATGGAGCGCTTTAAAGGTGGTAACCAACACCTTGAAGCGCACCCGGAAGACTACCGGGAGCCAGTGCAGCTCACGAAAGAGGGGTGTTACATGGGAGCGACGGGTCACCCCCATTATCACTCGCGCGGCCACATTCTGAACCAGTTGGAACCTCCGGTTGCTTCTCAAAGGGAGCCCCATGTAGAGAGCATTACAATAGTCCAGACGGGAAATGATGAGGGTGTGAGTGACTGTGCTCAAGGCGTCCCGATCCAGAAAGGGACGCAACTGGGAAATCAGGCGAACCTGATAAAAAGCCCCCCTGGCCACGGCCGTCATATGATCGTCTAAAGACAGCCGTGAATCCAGGAGGACACCCAAGTTGCGAGCCCTCTCTGAGGGGGGGTAAGATCTCATCCCCAATAGCCAACGATGGTGTTAGCTGGCTATATCGGGACGTCGGAAACCATAGCCAGTCAGTCTTGGAGGAGTTGAGTCTGAGTCTGTTCCTCCCCATCCAGATTCGCACGGCCTCCAGGCAAGGGGACATCACGTCAAGGGCATCATTGGGGTGGGCTGGGGTTGAAATGTACAACTGTATGTCATCAGCATACAGTTGACACTTCACCCCAAAGCCACAGATGATCTCGCCCAGCGGCTTCACATAAATGTTGAACAGGAGGGGCGAGAGGACTGACCCTTGTGGCACCCCACAAGTGAGGAACCTCGGGGTCGACCTCTGCCCCCCTGTCAACACAGACTGCGTACGGTCAGAGAGGAAGGAGGAGAACAACCGTAACACGGGGCCCCCCACTCTCACCCCCTCTAGCCGATGCAGCATGATACCATGATCGATGGTATCAAAAGCCGCTGAGAGATCTAGGAGGACCAGGACAGAGGAGCAACCCCTGTCCCGGGCCCTCCAGAGATCATCAGCCAATGCGATCAATGCCGTTTCCGTGCTGTAACCCGCTCTGAAGCCCAACTGGCACGGATCTAGATAGTGCCTATCTGGCACTATCTGGTGCTACCAGACCAAATGGACAAATAGAAGTATAATGTAGATCAGAATAGGAAAAAACAGTGCCAATTATATTTCCCTGAAGAGGTCTCATAATTTAAAAATATCACTGCTCAGTAGCAGCACTAGTATAATGGGCCCTAGTGACCCCACTTTGCCATGTATGTTAAAAGTCAGGTCTGTTGCTAAATGTCTGGAGGCTGACTTATTAGGTTGGCCTTCTACTTTTGTCTAATATCATATGGCAACATTCAGAGGTTGGGAATCTTTGAGTTGCAAATATAGTTCCTATCCCTGCAGCTCTCTGTAGAATAACTAGTGAGATTTATTTACTATTATTCATTATGACAGTAGTTGACTTTTCTTCTATTAAGAAAGCTCAATTTAGCTTTTCTGTACTACAGTAATATTATTATTTCCAGTTTTAATGTGTTCTTCCTTTTCTGTTTCAATTTTGTAGTATTATATATATGGCATATGGGAAATAAGCTGAACATATAATGCCAAAAAATATGAAAGGAATAAAGCCCTGTTTTTTGAAAGTCCTTTGCTAATTATATATCATACTTATTTGTAATGTAAATAACCAATATTTCTGTTGCAGACAATCCCCCAAACAATCCTAGCTTAGTGATTTGCAGCTGTGCTACAGGCCCTGGAAATCTCAAGTTCTTTTATTATCTGAAGGATTTAATATAATTATCTAGATAAACGTTAACTAATTTCACCTAATAAAAACCTATACCTTATTATATTACAGCACGTAAAGCTATGAAGAAAGGGAAATCCCCAGTTATAATTGATAATACCAACATCCACGCTTGGGAAATGAAGCCATATGCGATAATGGTATGTAATATTGTGACTTCTTTGTAATTCGGGCTAAAAAGAAACCTGTAACTTTATCGTTATCAAATTAGGGAGGAAATTTGAAGAATCTGTAATGTCCATAATGTTTTCAAATACCATTTTTTTTTCTGCTTGAATTCTTGTTCAACACGTTGTCCAATTCCTTGAACTGCATTCTCCAACTTGGCAATATTGCAACCATAATACATTGGATGGGATTTATGGGCATTTGGAAGGCAATAGATCGGTACACCATCCAATATAAATCCAGCCTTCTTTTTTAGGTTACATTTAGCTCTTTTTCTTAAAATTGAGAACATTCTCGGGAATCATGCACAGTTGAAAGGAATGTTGCTTTACGGAGACACTGAAAGCATAGTTCCAGCTTTTGTGGAATATTTGTTTCTAGGCCAGTATAAATCTTGCAATCAATGCAATCACTTTTTAAATTAAAATATGAAATTATCTTATATTGAGCCAAATCTTTAGCGTATCAGATACTTTCTGATTGGTAGCTGTTCTTTTAAAATACAGATCTTTCTGGCACTCTAAGCTCTTTTAAGGGAGATACTAAGGACTTTATGGAGGCAAAAGTGTCTTTTTGATAGTGCTACAGACTATCTTTCAGTTTAAAGCAAGTTGTAAGAAATGCTATGTTTTCCTTCCGTTGTGTTACCATTGGTGCTAACTTAGCATTCAAATAATTTGAGTGAAATACCAGCTGAACGTGCTTAAGGACATAAGCATAGTCTAAGCTCCTCTTAGTCTTGCATTTCACTCACTGGCCAACCAGATATCTGCCAATGTTCCTTTAGATGCTGCTTGGCACACCAGTTAAATAGAATCTCTGTCCCTGTTAGTAATAAAAATCACTTATGAATGTAATCTGCTAATTCAAATTTCCAATCATTTTTTTTAATATAGTTTTGACAGCACCTACAGTATCAACAGGTAATTGTTTCAATATTCCTAGCTCACAATCGTCTGTTTTGAGAGCAATTTAAAGATTACTGCATGTCTAACCAGCTTTGCTTCTTTTCTTGAGAAGCAATATTTTAAAGTCCTTGAGATAACTCAATAGCAATGTTGGATTTTTTTTGTTTGCTGTCTTATTCATAATGCATTGATGATGAAAAGTCTTACATAATTAATGGTGAGTAGTTAGAAAAATCATGAAAAATCATACTGAAATTTACTGACAAAAAATTAGGAAAAGTATGAATAGTATAGTATAGTCATGCTTGAATAAATAATTCTGAGAAATACAGTAAATAATAGAAGATGTGTTCTATGTGGATTACAAAACATATTTTGCTTAAGCTTCCAACAAAACAATCCTGCTTTGTTTGGCAGAATATAATTTGCTGTACTTTAATAAAACATTTCAAGTATTCCAGTCATTGAAAACAGTGGGAACTTCTCTTGCTTTTCATCCCAGGAATACAAGGTTGGATGGGATGCTACTCAAAAAGAAAAACCCAATTTACAAAAGAATTGGGCAGATTATTTTATTTTCAAATCGTTAAAAATAAGTCTCAGGAGGTCATGGAAAGAATTATTCCTTGTAGTTATTTTTTATAGATTACCATTGCACTGTTAGGCAAATTAAAGCAAAAATGATTTTTTTAAAGTCAGTCATCCATTCAGGATGAACTGTCTCTGTTACCTTGCTGCAAAAAATGCTGCTGCTTAATTAACTCTTGCATGAACAGTAACAACATGGGAAAATAAACAACAAAAATTTAATAACATCTGCACATAATTGTATCCTGAAGCTCAACTCAATTCAATCCAATCAAATCTCACTCAAAAGGACACACGGAATATCCATATCCATTGAAGTCCATTCAAACATACGCCAGAATTCCCACTCTGGCATTCATAGTGATCTCTGTATTTGCAGCCTATGTTCGCAACATTGGAAGTTAATCGGCTGTAGTGTGCTTTGTCCTGCAACAGAGTTCGCCATGGGTCTGCAATCCTGAACAATGTGCTTAGATAACAGCAGACTTGATCCGGCACTTCTAATGTCAATCCATCCAGTCAAAGCCAATAGCAGTAGGTATATGACTAGATTAGTAAATCTGCTGACTTTACTAGCCTGGAAATAAATCCTGATGTATAAACCACCAAGATCTAGTTTCTATGCTTAAAACAGCTAAAATGCATGAGGCAATGCCTCTTACGACTAACAACTTTTGTGAGAATGTCCATTTCATTTAGAACTCAGTACAGTACTCTCTAAATGATTATTTCATGGATAGTCCTTTCAGGAAGTGCTGGGGGAACTTGAATTAGTCATTCCAAGAAAAGGAATTAGGAGGGCCTTTCTGTATGCTGTGGATTCACGTCAAATAAAAAACACTCTTTTTAGGCACTCATAAAATGTGGATAGTGAAGATTAACATGCTTGAGAAGAAAGTACAACCTACTTAACCAAGTCTGCTGCAGCTGTATGAGCTACATTCTCACAACATGCTGCTTTTAACTTTTATTTTTTGGTGGATTGGTGTGTGGTATGCAGTTTATTAATCAGTGTATTGGGTTTATTCAGTAATCAGGTTGTGCAACTCAAATCTTTGGTATCTTTTTCTCCCTCATGGTAGAGAAAAATATGGAAAACACTGCTTAATAGATTAAAACATTTAATGTATTTTCTAAAATTGTAGCATTATAACAATTTGTTGTTGTTTTTTTCCAGGCACTTGAAAACAGATATGAAGTTATATTTCGGGAGCCAGATACACGTTGGAAGTTCCATGTTCGGGAATTAGCTAGGTACATTTTACAACCAAATGTAGAAAAATGAGGCAGACCATTGTTGTAATCATTGATTGATCTGAATCCTGATTTAGGCAAGAGGCTTGTCCTGAGAAACAGCATGTAGGAAAGTTGGTTTCTACTAGTCTAGTTGGAGATAGCTAAATATTCATCCTGCTTATGTATATAGTAGTGTAGTTTCTTGGATATATTGCAAAAATTGTGGCCTTGAAACTACGATGAAGACAGATTGCCATGTCAGTACTATATCTCATGAATCAGAAATGGAGTATATATCCCATTTTAAACATAATTTTCAGTATTTGAAAATATCTTGTAAATACAGCAATTTGCAAATAGCAAACATTTGTATTTAAAGATAAACTTGCAGTAATAATTAAAAACATGAGATTTGGAAAATAAAAAATCTGGGAAAAATTAAATGTTATTTTTAAATTGATAATTATTTGGCATGATTTCTGAAGAAGTATGATCTTCTTCTTAATGTTAATCTTTGTATTAATCTCCTAAAAGTGAGAAAGTTAGGAGCAAAAGCTTCCATTGAGAAAGCATGAATTTTATTTCTTTTGTGTCCAAAGTTACCTCACACAAAGCATATCAGGAGCTTTATATTCATAGATTTGGAAGGGACTCTTTAGACCACTGAGTTCAACCCTCTGCTCAGGGCAGGAATCTTAATTAAAACATTACAATCTGATGGTTCCTACCTGGTGAAGCAAATCACATCACTTCTCTTGGCAATTGGTTCCATTGCTGAATAATTCTTACTACCCAGATTTTTTGCGCAAGATTCATCTGAAATAGCCTTTGTATAATTTAAACCCATTATTTATCTTCTATCCCAGGGATATCAAACTGGCGGCTTGTGGGCTGGATGTATCACACAGAGGCCATGCCCACTCCAGCTCCGTGAAGGGGAAAAACATCGCGAAATGTCACATGGCAGTGTGACGCCGCGAGTTTGACACCCATGTGGTGTTCTATAAAATGATCAAGAATGGGTCTATTTTTCTGTAACATGTTTTTATTTCAGGTTCTTTCCTATAGCCAATCATCACTGATGTGTTCATGTTTTTTTTAATTAGAATAACAAAAATGTTCTGAAATCCAGTGTTAAAGTTCATACAGATAGTCTGATAACTCTCTACCTTTCTTCAGTAGATCAATTTTTTTTCTGCTTGTACTGAACATATTAAATTGTCTAGGGTGGTGATGGTTAGCCTTTTCCGGACGGAATGCCCAAAGTATGTGCGAACGTGTGTGAATGTGCGCCTGAACCCCCAAAATGCAATGATGTGCGCCTCCCGTGCATGTGCCCCGCCCTCCGTGCATGCGCAACCAGCTGGCCGGTGGGAGGTGTGCACAGATGCGTGATGGAGCTGAACTGGGGCAATGGCTCAGGTGCCCAGAGGGCGCTGCGTGCCACCTGTGGTACAGACCATCCCAATGATGCCCTTAATGTGATGTCCTGCTGCCTGGAGGCCGTGCGGGTCTGGATCGGGAGAAACAGGCTCAGACTCAACCCTTCTAAGACCGAGTGGCTGTGGCTTCCGGCGTCCCAGTATAGTCAGCTGGTGCCATCGCTGACTTTTGGGGGTGAATCTTTGCCCTCCACAGAGAGGGCTCACAATCTGGGTGTCCTCCTGGATGCACGGCTGTCTTTAGAAGAGCACATGACGGCCGTGGCCATGGGGGCTTTTTATCAGGTTCGCCAGATCCACCAGTTGCGTCCCTTTCTAGACCGGGACGCCCTACGCACGGTCGGTCACGCCATTGTCACTTCCTGGCTGGACTACTGTAATGCTCTCTACATGGAGCTCCCCTTGAAGAGCACTCGGAGGCTCCAACTGATCCAGAATGCAGCTGCGCGGGTGGTTATGGGCGCAACTTGTTGTGCCCATGTAACACCCTTCCTGCGCGAGCTGCACTGGCTCCCAGTGGTCTTCCGGGTGCAATTCAAGGTGTTGGTTACCAGTTTTAAAGCGCTCCATGGCATAGGACCAGGGTATTTACGGGACCGCCTTCTGCCATTGATAGCCTCCCACCGACTAGTTCGCTCCCAGAGAGGGGGACTCCTCAGGGTACCGTCGGCCAAATTATGCCGGCTGGCGACACCCAGGAGGAGAGCCTTCTCTGTGGGAGCTCCTGCCCTTTGGAACGAACTGCCCCCAGAAATACGTACAATCTCTGACCTCCGGGTTTTTTGCTGTGCCCTCAAGACCCTACTGTTCCGACAGGTGGGGCTGCCTATTTAAGTGGTTTTAAATTGGAGTTTTAACTTGGGGTTTTAAATTTTAGCCGAAACTGTTTAATTGATTTTAATTACTTTTTAATGATGATGTCTGTATATTTGTTTTTAAATTGGCTGTACACCGCCCCAAGTCCTTCGGAAGAAGGGCAGTATATAAATAAAATTAACATAACATAACATGTGCCATAGGTTCACCATCACGGGACTAGAGGCTTGCTGTAACGACTGGTTCTTTTCCTTCCCTCTAGTCAGTATCCGATAGTTACTAAAAATAAAATTGAATCTAACTTGGAGCCTTTTTCTTTCTTCTGTGATAATCTGCGGCGCCGAAGCCCAAGCAATTTAAACGGCGTCGATATCCGACGTGGTCGCAAGGATCGGAGGGGAGCAAGAATCGGGCCCACAGAGGAGAATTGACCCTTTACAAATGACCAGACGGCCGTGGCCGTAGGAGGCAGCCCGAGCCACTCCAGGCATTTGGTGGCGCTATCAGTCACACTGAACTTGCCAGCACAAATCTCAAGCAAGGGAACAGCTACTGAGGGAGAAAAAAAACCCTGATCTAGTAAGGTACTGTCCAGAATTGTCCAGAAGTGGATGAAACAGGAGCAACAGAAAAAGATGTCTCTGTCAGACGACTGAGTCAAAAACTGGGCCCAACAGACACAAGTGGGGGTGTGGCCAGCAAAATTGACTCAGTCTCTGGGCACATTGCACTGTATCAACCCACTTCTGGACCATTCCACAGTCCATTGGGAGAATCTGGGGATTACTTTGCTGAAAAGGACCCTTCTCAGTGGTCAGTTTGATCACATAGGTGTTGGATGTAGTTGAGTTCAATATTAGAGAAAGTGAATCTATTGGTCTCTTAATCAGTATATAATCATATCTCAACCAAATCCATATATGCATTTAATGGACTAATTCCTGATTACATATAGGAATCTGTATGGATCAGTTTCATACAGGTTCAAAATCATACAAGGAAAACTAATGCATGGATCAGGGGCAATTAATATTCTCATGCTTTCCTTGACCTATTTTTACATTTTTTTTATAGACGTAATCATCACGGTGTTTCATTTGAGAAAATACGATGGATGAAAGATGAATATGAGCATAATGTTACCTTCCATTCAGTGCTTCATTCTGAAGAACCAGCCAGATACCGCAATTCTGGACGTTATTTTTCCAACAACAGAATGAATAGATCATGAAATTGAAGGATTTTAATGGGAAACCTAGTGGGAGATTTTAGTGGGATTTTATAGATTTTATCAATTTGTATATTGTTTTAGATTCTTAGCAATTTTCTATTTTTCTATTGAACTAAAGTAGGTCTTGATGTTCCACAATTCTTGCAGATTTTAAAGAAAATTATAGAAGAAATAATTTAAACATAAACCATAATCTCATTGTTGCGTTTTCACATTTTTAATTTATTCTTTTCTGCAACCATTTTCATACTAGGCTTTATATTCACAAAAAATTACAGGGTGGCACCTATTTAGGTCTACATGTCAGCCAAATACCTTGTTGACTGTTGGCATTAAAATTCTAACTATGATATATGAGATATCATTTCCCAAATCCTCATATATTAAGAAGAGCAGTTCTGTGGTAGCAGTAGTCGTAAATATGTTTGTTTTGTCACTAAGACCAAAAATAGGACTCCAATCCAATGGCAGAAACCTTTTCTATTTGTGCCTTTACCAGTGTCTAAGTCTATGTTCAGTGTATTAGAAGCCTTGAGCTTTCAAAAGAACCAGAACCAAGCATTTTAGGAATGGGTGTGGGCGAAGCTTTTGAGCTGCAGGATAAGTAAACCTGAAACTGCTCCCAAAACCAGTATAGATTTGTGAAATCCTCAGAACTTGTACAGATAAATTGTAATGGTGGTTAAGTAGTATTTAACATAAGATCTTGTTTCTTAAGTCCTATAGTTTCTATGTTCTAGATTCTATGTTTTTAAAATATGTAGCCATAGTATGTGGCTTTTACTTTTCTGATTTTTGATTTTAAAAAAACCCCAAAAAACATTGTATAAAAAACTGAAAAACCTGTTCAGTGTATTGTTCAAAGAGATGAGGTGCTTCATTAGATACCTATTTTTGAAATCCTGGTTCTGATGGATTTTATATATCTGGTAGTAATTTGCTAACATAAAATAGTACAGAGCAAAAGCACAGCCTCAATTTTTTATTTTTACTCTACAAAAATGGAAATTTTGTAGAATTGGGTTTTGTGAAACAAGCAAGATGCATCTCAACTTTCCTATTAAGTAATAAATACTTAGATGAGTCAGAAGCCAGCATAAAGAACTAGATACTGACTAAAACAAAAATATTGAAATTACTACAGCTGCTATTAATATTGAAAGAATAAACTTTTCAGAAGAAAAAACGTAAAACTTTTTCACTTTGTAACAAAAACTGGATTCTTTTTCTCTTGATCTGGTTTCTATTTATTCTTTAAAAATTAGCCAGAACATTCTATTTTTTAAAAAAAAATGTTTATTCTATTTTAGGGAGACTAATCTAACAACAGGTTCCAATTTTAGGTACCCCGAGTCCAATGAAATTCGTGAAGTATATCAAACAATTAAGATATAATTAAATATGCCAGGAATTCTTTATCATGGATATTATATAGATTTATTATGAAATTTTGGCTATTTTATCCAAACACAGATAATGATCATTTTATTCATATTTAAAAACTGCTACTGGTTTATAAAGATAGAGTAGTGTTCAGGGACATATTTTTCATTATGATTTAGAGATCATATAATATAATATTGTATCTTTTTGCAGAATTTGTTTACTGGCAATAAATAATTTATATTAATTTCCCCAGTGTAATAAGATATAGATCAGGTGATATTCTCAATTGTAAATATTAAAGGATGAGGGATCATTTTCTTTGTTCTTTTTAGGGAAGAGGATAATTTGATGCTACTTTAATATTCACATTTGATAAAACAATACGTTCATATAATTTTGGGCACTAGTCCCTTTGACAACCTCTGATACATATAACACTGTTTAGAATAGCCGTTTATACAGCATCTTTAGGAAAGAAAAACGAGAAAAATCCTTTTGTGCAACCTTTTTATGTATTCTTCTGTTAAGCCATTTGTTCAAAAGCTAACTTTGATGTAAGATGCATTGAATATTTGAGATAAAAATTTGAAACTAATAACTTCTGACCCAGAAATGTACCTGTAGCTTACATATCAGGAATTTGCAAGTTCTTACTGAAGTGTCTTAAAATGTTTGTTTTGAGCTAAAACGTATAATAAACAAATCTAAACAAACATTTACAACGTTCAGAGTTTTAAAAGGTAATTCACACATTAAATATAAACTATATTAACAGTGACATTTTCTTTGCCTCTGTAACATTTCCTATACAATAATGAACTCTGTTTTCCTGTATAGGAATTATTTTTTTTTGGTATTTCCCGGATGCATGTCTTTTTTTTTATTGGTAGGCTGGACAGAATGATCAGCCTGCGAAAAACTGTAGCATCATGTACTGGATATCACATGTGCAGTGTCACCCATAGATACAATTCCTTGCTCTGCTGAAAAATTACTTAAGAGGGCTTGAGTATTTATCATTGCAAGTTCTTCATCAGCAACAAAATTGTTTTCAGGAGCAAAATCAGTCCCATTTAACTTTAGAAGCGGATGTTTGCTATTCTTACATTCAGTTTTTTTAACTGAAGTTTTGCTCTGGGCACAAGTGCTTCTAGGGGGCTGAAATGCTTTTTTTAGAGGTGGTGAAATAAATGTGCAGATTGGCTTCACAGGTGGAGGGGAAGGGACTTGACTGAGCAGATCCATTGCCTTTCGTTTCTTATAGTTCTTTGGAGTTTCTTGAAAATCTGGTGTCACTTTTGCAGATCCAAGAGAAAAGGATGGTTTTATATCTGACTTTCCAATAGTCAAAGGACTCTGATGTCTTCGTTCACTGTTGGGAATTGTAATCTTTAAAAGACAACAAAAATAGGAGTTGTTTGTTATTTTTATTCACAAAAAAAATTTGAATTAAATAATGTCTTTCTCTTTAGATATGTATCCTTTTAAAATAACTTCCTTCAAAGCAATCTTAGGAAATGTCTCTACCAGATATTTAAATGATCAGTATAAGACAGCAATCCTGGCCTACACGCCCTGGAGATGTGTCTAAACTCCTAGAATTCTCAGCAATGACTATATAAGATTACAAAATATTTTAAATATTTTAGTTGAAATTCTTGATAGGAAGTCCAATGAACATAGAATAATTTACTTTTGAACAGCATTTATAATATTGTTCTTTTGATAAACTTACTTCTTGTTTATTTCCTGCATCAGATTTCCAGGGAGGATCCAAGCCACACTCTTTGGAAAAACTAAGTAATTGCAAGGGATCTGATTTTAAAAAATTCATGACTTTGTATTGTGCCTCTTTGCTAAAGCAGCCATTGTTCTACAACACAAAAACAATATTTTTGTATTATAACTGCATTCTGGTAAAATATAGATATTATTATTTAATTCTATATGACCATCCATTTGACATACAACTCTGGGGAATGAACAGCAACTTAAAAACAAAACAACAAAAACTGAAATAACACATACTGTATTTCAGCTGTAGTATCAATACATGTTTTATGAAATTATTTTTAAGTATGCAACTAATACCTTATTTTTAAATGTTAGGAATTACCAAAAGAACATATGATTTTTGTAACAAAATATATATGGGTAGTCCTCACTGAATAATGGCAATTGGGACTGGAATTTGTTGCTAAATGTCATGGCTTTAAGGCACGTGATCTCATTGTTTAGTGACACAATTTCCAGCATTTAAGAGATGCTATTAAACAAATCAACATGGTCTTTTAAGTGACGACCTCACATGGTCACCATTTGTGAACTCCTCCTGGCTTTCACATAGTTTTTACTTGTGAGAAACTGGCAAGAAGGTTGTAATTGGTGATTGGGTTACTATGGGACACTGCAGCACTGATATTGTGGGCATCAAGTACCTAGATATGACAAGCACACTGCAACCAACAAATACAAGGGTCAGTCATAACTACTACTTGTTCTGCACTGTCGTACGTTTAAATAGTTGCTGAACAAGTGGTTGTTAAATGAAGACTATCTGTAGGACTGCAGCATTTAGATTCATTTCCACAAAGGGGTTTTGAAATGTGGAAGGTTATAGAAAAAAAAATGATGTAGATACTTACTGAATCAATTGTAGAATGCTGTGTTTTAATATGTATCACAAAAAAAGTAATGTGTGCACTGCATGCACTGAGTGTACTTAAATGTTCTTTAGAAATAAGTAACTTTACCTCAATGGTATTTTTAAATTCTTTGAATATTTCTTGGAGATGGTTTTCCTTTGGGTTTGAAGAAAATGCAGACAGCTCTCCAGCAAATAGGGTGGGAATATCTGATTTGAATTCAGGTCGCCACTGAAGATTGGTTGCAGAGATCAATGCAGATGGAATGATTATATCTTCAATAGCAAACTGCTTGAGATCTGTACAAATCTGAATTGCTATTATAGTATGATGTTCATCTGACAAATATACCAATGTAGAAAAACCTATGTAAAAATGAAATATACAACTTGTTGGATTTAATATTAAAGTTTACATGTTGGCCAGTTGAAATTCAAAATAAAAAAATCCTCTACTCGCAGCTACCGCTGATAGAAAATTATAATCTATTTGCAGCAGGAATGCAAGGGAAAAAAAGAATAATCAACAAGTCCTGTGATGCCAACTCTTCCCTTTCCCCTATACTGCATTCTGCCATCACTACCCAGTAATCCTACTGATCTGCTCTTTAACTCAGCTGTTCATTAAGGATCACCTTGTTTTTTTAGAAATGGACTGAAGAAGCAAATTGCTTCTGACTGTTACCCCAAAATCCATCAAATTAGTATTTTTTAATTTCTACAAAATTGAAAGCTCCCACAACTCCCACTAAAGAAAAGCGAATAATTTAAACAAACACAATTGTGAAAAGCAACACAATAACAAACACCAGAAATCTAAAAAGTAACCCACTCTTTTTTTATGCATAAAACTATTGTGGCTTAAATTTTCAGCTGTTATGAAACCCAATTTAAAGAAAGTAAACACAGGTCCATAGAATATCACACATTTGTTAGATGGAGCTTGGTACAGTGAAAGAAGGGAAAATATTAAAAATATTAAAAAACTTTCCTGATACACCATTAAAATATAGGATTTGTAGATGGAAATCCTTGGTTTATATTGATGCAGATCCACGATCATATTAACGTTGATTGGTTTATATGGTGCCTCTATGATTTCTGTTCATAACTAGATCTAGACAATTTAAATTTGCAATATTGCAATTAATTAAAACTAAAAGCCCAGTGATTTTTCACCATATATTACACAAACAAACTAAGGCAGAAGGTATCCATTTTTCTCAGGTGATGGGGTGGGTTATTTCATCACTTACGTAAAACTTCAGAGAAATTTTACAGCTTCTACATTTCAGTTTGGGAGGAAAAAAATGACTTTAAAGATACAAATTTGGAACATACATAATGACTTACATATATGTAATAAGTGTGATTACAATATGTAACATACCTGCTCTTTTTGTCACGCAAACTATATATCCCACCAAATCCACTTCAGAACAAGCTGGTCGGAAGGAGGGCTCCATCAGTTTACCATATACCAGACATTCCCTTGGTCTGTAAACTTCTAATAGATTTTCTTGAGAAACCTAATAGCATTATGGATAATAACATTATGAAAATTGCATAAAACCTGTAATTTAAGTAGTTCAATTTAAGTCTTAAAGAACACTTACTGGCAGTTGTAGATACTGGGTTTTCTTGGTAGCTGTTAACTGTATATTGTTGGTTTTCAACTTGCCTTTGGAGTGAGATGCAGATAACTGTAAAATTCTGTATCGTCCTCCTTCCTTTAAGAGGCTACAAACATGTGAGGGTGGACGCCAGATGTTCAGTATAACTTCTAAGATTTAAAATTAAAAATACAGATTGTATTTTGACAACAATATGGTGCATCTTTAAAAAAATACTCTTGTTGGTCATTGACCATACACGTAGTCCTTAACTTAAAACCATTTGTTTAGTAACCGTTCAAAGTTACAATGGCACTGAAAAAAAGTTATTTATGACTAGTTTATCAGTTTCTTCATGGTCACATGATCAAAATTTGAGTGCTTGGCAACTGGCATGCCAGCTGCAGAATCCCAGCCACACAATCCATTTGTGACCTTAGCTGGCTTCCAACAAGCAAAATCATTGTGAAAAGCCAGATTTGCTCAATGACCATGCAATTCATTAAACACTGGCAAAAAAGTCATAAAATCAAGTATGTCCTGTGTAGTAATGGACGTTCTGGCCCCAGTTGAGGTCACCAAGTTGAGACCTCCCTGTATTTTATTCTTAATAAACAAAAACTACACATAATATCCATTCATATCTGTGCCACAGAAGAACTTAATTAAATTTACTTTTAGAAATGTTACTATTTGCATAGTGCTACAGTTTAACAATGCATCCAATGTGACATACAATGAATTCAAATAAACAGGTTATATGAATATAGCGTTACTTAGATACTATATTATTACATATATTTACAGTCAGTATGCCTTTCAGATCAGATTAAGATCATATTTACCTTTTGAGTTTTCTTTTGTCCCATAATCTACAATTCGTAGTTTGATTATGTTGGATACATCCCTTCTGCAGGAGCTGTTTTTCTCTTGCTCAGCAGCTTCCACAGCTTTCCTGAATTCTGCCTCTATCTGGGCTTGCCTTTTATCATTGACCATCTGTCTGTGACTATTCAAGGCTTTTAATTGCTCTTCATTGAAAAAACCCTGCAATAAACAATGGTAAAACTGAAACAGCTACTGTATATAGATTTTACAAAAGGAAAACATAAAATAAGCCCCATTTTCATTATAACATGGAATATTAAATATATGAACATGTTTGGTTATCAAATGTAATTTTTTCCCAGTTAAATCCTATACATATCTATTTAGATATAGGTAGAATCCGAATCAAAAATAGCTATTCACCCATCAGTTTCAATTTCCTATTCAATGAAAGAATTCAAATTAAAGTATCCTTGGGAGTAATAATCACTATTACTCTCACTGTTATTGTGCATGGGCAACACTAAAATGTCCAATAAGTGTTTTCTATTCTCATAATTAAAAACTTTTCAAATAGTTTTTCAAATGATGTGGAAAAAGGACTGTTTTTAGACTTCTTTTCCAATTAACTTGCCTTTTGTTTAACCAATTCATGTTAATCTGTTTTTAAAAGCATCAATCAAAGAGTAAAGTGGTCATAAATTCTTGTTAATTTTTTTATTTTATAATGTTTATATAGGAATTTTGAACTTTTTTTGTAGAAAATGTTATAAAATCTGACAAACAGCACATTTTAAATTCTGCTTTGTCTACCAGCCCTATATTCTTGAACAGACCAGAGGGGGACAGGCAAAGAGCCAGATATGGTCTTTGGCTCTTTGCCAGATATGCTCTTTGGTCTACTCTTGAAGTATGACTGATTTACACAAATGGAATGACTTCCAAAAACTATTGTTGCTACTGTATCACTTGCTTATTAAACTAATATATAATTAGTTTAATAAAGCCTAACGAAGAGATAAATTAACTCAGTAAAACTCTCACTCTAAATCCTAGAGTAGCTATAGAGAAGAATCAAGTCCAAATCACTGTGATATGTAATCCAAAGCCTACGAAAGTTTAAAGATAATACCAATATAGTTTGTACTGAATTTAATGAATCTTACTTTTAAATCAAGTACTAATATTCTATCCAATCACGGCTACAAGATCTAAATTTGTCATGGGCATTGAATTTATACAATCAAGCTCATACATTCATTGCAATAAGCAATACAATGAATCCTACCTTTTCTTTTTTCTCTTTTCATGTTAAAATTCAAAGTACTATTGAAGCCAAATGCTAGATCTCTCATATAAAAGGGTTAATATGAACCCTTTTATATTCATTTTAATTGTTACTGAACAATCTACTATACTTGGGTTCAGTTGTGACATTCAACCCATAAATCATGGTTCATAAACTATGTTAGGATTCAAAGAATACAAATCAATAATAGCAAAGGTTTAGGGGGGAAGTGTAATAATAGAGTTCTTGATTTTCAAGGAAAATGGGATCTCTTGGGAAGAGTTCAAGATGGGAGTTCCTAAAGGGGATATTGAAAGCACAAACAGACCAATCAGTCTGACATCAATAGATAGGATATGTTGTTACCGAGATGCTTTAGTGTGGATTCCTGCACTAAGCAGGGGGTTGAACTTAAATGACTACTTCAAACAAAGAATCTAAGCCCCCAAACATTTTTGTGTAGCAAATGAATTTAGTTATACACCTGTCCTTTTAAATTTCCCAATATTTGTAACAATGGTTGAAATGTAGCTCTTTTAAAATATTAAGTGAAATTTCTCTCAATTTTCACCATCTCTTTTTTTGGGGGGGGGGGTGTCATTCTGTCTTCCTGCTTTCCCTCACCTGTGCCTCCTTTTGCTTTATCCTCTTTACTCATTGTGTTTGTTTTTTAACTGGAACTCTCTGGCAAAAAGGTAAAAAATTGTAGAATGACTATTTCTAGCATTGTTTTTTTAAAAAAACCTTACCTCCATATAAGATGGATCAGCAGAATTAATAATTGCTTCATAAAGCTCTGCACCATCTTGTAGACCACGTATCTGTTGCCTTGTTAGAGCATGGGATCGCAGTATTCTTTTGCCTTTATCTGTTTTAAAAATTAATGAGACATAAAATTAATATGTCTTAAATATCTACTGCTGTGAATTCCCAGTTAACAGTAATCAAATAGAACTGAACTTAAGGTGACTGTTAAGCTTTTGAAAGGAAATTGTAACAAATCATGATAGATTACAAAGGAAGCGCCAGCAATTAATTTAAACTTACCATTCCAAATAACATTGTTTTTTCTAAAAACAATACAAATATATTTAATGTCTTATATTTATAACATCATTTAAAAACACACCCAAACAAGAACCAAACAGAATCACCCTATTTTTAAAAATACTATTAAAATATCAAGAATTGGCAGCAGGCGTTCCAATTTTGAATATTGCAACACAACCGAGAACATTCTCTCCACTATCTTTTAGATCTTCCATTAGCTGTCCATAACCATTGTCAGTAACTCTTGATAGCAGTTCAGTCAAAATAACAAGCTATCTTTTTTTGGCAGGTGGCTACTGCTTAAATAAGAAGTCAGACAGCACAGTCCAAACTCAAGTGTTTGCTCCACCTGTGGCTAACATTTTCTCCCTGAAAAAACAGAAACTCTGACCACCTAATTTGTATTCCATAAACCTGTGTTATTTAGTACTTTAACTCATCAGGAGACTGATAACATATTTCTGCATCAAAATCGATTTACAACTTCAGTAACATACAGTTTTCAATCTAATTTGAAGTAATAACATCATGATGGTGGCAGATTACTGTGTTCATAAACACAGTAGTAAATCCAATCAAGCAAAGCAGTAAACCCTATCTATGGAAGCTTGGTTTGAACACTGCATACAGCAGACACAAAGATGTGTGCTTTAATAGGCTTAAATAGAAAATGATTCCTTCTGCTATTGCTTTATATTTTATCATAGAAAAGGCAACCTGCAAATCATTTATTAAATGTATGGGGGTGATTTTTATTTAAACAATCGGGTATATAGGGTGTGATCTGTCAATGTTCTAAACTAGGCATAAATTACTTAATGCAATGAATTGTAAATCTGGTTTATAGTTAGGACAGAATTATTATTTTGGAGTGAGAAGTACTCAGAGGAAATCATTTCTAAAAGAGAAACTTTAACATTCATTCTGTTTAAGTAACTGGAACAATTACTTTCTTAAAATCTGATACTTCTTTAACTGTTAATACCATTTAAACATTATTGAATCAGTAATATTACTTTATAATATTCAGGCATATACTATATGTGGGATATATTTCTATACTTAAGAAATGCAATTTTTTCAAAGTCTAAACGTTTCAGTAACTTAATTCTGTTTATAGGGGCTGGAATCAAATATAATTGAGAAGAAAAGAGATAGTACAGTTTTCTAAACAGTTCTGACACACAAAGGTTAAACAGAACAGATAGGTTGTATAACAGCTTTCATATTTCTCTCTATATAGACATTTTTCTTTTATTACATGCAAAATAACATTCTAAAAAATTAAAAATATAGATGTATATTTTACCATCACTCTCTTCGAATTTTGCTTGTATTTTTGCCAACAATGCTTCTAATGTTTTCTGTCGATTTTCAGCAAATTTTGCAGCTTCTCTTTGTTCTGCTCGATTGTTACGAAACACACAGGACCCTATTGATGGTTTTTCCATCCACTGAAATAAATATTGGTTGAAAATTAGGTCACACATTTGAATTAAGATTTGCTTTTCAAATACCAGTAATTATGTATGTATTGAAGGCTGACTAATATACTAAATTACCTGTATAGGATAAATCCTTTGAACAATGACATCAATGCAACCAACAGTCCCACCATCACTAAACAATGAGGATAAAGGCAAAGAGAATGGCCGAGGATCACGATAATATCCTAATTTGGCATACCATCGAGCACGTCGAGTACTGTTAGCTGTAATCTAAAACAAAACAAGTACTTATTTCAGAACACATTGTTGTAGCCTGATAGCCATGTAGATTTTTAAACATATAGCACATCTAATTATAGAGCAAATGTTAAATTTCAGAGAAAGGGAATAAATTAGATCTGTCAATTGTAAGTGCAATAAAAGTAGTCTATACTACTCATTTTCAAATTGTGTACATTTTATTTATTTACTTGATTTCTATAGTTGCCCTTCTGACCAGTGACTCTGATTTTGCTGAAGGTACTATATTTGGTCTCAGGAAGGTGGCTATGTGATCTGGACATGGGATGTTGGCCTGTCCCTTGTAATGGACAGAGTGACCCTGGAACCACCTTTGCAAGGAAGTGCCTTGTTGGATCAACCTGGTCCAGGTACCTATAGGACTTTATTTGGTTTCAGAGAGAGTTTAGTTTTTTCCCCAGGATTTTCTTACATAATTAAATCAAGGCCTCTTGATTTGTTAATGCTTCCAGAGAGGGTGCATGTAGGTGGATATCAAGTGGTGATAAAAATGTCTGCTTAAGAGCGATGTGATTTTTCAAATTCTGAAAGATGGAGGAGCACCTGCTATTCAAGAGACCATTCATGGGCCCAATCAATCTGGACAGCTTTCATCAGTCTCCAACTTTCAGAGAAGGTTGCTAAGGTGGTGTTCAGCTTCCAGTTTCAGAGAACTCTGGAGGAAGTAGATTATCTGGATTCTTTGAGGGTTTAGAAGTGGGTTAAGTACAGAGATGGCTTTTATTGTGCTGGTCAATGATCTAGTCAAATTTAGGATGGGGTAGTGCATTCATTCTGGCCCTCCTTGATGTGTCAGGAGTCTTCCATATATCAACCATATCCTTCCAAGGTCGGTAAAATGGGGACCCAGATTGTTGGGGGCAATACGTTGACTCTGTAAACCGGTTAGGGACGGCTGTAAAACACTATGAAGTGGTATATAAGTCTAATTGCTATTGCTATTTTACTGTAATATTTGTTTCTCCCCTAAGCATTTGGATCTAGTCAAATGAGTTATCTGTGGTTGGTGATTTATCATCTTTGGTTGACATTTTATATTTTATATATTGGGTTGTTTTTTAACACTATATCATCCCCCCCCACTTGATTGTTTTCATTCTGCAGTTCAAATTTTTGAGTTCAATGCCCTATAAATACTGTAGATAATAAAAGGATTTGTAAGCAACTCAAATTATAGACACATATATGTTCACTTTAAGAGGGGCGGGGAGATACCTGACTTGGAGACCTACAACTCTGAAAGGAAAATACAAAAAGAAGAGACAACTATGCAGAAATGTTTATCGCTGCCCATTCCTACAACAATATATAAAAGTCATCTTGAAGTACAATCATAGGTTATAAATGTACCTTTAACATCAGAGTTTCTGGTGCTTCTAAAGGAGTGCTTGCATCCTGAGATCCCACAAGCTCTGCTCCATGTACAACAATTTTCTGGCCAACTGTAAGCTTCTGCCTAGATAACAGTGACTGAAGAGGAGGATCCAAGACTGCCCTAATTCCATACCAACCATCTGTAACTTCAATGATTGCCACTTCTTTTTTATTGTCCTCATTGATGCTTTTGCCATCAGCAGTGTGAGGCATGTTTGTGCTAAATGATATAATTTTAGAGATGCACAGTATGATTGTTTTTCCAGCAACATCATCTCTTTCTGTTATTCTTTTGATGGCTGATCGTTGACTTTTATCCACTTCTATATCATACCTTAAAAAAAAATTGAACAAATATTTCAAACTGAATTTGGATGTTTTTGAGAAGCAATTCTCTTGCTAAGTAATAGCACTTAATTTAAGGAGTAAACAACAACAGTCTCATTTGAAAGCAGAGCAGTAATTAAGGCTATTGTTCTGTCCCTGTCTTACACACGCACACAGTCAGCCAGGAGTTAATAAAACCAGCAGTCAGGAATTTCTTTGAGATAACAGAATTGGCAGCAACCCAGTAGCTGCCTGCCAAAAACTTTACTCACAAAGGGAGGTTTTTCTCCTCCGTCCGATAAACCAAAATAAGTCCACAAAGCCAAAGAATTGTCAAGTCCAGTCCATAATAAATCCAAGGAGGGCATATAACGAAGTTCCAGAAACGCAGTATGACTTGCTAGCTTTTCAGTTTTATCTGTCACAAGGCCTGAATGGCCACCACACCCCCTTTTATCCCCTGTGGGGTGTGGTCCAGTGACTCAGCTTAATCTCTGGCATGCCTCCTTCTCTGCTGCGTGCACTTGTCTCTCCGACGCTGTTGGGGATCCAGCCAAGACTTATCTCTGTCACTGTCTAACTGCGGCTGCTCAGAAGTGCCTGGCTCCTGGCCCATCTCTTGGCCTTCGGAGGACACCTGAGGCATTGCCAGAGAGGAGGGTCCTGGAGAGGGAGGCCTTGCCAACTCCTCTCCTTCACTTTCAGAGTCTTCTCCCCCTGATAAGACGGGCTTGGGGGTCGGAGTCACAACAGCTATACAGACACAAGGTAAAATTCAGAAGAGTCATTTCCCTAAATCTTAATCTTTACATTACCTGTACTTTAACTGAAGTAATACTCCTTCTGGTGTCAAACATTTACTGGCAAAAGTTTGTGGAAATGCAACCTCCATAGCTGCCAGTTTCCATACAATCCACTTATAATGGTTAGACACCCAGGCTTTGGAAATTAGATTGGGATCTACATCAGGCGTATCACATAAAGCCCTGCACAAAAATATTAGAAAATTTATCAAACTATTAGAAGATAAATCCTGAGTTTCAATATAGAAAAGACAATAACAATCACAATTCAACTTTTTAAATGCATGTTTTGAAAAGAGTGATAAATAAAAACACAGCCTAGACTCCCACTAGTATAGAAGCTAAGAAATGTCCTATGGAGTTTCTTTGTGTTATCTCCTGCATTAAAACTTTTCACATTTAAGCTCTAAATCACTACAGGCAACTACACATATTTATGTTATAAAATTCTATATTTTAGTCAAAACACAATGAAAAATAATTTGAGAAAGAATTGGATGTGATAAGATAAAGGAAAATGCTAGAGTTAGGATGTAGAAGACTATGAACATAAATGAGAGGTATGTCACACCCCCCGTTCGCTGTTTTACCCAAAAGGAAACGACGACTCGGATACCAGTTCTTGTGTGCATGTAGTCTTTAATCCGATCAGGTCACAACGGCAACGGCAGGCGACAATAGTGCGCTGAGCACCCGCAGGGGTGACCGGCCGCCTGTGTGCCTGAATTAACACCCTCCTTCACCCCCGTGACTATACAACGCCGCCCACGGCCCCCCCCCGTTGTGCCGCTGGAGAGTGCACGAGCCCGGCTGCGGATCCAGAGATCGAGGTCAGGATCGCTGATATTCGCCGATGTGTCCAGGGCTCTCGACAGGCGGCTCCCCCTACCAGGGCTGCTCCTGGAACATAGAAATGGAAGTATTAATAAAAGTACTGAGATACCGATACCCTCCCCCTACAGCCTGGGTTTATGTGGATAGTGCGTATGGAATTGTTTAATCAGACGGTTGGCCTGCACGTTATCAGCCTTGACCCATGAGGCATCCTCGAATGGGTACCCCTTCCATTTAACTAAATACTGTATCGTGCCCCCCCCTATGTTGGGAGTCCAGGAGTTCTTCTATTTCGTAGCGGTTTCCATCTACTGGTCCAGGTCTGGGTAGATTGTCCCGGATAGCATCAAGCGGTTTTAAAAGGCTACTATGAAAGACCGGGTGGACCTTACCCAGTAATGGTGGTAGTTTTAGTTCTACGGTAACAGGGTTGATGACCCGTACTATGGGAAACGGGCCTAGGTATTTCGGGCCCAGTTTTTTGCTAGGTGTACGCGGTTTGAGGTACTTTGTAGACAAGAAGACTTGCTCCCCTACTACAAATGGTTTGTGACCGGCCCTTTTTTTATCTGCTTGACGTTTGTACATTTCTGTTGCTTTATTTAGAGCTGCTTGTATATGTGGCCATTGTTTCCAGATGTGGGTAGCCCACCTATCTGGTGGTAGCTGGTTCTGGTTCTGGACCTCTAACTCAGGTATTGCGGGAAACTCTTTCCCTGACACTATTTGGAAAGGGGTATACCCAGTGCTTCCGTGAACAGCATTATTGTAAGCTATTTCAGCAAAGGGGAGCAACTCGGACCAGTTAGATTGTTGATGGGACACGTAACAGCGTAGGTATCGTTCTACTAGCGCATTGGCCCTTTCAGCTGCTCCATTGGTACATGGATGGAACCCTGAACTCAATCCTTGTGATGACCCTATCAATTTTACAAACATACGCCAAAATTTTGAAGTGAATTGAACACCCCTATCCGATATAATACGTTGAGGAGGCCCGTGTAATCGATAGATGTGCCATATAAACATTCTAGCTAACTTGCGAGCAGACGGCAGTCCGGAACACGGAATGAAGTGGGCCTGCTTCGAGAAAAGGTCCACAACGGTCCATATTACTGTGTTACCATTACTTTCTGGGAGGTCGACAATGAAATCCATTGCGATCTCATCCCAGGGTCGTGTGGGCTCAGCTACAGGTTGTAGGAGGCCGAGAGGTTTTCCTGTGCGGGGTTTGGTGACAGCACACGTCTTACAGCTTCTTACATACTGTTCAACGTCCCTCATAAAACGTGGCCACCAGAATTGGCGGCGCACCAGATGTAACGTTTTTTGAAAGCCAAAGTGACCAGCTACTTTAGTATCATGACACCTGTATAAAACGGATTGTCGCAGAGCCTCGGGAACATATAGTCTATTCCCCACCCAAACAAGTCCATCCCGTTGGGTTAACTTTTGTTGGTTGTCCCTACACCAAGCATCCGTGGTTAGCTGCTTTTGCAGCTCCTCCTTCCAGGTGGAATCTAACCCAGTATAGAATGTTTGGCATGCTCGTTGTTTGTCTGGTAACATCGCCTGTACCACTTCCTCTCGTTTACTGTCATATTGTGGCAGACGGGATAGAGCGTCTGCCAGAAAGTTCCGTCCTCCCGGAAGGTACCGTAACCGGAAGTCAAAACGTTGAAAATATTGTGCCCACCGAACTTGTTTCGGAGACAGTCGTCTGGGATTTTGCAAGGCCTCTAGATTTTTATGGTCCGTCCATACTTCGAATGTAATACCACTACCTTCTAACAAATGTCGCCACGTAAGTAATGCCCAACGCACCACAAAAGCCTCTTTCTCCCAGATCACCCAACGTCTTTCAGTAACGGAAAACTTGCGTGACGTATAGGCGCATGGATGCAACTCCCCTTCTGGGGTTTTTTGTAAAAGAACCGCGCCCACTGCCACGTCACTCGCGTCTGCTTGCACGACGAATGGTAAAGTGGGGTCTGGATGCCGCAATATAGGCGCCTGTGCGAATAATGTTTTCAACGCCTCAAACGCCCTCTGACAATCTGGAGTCCAAGAGAGCACTTGGCCCGGCCTCGCCTTCACTCCCGATTCTTTTGTCCGCAACAGGTCGGTCAATGGAAGAGCGATGTGCGCAAAGGCAGGGATGAACTGCCGATAAAAATTAGCGAACCCAAGGAAACTCTGTAACTGTTTTCTTGTCGTAGGTGCTTGCCACTCCAGAACCGTGCTCACCTTCTTTGGGTCCATCTCCACCCCAGTCTCGGAGATGCGATATCCCAGATAGTCGAGTTTTCTCCGGTGAAATTCGCACTTTGACAGCTTAACAAACAATTTGGCTCGAAGCAGTTTTGATAACACCTGGCGCACCAATGCAACGTGTTCCTCCATTGTTTTGGTGTATATCAGGATATCGTCGAGGTAAACAAGGACCCCCCGATATAAATGCTCATGCAACACCTCATTTATGACCTGCATAAACACAGCTGGGGCCCCTTGTAAACCAAAAGGCATAACGCGAAACTTATAACTCCCTAACGGGCAGTTGAATGTTGTTTTCCACTCATCGCCAGGCCTTATTCGTACTCTATAATAGGCCTCAAGAAGATCTAGTTTTGTAAATATCTTCCCCGTTGACAGAGTAGCTAACAGATCCTTCATCAATGGAAGGGGGTATAGATGCTCGACACAAACAGCGTTTAGGCCCCGGAAGTCCACACACAGGCGGAGCCCCCCGTCCTTCTTTTCCCGGAATAACACCGGCGCAGCCAAGTGGGAACGGCTGGGCTGAATAAAGCCTCTTGCCAGATTTTTATCAATGTAACGTCTTAACTCTTCTAATTCAGGTCTCGTCATGGCATACATCCGTGGTTTAGGAAGGGTAACCCCTGGTTTTAACTCTATAGCGCAGTCAGTAGGTCTATGGGGTGGTAACACTTCGCACTCTTCTTCCTTAAACACTGCCTCCAGATCTTTATACTCATCCGGGTATGCCGGTGGCGTCGCACTGACTAATCCCCCCACCTGTAGTTTTCTCTGGCCCACTGGTGCCTCTGGCTCTGGCTTTGGTCCTACACTCAATCAAATTCGCCGAAACCCCCCTTCCCACCATATAGTAGGCCTCCATTTATCCAACCACGCGAGACCTAATATTACGGGTTCTACTATAGTATCCACTACTATAAACCGAATGGTCTCCCAATGTTCTCCAATGCCTAGTGTGACTAATTCAGTAATTCGGGTTGCTGGTTTCCCACCTAATAAAGAGCCGTCCATTTGCTCAAAGCGAATGGGGTTGGGCAGTTTTAGTATACGGAGACCCAGTTCCTTGGCTACGGCCTCCCGAATAAGGCACCGACTACACCTGGAGTCTATTAGAGCGCCCTGTTGGACTGTCTTTCGGGTGTGGGGATGTTTGAGTGTAATAGGGATAACAAACGGTTGTATTGGACCACTCACCATAGAGTCCACAGGAGCGTCTTCATCGCTGCTGTCAGAGACCTCCGGGACGGCAACCTGCTCATGGGACTTCTCCGCTTCCATTCGAGGCCCTCGGGTTGTGCTTGGTGTTGTAGCTCTAGACCAGTCTGACGAAGAACGAGCTCGTTCCCGTCCTCTGGCTACCGCTGGTGTACTTTTGGTAGATGGTATTGCTGGTAAAGGGCATTCGGCTGCCTGATGGCCTAATCGGTTACAGCGAAAACACCTAATCGAACCCCGTCCCACAGGTACTAGAGAGCGAGGAGCTGACACCCCGACTGCCGGAGGACCTAGCGGCTTGTCCGCACTACGCCGTGCTGGTGGGGGATAATTGGCCACCCCACGGGTCCGAACTCTCTCAACCCGACATCTAAATCCACTGCTGCATGGAACCAGTCCGATAGCTTGGGACCCAATCCCCTATACACACAAGCTTGCCTGAGGTCTCTATCTAGACCCAGGCGGAATTGATGCACTAATAACCGTTCAGGCCAAGCCCTTAGATGACCAGCCACAATGCGGAATTCCTTGACGTACTGTCTTGCAGGCCGTCCACCCTGACGTAAAGCCACTAGCTTCCCTTCCAACAACTGTGTTCTCGACTGGTCCTCAAAACGCGAGCACAACGCTTCCAGGAAAAGCCCTACATCCGTCAACTTGTTGGCGTGGTCGCTGTGAAGATCAGCGACCCAATCCGCTGCTTCACCCATTAAGACGGAGGTAATAGCAACTACAATGGCCCATTGTGATGGGTATAAATGGCCATATAAATCTATATAACTTAGGACCTGGCTCAGGAACAGGGACACTCTGTCCGCGCTTCCATCAAAGGCCGCTTGTAGAGGAGGAGGGCCCCAAAATCGTTGGTGGGTTTGGCCTACTGCGGGTGCCCAAATAGGAGCCGGGGCCCCAGATCAAGTGTCTTGGTCTGCTCTAGAGGCGACTCCCCCCTGATATTGTCCTGGCTGACCAGGGAGTTCCGTCTGGGCCTGACCCCGACGCCGAGGAGCTAACTGGTCCCCCCCTTGTGAAGACTCTGAACTAGGCAATGACGGTCCTCTACTATCGAGTCTAAGCTTTGGGCTGGCTAGACGGAAGCGGGAGTCAGCGTTACTTCGAGACTCCCCCCTCCCCTGCCAGGTGTCCTGTGCAGGCACCCATGGCCGCCACGAATGGGCGTCCCTAAAGCTCCCCTCGCCAAACTTCTCATGAAGTACATCCAAAGTAGAAGCCCCCAGTCCTGTAGAATGGCTTCTTTCTGCCTCATCCTCCTCCAGCCAGCGCCTCTCCCTCCAACCCTGGAAGGAAGGTTCGCTCCCGCGTGACCTGATCGGATTAAAGACTACATGCACACAAGAACTGGTATCCGAGTCGTCGTTTCCTTTTGGGTAAAACAGCGAACGGGGGGTGTGACAGAAAAGTCGGCGTTGGGAGCGGCTGCCTCCCAACGCAATTTAAACATTCGTGCCGTCAAAGTAAACGCCCTTCCGGGTTGGGTGGCTAAGGCGCATGCGCCACAGCTCCGCAGGAGTGGAGCGTTTTAAAGTTACATCCCTATCCCGGCCGCAGGGGTGACCGGCTGCCTGTGTGTCTGAATTAACACCCTCCTTCACCCCCGTGACTATACAATGCCGCCCACGGCCCCCCCCGTTGTGCCGCTGGAGAGTGCACGAGCCCGGCTGCGGATCCAGAGATCGAGGTCAGGATCGCTGATATTCGCCGATGTGTCCAGGGCTCTCGACAAGGTACTTGAGAGAACTCTGTCAAGTGGAGTAGGGGACATGGAAGAAAGCAGATGTCAGGTTTGGATGTATGTTGCAAATTCTATGAATGACAGAACCCATGCTGGAAATATATTTCAAAAAGATTAATGGATTTTATGTGTGTGTGTGTGTGCGTGCGTGCGTGTGCGTGTATGCATATATGCTAGGGAAAAAAGGATTATGCATGTGATAAAGCATGATCAAGAAGTGTGCTTATTATTTTCTTGTACATGAACCTAGAGATCATACATTTCAATGAAAAAATAAGTTTTATAAATTATTTTAGTAAGAAGGAAAAGCCTGCAGCAATACTTGTAATTGATTCTAGTAATATTAATGATCTATTTAAATTAATAAACAAAAAGGAGCATTTATTTGGATATTAGTTTCCCATCCCCCCCCCCCAAAAAAAAGAGAGTTCTAGTCTTCCCTTAAAGATGAAAGCTAGCTGGGTGATTTTGGACCAGCCCTCTCTCTTAGCAAAGCTTGTTGTGGGGAAAATAGGACAGAACATTATGCATCCAGGCTTGAACTGTATAAAACAAAGGCAGAATAGAATAGAATCTAATAATAAGTAAGCAAGCAAGTATAAGAACCTACTTTATACTGTGCCAAAATATTGATAGTACAGTAGCTCAACAGCTGAATAAACTTTTCAACTGGTAGCTGCCATTCAGAGCCCAAGTGGGGTCAAGATTTTGCTTATGACCTATAAGGCCCTAAACAACTTCTTAGCTTTCACCATTAGTGACCTGGTCAATCCCTGAGATAATCAGAAGTGTTATATGTGTCATGAGAACCACAGAATGCCATCTAGAAATGTTAGAGTCATTTCTAAACAGGCTTTTCATGCAGGTGTGAATATATTTTGAAATATTCTCTTTTAAGTATATGAGGTTCCTGGAGTTACCTCTTTCACATGGCTGAAAAATATCTTTGCTTTCAACCAAATAAATCAAATAAAGAAGAAAGAAAGAAACCAGGACTTTCTGTAGAAATGTTAAATGGCTTTTGATTCTGGATTTAGTATTAAAATGTAAACAGTGTCTTAATCTTAGTTTTTCAGAGAGAACAATAAAAACCAACTTTTTAATTTTAAACAAATAGTTTCTGCATTGCCCTGGTACTGAGAAATATAAACCTTTCTGGCATTAAAAACATTAGTAATTCTAACACTTAATAACGTATTATATCCTCATAGACACATTTCTTAAACATCATACCAAAAGAATTCTTCTTTTCCGACCTTTCCTTCATCATTAGGAATAATATATCCTCCATCAGCCAACTGTATTCCATGGTCTTCTAGAAAATATTTTCTACTGAAAAAATCCTGGATGAGAAATTGAAAATCTTCTGCATTTGTGCTATTAATTTTTATGCATTGCTTGGAAACACCAAAAGCATACAACTGCAAGGATAAAAGGCAGACAAAATATTTTAGATAATATTACTTGAAATTTCCAAGTTTAGAACAAAATATATGATGACCACATATTGTCATTAACAATATTAACAGATTAATCAGAATTAGAAGCAAAAAATAATATCCTCAGGATTGTGGACAAAAAGAGAGTTAATATTACTTGAAATTATCCAAGTTCAGAACAAAATATACAATAATCATATTGTCACTAATAATAATTAATCCAGATTAATCAAAATTAAAAGCAAAAAGTGATCTCCTCAGGACTGCGGATGAAAAAAAGAAAGAGTAACAAACATACATCTGAAACTTGGGTATGTAACATTCTATAGTTGTTAATATATCAAAACCAGATCAATATGCCACTGAATGGATTAGGAATGTTAGTATTATTTTCCTCTTCAAAGAAAATGAAGAGGGAAAAAGAGAAAAAATGGAGATGGGGAAATTGGTTACATTCAGTACATACTGTATATACTGTAAGTCTTATGTTTCAAAAACATATTAAAAATAAAAAATAGAAAGATATCAATCAGAATTAAGGGAGAAAATAATGGAAATATATATACCATTCTATGTAAAAAATGGTGCTGAAGATAGCATAATGTACCAAAAAAAAAGTTAAAACTGATAAAAAAAACAATAACCAACTGTTGTTGGAACAGGACATATAATTCTAAAATATTTCTAGTTGTATAAAGACTTGAAATTTTGAAGACACATAAGCTGTTTATAGTTTTGTTACACATTGCTGCTTAATTTCAATTGTAATTACAATTCAAGTGCAAAGCACATGGTGCACTAATTTAGCTTCTGTGAGGAGCACTTATAAAGAAACAATAAAAAGCCAAAGAAATCTGTACTACGGTGTCTTTGTATTGTCACTAAATCTGTTCTATTTTAATTTTGATCTACTACCAGGGTGGATAAAAATCAATGATTTTTTTAAAAAATCATTTTATTTTTTTGATTTAAATTGGATTTTTTTGATTTAAATTGGATTTTTTTGATTTAAATTGGATTTTTTTGATTTTTATCGAATTTATTTTAATAAAAAACTTTTGGAGTAAAAATCTATCGTAACATAGTTTTCTATTTAAGATACATAAATAATTTAGTTTATTCAGCATGAAATGGAGTTTAGTTATGTAGCATGAGGCTGTATATTCTGCAACACTGGGACTATCAGTGAGTCAACAGTGGGTCAAAGGAGTAGCAGAGATGACAGTTGCTCTTTAAAAATTATGATTTAAATCGAGTTGATTTAAATCAAGCCTTTTTACTAGTGATTTAAATCAACTCGATTTAAATCAAATCCCCCTGTCTACCACCATCACTAAAATTAGTATCTTTGCTTACAAAGAATGGGAAATATACCCACAGTCATTAGAAATTAATCTGTAGCTACCCTGTTTCCCCCAAAATAAGACATCCCCTGATAATAAACCCAATCGGGCTTTTGAGTGCATGGCAATAAGGCCAAGTGCTTATTCCCAGGTTCAAAAAAATATAAGGCAGTGTATTATTTTCAGGAAACACAGTAACATCTATGGCAGTTATTGATCAGTGGCTATAATAAGTATTATGTGAATAATTGTATTCTTGCTTTTTGTGCAAACAACCAATCTATAAAGTCCCCTATCAACTGGACTGGACAAAATGAGAAAGTTTTGTTTTTCAGCTTCAGCACACAATAACTTATTATAATATACCCCCTTCAAACCATGAAAAAACTTGTATTTTCTAAAACAAGTTACCAGAGTTTCCAGACAGGATGAAATCAGGGGTGAAATGCTCCCGGTTCGGACCAGCTCAGGCGAGTAGGTAGCGATGGTGGCGGGCAGTTCGGAGAACCGGTAGCAAAAATCCCTGCCCCTGCCCCCCATGCCCAGCTGAGCCGCGCAATCTTCAGAGCCTTTTTTTTCTTTTAAATGGCTCTGACGATCCAAACTCTGACGATCTCAGCTGAGTTGCCTGCTAATCGGTAGCAAAAATCCCTCCCCCCTCCCCTCAGCTTGCTTACCTTAGCTGCTGGTCGCAATGCCTTGCTGTAATCGCTGCAATCCATTGCATCAGCAAGCAACTGAATCTCCCTGCCTGCAATCAAGCAGGCAGGGAGTTGTGGACTTTAACTCCCAGAATTCCTCAGCCAGCAAAGCAAAGCTGGCTGAGGAATTCTGGGAATTGAAGTCTACAAGTCTTAAAGTTGCCAAGGTTGGAGAGCCCTGTTTTATTGGGTAAGTTTTTTTCCCCTTTGGGAGCTTTAAAAAAATAGTTAATTGGGGGTTTTTTTTAGTTGTTCTTTTTTTAGACCTAGCCATTTAAAGTTTAGGAAGTTTTAAATTTAGCTGCTTTTATATAAAAATAAAAATAAATAAAAATAAAATAATATTTGTGCAGCTTTCTGAGATTTAGTGTGTTTCTGTAGTGTTTCACTCTAACTACACAAACACACAAAATCTCACAAAGCTGTACGTGGAATTTTGTGTGTGTAAAGTGTGAAAGTTGGTTTTTTGGACTTTTTGTGGCTGTGTGAGATTCCTGCTTCTTGCAGGGGCCATTTTGGGTCTAGCACAGCTGCTTTTATATTGTGGGTGAGCCAGTTGTGTTGTGTTGTGTTTTGTAGGTTAAAAAAGGGCAAAGAAGTGACATTGACTTGGCCCCGCCCACCTGACCAACAAGCCACGCCCTCCCAGTCCCCTTACCACCAAGCCCCGCCCACTAATTAAGCCCCGCCCACAGAACCGGCAGCAAAAATTTTTAGATTTCACCCCTGGATGAAATGGAAAACTTTAGTTTATAGACTCAATTTCTTAAGATTCCAAAGAGGTTGTATATGCACATACAAGATAATTTTTAATAATAAGCCTCTTAAAAGATACTGTGCTTACCTGTTCACTGGAATAAAAGTCAGGCAATTTCTCTTTGACTGCAGCTTTTAAGGGAATTCTGCAAAGACCAGAAGATCTTTTTACAAGGTACAGGCTGCCTGGTTGTGGACGAATTATTTGATCTTGTTTCTTTGTAATTCTCATTTGTTGTAGATTTCTGGCATACTGAAGATATGTTGTCATTTTTGTTATGTCTGCCAAAGTATTAATGAAATCATAGCTATTTTAATTTTAATTTAAATCAGAAAGTTCCAACTTGCCTAAGATAGCAACACTGAATTCTAATTAGTGCAGATCACATATGGACTATCTATGAAAAATTTATAAGAGACATATTGCCCTTATTTCAGCATTAGTGCAGCAACAAAACCAGTATTGTTAGTGAATAAGCTATTTCTGTAATTTTTACATATCTGAGTTACTTTTGTAACAATGCATGTGTTTTTAAAAAATCCATGTAAAAAGATCCTTAATTAATAGGAGAGATATCCTTGACTAGTATTATAAATTTTCAAAGAGTACATATAATTGTATATAACTGAAATTCCCTAGTCTAGAGATGGCATTATATAAAAATTAGGAAAAGAAATTATAAAATTAACAAGTCATAACAAATCATAACATTTGTGAATTTGCTATCTATAACTTTTGTGTATTTCCATAACTAGAAATCTAATTGTTATTTTGTATATGGAAGTTATCCAATTAGAATATTGTCAGCCTTATTTCTATATTTGCTTCTTAAATGGTATTTTTTGTTATAATAAGAGTTTTAGACAATATCTCTGGACCTAGCAATAATTAATAAGTAGGAAAAAATGAAATTGTTCAGGTTAAACATTGATTTTTTAAAAAAAATTAAAGTACTTGATGTTAAAGGTATTAAGTGGCGATAAAACAGATCTCATATCTAATTTTCAAAGGTCTGCAACATAAAATATGTTCAATTGTATATTGAATTTTTATAGAAATTGTTATGATCATAATAAACATTACATACATGCCAAAATAAAAACAAGAATGAGATATCCAATGTACCTTGAACTATTTTACTATATCCTGAATCCAAAGCTGATATTCGTGCACAATTATCTTTTTCTGAGTCAATGAAGGTTTTGTTAATTTTTGTGTTATATTCTTCCATTCTGTTGATACTTTTGCAACTGAATGAGAGATGGTCTTTGACATTACTTATTCCACCTTCTGAAGTTCTTGATTTTATTTTAAAAGGAGGCACAAAGATCTTGGTAGGTTTTTTCCCTGAATAATGATTATGTGTTTTGTTTTCCTCACTTACGATCATTCCAAACTGAGCCAATGACCTAATTGAAGACCGCTCTGAAAAACCACCAGATTTAGATCCTTTCATAACTTGTTTTTGAATACTAAAATTTGGATTCAGTATTTCTTGTTGTTCATTTGTGGAACTGAAGAAATAAAAACATTTTTATAAGAATCTGAATGGAAGACTAACAATAAATCTTTTTATGTTCCCTTTAGGAAAGTCACACAGTTAAGTCGCCATGTATTGCACACACATTTAATTTACTGGTAATTTACTTATATTAATACTGAATAATAATTTAGTACTTTCCAGAATAATGTTACAAAGATTATCCAATGCATTTTTAAAAATAATACCTACTGCTGTGCATTGCCCAATTTCCTTAGTTGAGATGAGTGGCTACATGATTATTAAATGAAATAAAAACCAGAGATATTTGCTACCTTATTTATATTTTTGTGATTTCATTATAACCTTTTGATGGTTTACAAATTACATTTTATATAATTAAAATAAAATTCAGTAAATCAAATAGAACTATGCCTCCTTGAATCACTTTTTCTACACTGATTTTGCTACTATGATCTAGGAAATTCAATCTAGTCAGCTAAGATTTTTCCAAAACTCACAACTACTGCTTTAGACCTTTGGGCAAAGTTTTGGACAAAGTATTTCATTTCATTTATTCGAATTTCTATACCGCCCTTCTCCTTTCGGACTCAGGGTGGTGAACAGCCAGATAAAAAACATCTATACAAACATCACAGTTAAAAAATAAAGTTAAAATAATTTATAAATTTGGCCCATAATTTAAAACTTGTCAATTAAAATAAATATTAAAATTTTAAAACTAACCCTAAAATCAGGACAGACCGGCTAGCTGAAAAAAATAAGTTTTTAGGGCCCGACGAAAAATCCGGAGATCACTTGTATCTCTGGGGGTAGATTGTTCCATAGGGTAGGTGCCACCACAGAGAAGGCTCTCCTCCTGGGGGTCGTCAGCCGGCATTGTCTGGCCGACGGCACCCTGAGGAGGCCCTCTCTGTGGGAGCGAACCGGCCGGTGGGAGGCTATTGGTGGCAGAAGGTGGTCCCGTAAGTACCCTGGCCCTAAGCCATGGAGCGCTTTAAAGGTGATCACCAACACCTTGAAGCGCACCCGGAAGTCCACCGGAAGCCAATGCAGCTCGCGCAGGAGAGGAGTCACATGGGAGCGCCCCGTCGCTCCCATAATCCCCCGCGCAGCCGCATTCTGCACCAGTTGGAGCCTCCGGGTGCACCCCAAGGGGAGCCCCATGTAGAGAGCGTTACAATAGTCCAGACGAGAAGTGACGAGTGCTTGAGTGACCGTGCGTAGGGAGTCCTGGTCCAGAAAGGGGCGCAACTGGCGTATCAGGCGAACCTGACAAAAAGCCCCCCTGGCCACGGCTGTCATATGACAGTATATGAAAGTATAAATAATTTTTAAGGAAAAATTAAACCTAAAATGAAATGACAGACTACTCTTACCTAAATGAGCCACAGATGACTGGTTTTAAAGAGATCTTGTTGGATATTTTTTTCCTGTCATTTATTATACCTAAATAAAAATAAGTTCTATGAATCAAATGACATTTAAAAGAATATGGATTTCTATGTTTATGATAAAATATCAATTTTAGCTGAGTTTTAAAAAATTATCTCATGAACATTTTTGGGAGAATTAGTTAAGGTTGTACTAATTTGAATAACATTTGTCAAGTATTGTATAACTTAATCACCACTATGCCTGCTGCAAATAACTGGATGTAGAATAATTGGTATTTGGATGTAGAATTGCTCTCCATGAGCTTCCATTTATTGAGAATAGATAGGTAAGAATAGATAGAAAACAATTATGGGATATTATTCTACAAGCAATAGCAAGATCCTTGGGGTCCCTAAGATATGTTACCCTATGCCTGACATAATTGAAAAAAACTGTCACTTTTAGACGACTGAAAAAGCAAGCAGACTTTGGAACATGGTTGTAATTTTTTTATTATGCCCTCTCTGGCACAATTTTAACATTAATCTGAATTACTGCTCACATATCTATATTAAAGATTTACTGCTATTGGAATATGGCTTTTCTCAGAGTTCTGGAATATAGCCCATTCTTAAATGCAAAAGATATATTTGATCACCAAAGAAAAGAAAATACCTTCTCTCTTGTCTATACATGAAAAATGTTCATCTGCCAAAGCTCTGTGATAGTGTAATTGTCAGCAATTCAACCTGCATTTACTCTAGTGCTGACATAAGAAGGAGAAGCGGAGGTGTCTGGAAAGGGACGTTTGACTTTTCACCTACTTATTTTCCCTGGAGATAATATCCCCTAGGAGATGGGATGGGAGGGGGGAAATTCCTTTGAGCTGGAGCAGTAGATTAGGGGTAGAGTGACTTGGAAGATGGCCAATGAGTGCAGAAGAGTGGGGAAAGGAAAGAGAGGGTTTTGGGTCAGGAAGTCAGTGTTGGCTACAATAGAGTCGGAGTTAGAATGTTGTGCTTAATAAACGGGAGTTTTTCATCAAAGACTTTGTTTGAAATGCAATTTATTTGAGACGACCTCGAAACCTGACAGTAATAATATGGAAATACTATTACCACTACAAAGATCACTCAATTTTGAATCAGTCAAAGTTTCTGAATGGATTTCAAATGCTGTCTCACGCAAAGTAAATTACAATAATAAAGCTGGTAAGTGACAAAATCATAAATGTCTATATCAGTATATCTGTTGTGGTCCGCCAGCAGCCTGCGGACCTGGTAGCGGAGTCAGACAGTGAGGAGGCTGGGGAGGACAATGGGCCAGTCCTGGAGTTAGGGGAAGGACCGGACGAGGGCTTCGCGCCGGAGGCAGAGATGGGGCCAGGGCCATCTGGGAGCGATGCGCAGACTCCGGAGCCTCCAGAGGCGGACAGCAGAGAGAAAGAGCAATAGGAGGAGCCTGTTCTAGTGCATGCATGCGAAGAGCTGCCAGAAGGCAAGAGCAGCTGAAGCAAAAAGGACGACTCGGGAGTAAGGCCACTCCCATAAGGCTTAAAAGAGCAGCAACGAGCCATTGGGTTCTTTGTAGAAAAGCAACGCTGATTCCAGTACTTCTTGTCAACGTCTCTTGAACTTTGTGGGGTTTTTGCCAAGAAAAGCCTTTGGCAGGTTGCCAAAGACATCAAAGGTTGGTGATAAGGCTGACAGACTGGTTATGAAGAATTAGTTTTGGACTAAGCTGAGAATGAATTAATTCTCAGCTGTTTTAATAAAATAAGTTTGGTCAGGACTGAATTGTGTTTGGTAATCACTACTTGGGCCTCGGTCACAACAATATCCTGTGCCAGAAAAGGTCACAAACTATACCAGCCAAAACTAGACAAATTCCTCTTGGCCATGTATTATATCTGCTCTTCAAGCAGCAGACCCTCAGATTGCATAATATTTCTCTCTGGGAAACCACAATCCCACCAACATTGAAATTCCTAATGAAATAAGAAATAAGTGATTCAAAATAATTTATTTTTAAATATTACTGATCAAATGTTCTGTTAACTACATTGCATTTATTACTGCAGATTACAGAACATATGATCAAGCAACAACTCCAAGTCTTGGGAGGTGGAGTGGTGAGTTATGGGGGAAACTCTAACAGCCTTTAGTTCTCCTCTGTTAACCAGAAATAAGATCCTGCTTCTGAAGTTGGGCTTTGGGAAATAGTTGTGACTGCTGCAATTATACTAACTTCTCTTCTCCATAGCAGGTTCCCTAACCAGGCCTGTGGACAAACTGATGATGTTTTCTCAGACTTATGTAATTGGGAGACTTCAACTTGTTATTGCTCAAATTATGAGGTGGTTTGGGATTTCACAGCTACCATGACAACTGTAATCCTTGGTCTGATTCATTCCATAGAGGTCACACAATGAATATGTTTTTTTTTTAATCTTAGGGCATTTATTATGTTATCTGAAGGATATTAACATCTGTCACCTGCTATAGTAAGATTACTCTCAACTTGGCCTGCAGTTTTCTGGTAGTGTTCGCTCTCCCATAGGGAGCTGGGACCGCTGAATAGTCTGCCCATATGCCTGATGGGCTGTTGGTTTTCAGAGCATGTTTGGGGTTTAAGATTAAAATGGAAAGTTCAATTAAGGCTTTAGTCATCACTTGGAATGAACAGGTAACAACAACCATGGATCAATCCTCTCACTTTTTACACTGTAGTCCCTCACATGTCAATCTCAAAACAAGAAAAATATGCAGGCACTATAAAATAATAAGCAAGAAAAGAAATGAAGTGCCAATGAAGACAAAATGTATGCATCTTTGAGATGACTTACATAGACTGAAAAACAAAAATTACCATATGGAGAACTTCTTGAAGATTTGAAAGATGATCTAGTGAATTTTTCGGATTGATCAAATTCAGGCAGCAGCTTTCTTTTAATAGGAGGTTGTCCTGAAAAAGGTATATCACTGAACATTTCAAAAATGCATATTCAATAAATACAAATTACTATGGAATATTTATTTAACTGATTTATTAAATCATGTTTTATGTAGATAGCAGGGCTTTCTTTTGAAAACATGAGGCTTATTGTATTCACATTTTGGATTGATATGTATCTCTAAACTAGACAGATAAATATTACTTTTTGAAATATTTGTAAATAAAATATTTACAAATAAATCCAAGTTCTAATTAACTTGGCTCCCGATAATTACAGAGATACAACCTTCCATGTTTTTTCCCAGTCATACAGCAGTGATTTGCCACTGTGTTTTAAAAAAAATGTTTTTCAGTTTCCCAGCCTGGCCTACAATCTTGACATTTGCTATCAGAAATTCCAGACTAAAAAGTCAAAAAACCAGGAAGCAATAGAGGTAAAAAAAAAAATCCATACAATTGTTAAAAATGGCAGATGTAGTCACCAGAATCTGAATCATGGAAGAATGTAAGAACTTCACACCACACGTTCACAATTCTTCATATAAACATTTCTCATTATTCAAGAAAAATGTAGAATGGCTAAAGAAAAAGGGTCGAGTTATTTGTAGGGGACAGCTGCCAATTTTTTTCAGCATATTTTTTTCTCTCAATGTGAGTCCTGCTAATAGAATAAAAGCTGTAGAATATTTATACAAACAGCTATTATTGCTATTACTCTACTCTTCCATCAATGTTCACTAAAACTCATGTGAAAGCTACACTGCCAATCCTTTGACAATATAAATTTGATACTTTGTATTTTTTTAAATAAGATTTTTCTTCACTGAAATAAATAATTGTGTAGAACACCAATCTGAGTTACTGGCAGTGTGCAATGTTCAGTATCTTAAATGAATTTTAAGGTTCAAGAAAGCAAAAAAGTACTTACCAAATGTGTTTTCTTTTTCCAGATGTCTTTTCCCACTTCTTGTATGTAACAGAGAATTATTAGCTGTCAAGATAGATTTTTGAATATTTCTTTGTACTTCTGAATCAGTGAAATCGTCATCTTTTATGAAAGCTTTTGCACTTTCTGAAGCTTCTACATCTGAATAATTATCTGGAGTTTGGGAATAAGCAGGACAAAAACAATCCGGATTCCCTTCTGTTGCATATTTAGTACTGACTCTGCTTTGGCATGATTGTATTATCTTCAAAGGTTCAGTTACTTCTTTTGAACATGAAAACCTTCTTTTGAATTCTGCTGGTTGCTTGTATTTCTCAGTAGAAGTGATGCACGTAGGTATTTCAATATTTAGCAAGGATTTAGAAGTTTCATTTTTATTCTGATTCTCTCTGGTTTTGCATTTCTCCTTCGGTTTAGATGATGAATTAGCTTCATGCTCCTGTTTAACTTTTGTAATGGGAGTTTTTATTGGAGAATTATGAGTTTGCTTTAAACTTTCATCAACAAAGAAATCACTTGCACCGATATCATCGAATTCTTTTAAAAGTCCCATAACATTTTGAAAAGCCTTGTGAGAAATCCGTACCTGTTCTCCACATGCTGTATTAAAATCACATGGAATGCCTGAATGCTCCTCTACATTTGGATTTTTTTCCCTTTGGGATATATCTAATCTATTTTCTCTGGGAAATATTTTTTTTCTGATAGAATTCACTGTGTTATATTCATAATTGCAATCTGAGTCAAAATTCTGATAACCAGATGAATCAGATTCAATTTCAGAAAAAAGTAGGCTTGCTTTTTTTAGTGATTCTTTAGATAACTGAACAGGCTTACCACTTGCTGTGCTAAAAAACCCACAGTTGTCAGTAGAAAAGTCTGATTTGCATTTCTTTTTGTTGGAAGTTCGGGTATCAGAGCACATATGCATTTCAATAAAGTCATCTGAAGCTTTACAATTTAATTCAGGCGCAGTTTCCACTGATTTGGGTGCAACACATGATAATGTTTGGGTGCTTTCACATAACTTTTTGGTTACAGGAACCTGGGACAGGCCTGAATATTCTGTTGGAATCTTCTCTACACTCAAATAGCTAGAACCAATATAGTCCCTGCTACCAAAAACATCAGAAGAACTTCCAAAGGTGTTACCTTTATTTGCTTCAGACTGAGATTCTAAGTTATTGAGGTTTTTATGAAGAACGTGTTGGGCATTTTTTAATCCTTCCTGAGAAACATTAACAGTTTTACCACTTGCTGTACTGAAACTGAATGCAGCTGGTCTAGCTTTCAACTGTTTTGAAGGGTAGTCTTTTTCTCCATTAGTTGTGGATTTCTCTAACGTACTAACATCCAAGAAATGCAAGCTACACTTTGGTGTCATCCAATTTTCATTTTTATAGATTTCTCCAGATATGTTGACATTAGTTCCTTCATTAACATCTGACTCAGATGCATTCACATTCTTCACTGAATGTATCTCATTACAGCTGAAATTGTCATCTGAAACAAAATTCTGATGATCTGATAAATTAGGTTCAATTTCAGAAAAAAGTTGTCTTGCTTTATTCAGCGATTCTTTAGATAACTGAACAGGTTTGCCACTTGCTGTGCTAAAAAACATACATTTATCAGAAGAAAAATCTGATATGCAGTTCCCTTTGGTGGAAACCCAGGTATTAAAACACTTGCCCATTTCAAAACTTTCATCTGAAGTTTCATGATTTGTTTCAGAGACAGTGTCTACTAATATGGGCATAGCACACGGTAATGTTTGGGCAGTTCTACATAATTCTTTGGTTGTAGGAAACTGGGATATATTCAAATATCCCATTGGCATCTTCTCTACATTCAAGTAACCAGAAGTAATGCAGTTTTTACTGCCAAAAGCATCCAAAGAACTTCCTAACATATTACATTTTTTTGTTTCAGATTGAGATTCCAAGTTACTGTAGTTTTTATGAAGAAATTGTTGGGCATTTTTTAATGCTTGTGGAGAAACTTTAACAGTTTTACCACTTGCCGTTTTGAAACTGAATGCAGGTGGCCTAACTTTTAATTGTTTTGAAGTTGAGGTTTTTTCTTCATTAGTTGAGTATTTCTGTAAGGTGCCAGTATCCAGTAAAGGTAAATCACATTTTGATGTCATCCAATCTTGATTTTTATATGCTTCTTTCAAAATACTGATTTTTTTTCCTCCATTAAAATATGATTCAGATGTATTTATATTCAAGGTCAGTCCTTTAAAGATCAATCCACTCTTGAAACCCTGTTTAACCGTGTTTGACAGCACGTCCAAAGAATCTTCAAAATTATCTTTAGAATGTCCAATTTCTCTACATTTTTCAGCTCCTTCTCCAAATTTAAAATTATTTTTAACTGAATCTTCAACACTAGGTTTTATAAGATTACCAGTATTGTTCATATTTCCAAAAAAGAGAGCTTCTTCTGAAAGAAGATGCCTTGCTTTAAGTAAAGATTTGTCAGTAAATGTAATTTGCTTACCACTAGCCGTATGAAAACCACCAGTCTGCTTTTCCCTGTTTTCAGAGACATTCTTATGGTTGCACCCAAAAAAGATTTCAGTCTGATTTAATTCTGTACTCTCTTTCATAGAAGGGATAACTTCTTTATGTCTAGCATTTGTCTTCCTTTTGTAATATGACATATTATTTATCTCTTCCTGTATATCAGAGCCTGTCAACAAATTAAGTCTCTTACTTTTTTCTGCAAATGTGTCCCTGTCAGTAACAGTGTGAATGCTCTGTAGAAAATATTGTTTTTCTGGCTTACTTACTTTTTCTTCTTGTTCTGAAATAAAACTTTCTTTTGCACCTGCATCATTCCAAGTATTATTTTTTTCAGTTTTAGCAACTTCAACTAAGCATGTTAGATCAGACAAAGTTTCTGGGTAATTATTGTTACAGCAAGTTTTCCCACAATTTAGAAAATGATGTACAGGTAAAGCATTTTGATTTTTAGTGGATAACAATTCGTTTTCTGATACATGTACAGAATATTTTTGAATAATTTTCAAGTTTACTTCTGTGGTGCTAGTAATCTGGACAACACTATCTTTATGGCAGTCCACATCTTTTAACTTATTTTCTGTATCTTCTTTTACAAAAGCAATTGTTGTATCTTTTGTGGTACCTTGTATTATATATTTAGCATTTCCTTTTTTGGCCTTCTGAGGCCAATCAATATCTATTTCTTTCATAGGCATGTGCCAACTACTGCATTTGTTTGAACTATCCGTTTTTATTTTATAGTTCAATATTTCATCCATTCCATTCATATTGCTGGCTAATTCTGTACCTCTTGCAATCTCATCTTTGTTTTTAACTGAATTATGATTTCCCAGATCAGATTGTAAGGGATCTGAAATAACTGGAACAAAACATTTTTCTTTTCTATTTGATTTCAGCAATATAACCTGCTCGTTGCTTTGTCTGTCAGTATTACATTCCCCAGTATCTGTATGCTTAAAAGAGGACTGATTATTACCTGGATCGTCCACAAATCCCATATCTTTCCAATTCTTAGAATTTAATTTTTTTTTTATCAAAACTTTTAGTTTCATTAGTGTTATTGTCCATCATAATCTTGTGTTTTCTAAACTGGGTAAATTCAAATTGACTGTCTGTTTCTTCCAATATGTTAGAAAGTTCAGTAATTTCAGCTACTTGGCTTGCTGTTAAATTGTGTTTTTCTTCAGAGTGCTGATTTTTAAGTACATTTTGAACAGACTTATTGCCATATTCAGGAAAACTAATTTTCACATCATCTGAGTGAACCACAGAATCAGAAACATGTAAATTTAGTTCATTTTGTCCAACTGAAAAATTCTCAGTATTTTCCTGTTTATTTTGACTTGAAATAGCACCTTTTTCTTCATTCTGAAAGTCTACAAGAAGTTGATCTTCTATATCCTTGAACAGTAATTTGCCTTTTCTGATTTCATCAGCAGATAGCACTATCTGTTTATCAGATGCAGTCTTAAAACCTTTGCATTCCTGGATTTTCCTATTACAAAGACATCCTAACTCTCTCTGCTTATCATCAGGCGCACCTTCTTTTAAACTTAGTAATGGAGACAGTTTTGTATCAATTTCTTTCTCCAATACCATAGTTTTAGATTTTGATGCTTTCATTGAATGAATACCACTGTCCAAAAATTGTGCAGTTAATTCCAAGTTTACTTGCTTATTTTCTGTTTCTGATACTTGCATCGGCAATGTACATTTTTGTGCTTCTTGTGATGAACTATAATTTGTGAAATCAGTCTTTCTATCCACACAAGTATTGCTGTGACAGATTTCATGGAATCCTTTTTCAGTTACCTCTGTTTGATAATTAGCAGCAATATCTCTGGAAAACATTATAGCTTCTTTCTTTGTATTATTTTTTAGAAGTAGTGTTGAACTATCAGTAGTGTTATGTTGAATATTTGACTTTTTACTACCTGTAGTTTCATATAACATGTTAGTAGATGTATAGCATTTTTCAGAATCTATTTGCTTTCTTTCTTTTGTGGAAAGATTATCAGCAGTTTCAATTTGTCCTGTAAGAAGTTGAATTACAACAGGGATGTGAGTTAAAATGATACCAATATAAACATATCCTAAACCTCTGTAGTATATTGTACTAAAGTATTTTTTTCAGGATGTCAACTGAGAAACCACAACTTTTGCTTTATATCTCAATTGTAGATTTTTATTCTATATCTGAAAAACCATCAGATATTAAAGCATTTGTATGCTTTTTTATTTATAGTTAAACAGAACAAGTTTGTCTTTATCAAAGAAACAGCTTTTTCTGAGATATTTAAATCTTTTTCAGGCATACCTATATGAACAAAATACATATTTTTTATTCTGATTTTCCTCAAAACCACCCCAACAGAACATACCAGTTGATTTTTTAAAAAATAAAATTTATACCTTTTCAACACACAATAAATAATTGGGTTTCAGTAATATATTCTTAGCAAAATCAAGTACTTTTTTCTAGAAATATTTGAAATTACAATCTACTTTTGGAATGGTATATTCAGTCCGCCTTCCTCTTCATTAGCTCTTAGAGAAACCTTTCTCCATCAAGAGATGGGGGAAAGGAGGAATTCCTTTATTTTTAATGTTATTTTTACTTATAATGACCAGCAGGAGGCAGTATATGACCAGTTTCATTTTATCTGAAATTTGTCAATTGTCAATTTGTCAATTACTAAGACCCCATACAAAGCTCGGTGGGCTGTGTATACCTGATAAGTCTCAAATAGAACAAAGCAGGCCTCCTCGTAGTCAGTATCTGAAATTCCAGTATTTTTGTTTTTATAATTAACCATACTTATTTTATCTATCTGAAAATGACTTCAGCAACATTTTACTAACATATATATAGTATATTTTAGACTTTTTCAATGCAGTAAACAGAAGTCACAACAATGAACTGAGACATGTATGGAATTTTAAAACTTAAGTTTTAAAAGTTAATACACAAAGGAATATAAATATTGTACCTTCACTCTTGATTTGGATTTCAGAAAGTTCAGAGATACCAGTTTCTAAATTTGTACATATTGGCACAAAACAAGTAAGAGATCCATCTCTCTGGGTGGTTCCTTCTTCCCGCTGAATTAGAGAATTGTTTAGAGCATAAATGAATTTTTTGGGCCGCCTTTTCAAACTGGAAAGTGAGCTAATATTTTTCAAGCTTGATTTTGTGTGTTGTCTAGCATCACTAGAAGCTTGATTTGAAATATTACCTAGATAGCCTGAAGAACTTTTATCCTTCCTTGAGAAATCAGAGCGAATATTTTGGACTTCTGAGGATTCTGTTAAAGTTCTGCTCTTTAAGAAATAATTATTCTCTGAAAAATTTACAAAAGAAAACTCCTCATTCTCAGCATGTTTCAATGACACTGAATCATTCTTAATCAATAAAGGTGAGTTTTCAGAAACGGATAACTTTTCTGGAGAACTCATCTTTCTACTTTGTATTAGACATGGTGTGTTTAACATATATGATTTTAATATTTTAGGACTACTGCATTCTTTTTCAATAGATGATGGACTATCCGGATAAGTTTTCTTGACCTGTAAGGTAGAAGATGAACTAATGCTCTTCATGAATTTTTTTTCAAGTTGCGTTATTTCAAGACCAGACAAGTCCAACTGAGACCATGGACAAAGCAAAGATGATGGCATATTCTCCTTTCTGTTCACTGCATTCTGTATTTTGGGGACATTTGTATTCAGGTTACATTTAGAAGATTTTAACTTTTTTTCACATTGTCTTTCATGAGAAGCCTTAATCATTTCATGATATCCTTCAAGTTCATCATGATTCTTTTCATAAAAAATAGCTTTTTTATTCTCCTCAACTGAGTTAATTTTTTTTAGAAAAACTCTGCTGCTGGCAATGTTCAGAGAAAAGTCATTTGTTCCACCATGATTATTTTCATCCTTTGGTATATTTGATGGCTTTTGGTATCCATGTAGCTCAACAGGAAATGCATTCTTATCAAAAGATTCATTTAAAAAACTTTCAAGATCTGTAAATAATTGTAAAACAATAGCATCAGAAATAAAATCCCACTAAAGAAATTTGGTAACAAAAATTATATGAGAATTCAGTTATAAAATCTAGGTAAAGGCCTAGGAAATATTAATGTAGTTATTTGTACATGAAAATCCAATGTTCCATTTGAAACTAACTATCTGTAATGATATGTGGGAATAATCATGGGAAACAGGGCAACAAGACACAGCCAAGGGAACAGGAAAATAAATTATTCTGCAGCAGGAATGTGCAAGAGGTTTAGAAGTACTTTCAGATTTGCAAGAGTTTGTTAATGTAACTTTACAACAAAACAGAATTAGTTCATCTGGTCATGTTGTCTGTCTGGTCTACCTAGTAAGGCCAACACTATCCAAAATATTATCAATTATGGTTAATTTAATTACTTGGAAAAAATAAACAAATAAATACTGTATCTTAAATATTCTAATATTTGCAATAGTGGCAAATATTTGTTTAATAAATAAATATCTTAAAGAAAAAGAAGCAATCTAAGAGTTATAAACTAATAAAGGACAAATGCTCACTGTGGATTTTGCTGTCCATTTCTGCACATGAAATTTCAATTCCTGATGAAGATTGTCTATTATTGCTCTTGAGACTTTTCTCGTTTTTGGAAAAAAAACCATACATGATCTAAAATCCAAAGCAATAACAATTAATTTATAAACTTACATATCAGCTGAAATTTCTAATACCAAAAATGCACATTCTTTACTTACAGCATCAATTATTTCATTAGGGATCGTTGTTCCAGAAACTGTATCTTTTCTTCTTTCTACAATTCAAACAACAATATATATTATTTGTAGTTATTTTATGACTCATTGATGGAAATCAATGTTTTATGTCCAACTTGTATTTAATGAAGCTTTCTGAGAATTTTATTCCAAAATACAGAACATATTTAATGAAATAAACTGAACAATGAAATACTCTAATGAAACTATTGGCACTTATATTAAGGTTGAACAATGCAACCACTTGTAATGGTTGCAATGAATTAATTATATGGATCCAACATATTTATCTCTTTTACTTATCTTCCTTCAGATGCTCCTTGAATTATGATTGGTCATTTAGTGACTGTTTGAATTTATGACAAACCCCCACATAACCAGCCACATAATTGCATTTTGAGTACTTGGCAAATGGCTCACCACAGATTATTTGCAGCATCGCACAGTCACATGACTACAATTTTTTTGATTATTTTTTTGCCAGTTTTACAGTATTTAATTCTTGTTTCTAGCAATAGCATTAGTGTGGCGTACTGCATATTTTGCATAGCCATCTGCAAAAAATACTGAAAAAACCTGATCACATGGTACCAACCAATGACCACAGTGATTTATGTTTGCAATTCTGGGCTCAATTATAGTCATAAGTCAAGGACTACTTGTAGTAGTCCTGTAATTATTCAACTTAACCGAACTTTTAAGAATACATTTGATTTCATATTTATCTCTACTCAGCCTTTCATTTAGGAACTCAAATCACTGTAGTTCCTCCTATTTCTTTCCACATAGCTTTGTTAAGTAGGCTGAACTGAGAGATAGTAGTTAGCTCCAAGTTATCCAGTAAGCAGTGGCTGATGATATAGTCAAATTGCATTTTTCCACTAGTCCATTACAGTAACCAGTATGCCACACTAATTCTATTTCTACTTCTTTAATCATATTGAAAATGAAACATTATATGGCTAATAATTATCAGCTGATTTCAAAAGAACAGTAATTTTAATAACAGTCTATATATTACAGGTGAAACTCAAAAAATTAGAATATTGTGCAAAAGTTCATTTATTTCAGTAATGCAACTTAAAAGGTGAAACTAATATATGAGATAGACTCATTACATGCAAAGTGAGATAGTTCAAGCCTTGATTTGTCATACTTTTGATGATTATGGCTTACAGCTCATGAAAACCCCAAATTCACAATCTCAGAAAATTAGAATATTGTGAAAAGGTTCCATATTCTAGGCTCAAAGTGTCCCACTCTAATCAGCTAATTACGCCGTAACACCTGCAAAGGATTCCTGAGCCTTTAAATGGTCTCTCAGTCTGGTTCAGTAGGAATCACAATCATGGGAAAGACTGCTAACCTGGCAGAAAACCGTCATTGACATCCTCCATAAGGAGGGAAAGCCTTAAAAGGTAATTGCAAAAGAAGTTGGATGTTCCCAAAGTGCTGTATCAAAGCACATTAATAGAAAGTTATGTGGAAGGGAAAAGTGTGGAAGAAAAAGGTGCACAAGCAGCAGGGATGACCGCAGCCTGGAGAGGATTGTCAGGAAAAGACCATTCAAAAGTGTTGGGGACATTCACAAGGAGTGGACTGAGGCTGGAGTCAGTGCATCAAGAGCCACCACACACAGACAGATCCTGGACATGAGCTTCAAATGTCATATTCTTCGTCAAGCCGCTCCTGAACAACAAACAACATCAGAAGCTTCTTACCTGGGCTGAAGAAAAAAAGAACTGGTCTGTTGCTCAGTGGTCCAAAGTCCTCTTTTCTGATGAGAGCAACTTTTGCATCTCATTTGGAAACCAAGGACCCAGAGTCTGGAGGAAGAATGGAGAGGCACACACTGCAAGATGCTTGAAGTCCAGTGTGAAGTTTCCACAGTCTGTGTTGATTTGGGGAGCCATCTCATCTGCTGGTGTTGGTCCACTGTGCTTCATTAAGTCCAGGGCCAACGCAGCGGTCTACCAGGAGATTTTGGACCACTTCATGCTTCCTTCTGCAGACGAGCTTTATGGGGATGCCGACTTTATTTTCCAGGACTTGGCACCTGCCCAAACTGCCAAAAGTACCAAAACCTGGTTCAATGACCATGGGATTACTGTGCTTGATTGGCCAGCAAACTCGCCTGACCTGAACCCCATAGAGAATCTATGAGGCATTGCCAAGAGAAAGATGAGACACGAGACCGAACAATGCAGAAGAGCTGAAGGCCGCTATTGAAGCATCCCGGTCTTCCATAACACCTCAGCAGTGCCACAGGCTGATAGCATCCATGCCACGCTGCATTGAGGCAGTAATTGATGCAAAAGGAGCCCCAACCAAGTACTGAGTACATGCATATGCACGCTTATACTTTTCAGAGGTCCGATATTGTTCTATGTACAATCCTTGTTTTATTGATTTCATGTAATATTCTAATTTTCTGAGATTGTGAATTTGGGGTTTTCATGAGTTGTAAGCCATAATCATCAAAATTATGACAAATCAAGGCTTGAACCATCTCGCTTTGCATGTAATGAGTCTATCTCATATATTAGTTTCACCTTTTAAGTTGCATTACTGAAATAAATGAACTTTTGCATGATATTCTAATTTTTCAAGTTTCACATGTATATTAATTACAATTGCAAAATGTCTTTCTCTTGTAGCTACTCTGTATTTACTGTTCTTTATCCTCACGTTTCAGTCATAACCGTGTTACCTTCATTACCTATTATGACAGTTGGAGAAAGTGTAGGAGGCGTTGCTAATGAACTTGTCCAAGACATATCAGGATCTGCTTCTGCTCCCAAGCTCTCAGAAATGCATTTCTGTGTCTGAATCTAAAATATAATGAACTGTTTAATCACAGACACAGACACAGACACACAAACACACATATGGCATTATCATAATTAAAATATTTTAGAATAAAATTACCTCAAAAATCTTGGGTGTTTGTAATAAACTTTCACTTAGTACTGAAAATATGAAAGAAAGTATTCTTAGAATGAGCATATATTTATAAACTAATACAACTTTCAGTGCAATAGATAAAGACATTAATATTTACCATATTTATTATTTTGTTTTTCTTGTACGACCGGACTGAAATATAAAGAAAAAATAGTTATTTAAATCAAAAGCATCCTTAAACACAATTTTAATTTCTATAACTTCATAAAATATAATGAACAATGTTTATATATCCTGCTCATCTAAATAAGGTGTATCTTTTTAAAGTCAATATGGATAATCTGAGAGCTCCTGATTCTATAGCACTAATGAAGCTAAGATTAGTCACTTTAATTTTTCCAAAAGGCAACAATAACGATTATATAATGATATTTTATATCATAGTTTGAAGGTAAGTATTTTCTTATCTCTCTGCAGAAATATATTTACCTATCAGAGTTTATCTTTAGGAAAATTTACATATCACAGGGGTATGTTATGCACCATATATACTTCTTAGTTGGTGGGATGTGGGCAATAGGCTTGCAAAGGAGTCTCTGGAGCACCTGCACTAGAGTAACAGCGAGGTAATATTAGGTTTGATTCAGGGGTGAAATGTAAAATTTGTTACTACCGGTTCTGTGGGAGTGGCTTGGTGGGGGGGGTGTAATGTGACTGGGTGGGCGTGGCCAACTTTTTTTTTTTAACTTTTCAAAACATTTTTTCTAATGCTTTGAAAAGCTTCTGCCAATCAGGCAACTCAGCTGGGATCGTCAGAGAAGCTTGTTAAAAAATGCTTTGAAAAGCTTCTCTGCCGATCAGGCAACTCAGCTGGGATCGTCAGGGACTTTTCAAAGCATTTTTTTACCACCTCTTCAGTCAAGAGGTTGCAGAAAAAAATGCTTTGAAAAGCCTCTGACGATCCCAGCTGAGCTGCGCGATCATCAGAGGCTTTTTTTTTTTTTTACTTTTAAAAGCATTTTTTTCGTCGGAAGAGGTTGTAGAAAAAATGCTTTTAAAAGTAAAAAAAAAAAAAAAAGCCTCTGATGATCGTGCAGCTCAGCTGGGCATGGTGGGGGGCGGGGGCACAGGGATTTTTGCTACCAGTTCTTCGAACCACCCGCCGCCATCGCTACGATCCAGTCCAAACCGGGAGCATTTCACCCCTGGTTTGATTGCACTTATTTTGATCAGAACATGCCCAAACTGATTAATACTGTTCTTGATATGGTGAATGTGACATGGCCGTGATTAAAATTAGTCACCTAGTGTAATTCTTTCCCATTCTACCAAACTGGTAGCCTCAATTGTTCAAATCTATGATCTAGAATACACGAGTCCATGTGCTGACAGACATAACATATAAAGAAAAATGTATTGTTGTGACTCCAGCCCCGGAGGCTGATTTATCTTCGCATGCTGAGTCGGAGGATGATATGAAGGAAGCTGGCACGAGCTATGTGCCAGAGGGGCCGTCTTCACTGGTGAGTTAACAAGAACTAACAGTTGCTGACGTGCCTCTGGACCCCAGCCAAATTGAGGAGGAAACAGAGGCCGGTAACGAGGAGAGGGAGCCCCTATTGGATGCAAGAGAGAGATGTAGGAGACGTCGTAGAGAACAGCTATTGCAACGTCCCAAGAGGTGTGGTCAGGAGACGTACGGCCATACCCTACAAAGTATAAAAGGGGTGTGGCTGGGCCAGAAAGGCGTGGTGAACAATTTGTTGGCATTTTGGAGTTTAGAACTGCTAGTTTTGAGTTTTGAGAAGGAGTCTGCATTCCTGCATTAGCCTGCTGGCCGTCTGCCAAGACCTCTGGAACATTGCCCGGTAATTACTGAACTGATATACCTTTGGAACATTGCCGGTAACTACTGAACTGATATACTTTTGAAAGAGAACTGTTTATTAACGGCCAGCTTCAATCTCTCTAGCCTGTGTTTGTTATTGCCGGGCTATTTGAGCTTCTGCAAGGCCACTCGTGGGAGGGGACAGAACATGTATGTATAAGGGGTTCATAGGTTGAAATAGGATGACCTGAATGAAGGTGAGCTGATCTGAACTTGTAGAGTTAAGATATATATATGTTGAGTAAATGGAGATGCAAATTTAACTATAAATGAAAAAGCTAAAATGTATGTCACAAGGTATGAATTCATGTCATCTAGACTGTTGTTGATGTGTATGAAAGTAGAAATTCAGTGATAGCTGTTACTGTTCAACACATTGTGATTAAAAATGAGCAGGGATGAGTTTGGGAACAATTGTGGATCATTCTGAACGAAAACCTCTGTTTGCTAACGTGAATGAAATACAGATAGAATAGGGCAGATAGGAACATGGAAGATAAAGAGAAAGTTTCTGGACCATTCAGAGATCCAAAAATTAATGAAAATAATAATTTATGTATCTTTGAATATCTGCTTGGAAAATATTATGTTTAAAATTTAAAAAAGTGCTACAGAGTAATGCTAAGGGAGAGTATGCAAAAAGATGCTTGGTAGAATAACGAAGTGAAAGCTGCAAAATAGGTTCATATAGGAAGATGACTGCTAAAACAATTAGGAAATACGTTATATGAAGAGAATTAGATAATCAGGAAAATATATATTTAAAGAAGATGAGATAAAATTAAATTTAAAATAAGCAGAAAAAATGCAGAATGATTTTGCTGGAAACATTTTTAATAAGAGAAAAACACTAAACAATATCTTCCAGCAGAATGAAAACTATTAAAAATAAAAGTACTGAAATTATTTTGGGTGAAACTAAATAGTGGAAAATAAGAATATGTTTCTGCCCTTTTTGTTGGGTGAAGAGGAAAAAGCAGAAAATTGTGTTTGGAGTTGGTAAGATTCTTAGAAATGGAGAAAAAAAGTACTGCATGAAAGTGTCAGTGTGCAAGGATGTTTTGCAACAGCAAAAAGGTAGAGACAGAAATACTGAAAGAAACAGATGTTAACTAGATATAGCTATGTTGTTTTTTACACATTGTGCCCTAATTTGCTTGGCTATTTCTTATGCCTCCAGAAAATGTATCCACATCAATGTCACTACCCTCATTTCAATATACCAAATAATTAAACAGCTAAAGTCTGAGGCACTTGTTGACATGTTGAGTCAATCAGGTGTAGCAGTGAGCCAATTTGCTAGTTTGGTTGGTTAAATGCATCAGGCTAGAAACCAAAAGACTAGTCTTTCCTCAGATGCAAGCTGAGTGATTTTAGTCAGTCAGCCCTAAAAGGCAATAAATGATTCCAAGAAATCATCATGGATATGCCCAAGCATTGTGATGTTACCTTGATTTAAAAGACAAATTTAGCTGTAACAATGGAATTCTTTATTGTGTTGCTATAGAAAGATCTATATCTACATCAGCATCGATAGATAAATAAATAAGATGCACCTTGCAATAACACAGGAATTAGAAAGATTCATTCCTTCATTTGATTCATCCACTTGTGTTCTCAGTCTAGGCATTTCACTGAAAGTTTTACCTGTATCAAAGAAATGTAAGCAAAAAACCTTTCACTACTAGGTAGTTCTTTTTTCTTCTTCTACATTTGTCTAATTAAATCTTGAATGTTACAGGAAGTAAGTTTGCTTATTCATTTTTTAACCATTTAAACCATTTCTAGCCTCACAATTCCATTGCCCTCTCTGCTTATGCTCACTTTCCCCCTTTTAATAGTTAAATCCGTTTAGTGTGGTACAGGATCTAGTAATCCAGAATCCAATTCAGCCAAAAAAGAAGAGTTATTTCTTCCCCTTAAGCGCTTTTGGGATTTTAGCTACGTAAATTTATGGCATTCTTGAGAATTAAAACTGCTTATAGAAATGAGATCTTGTCACAAATATGTCTATGCGATAATTTTTTTTAGTCTTTGACCATAAAATTAAATAATTTTTTACCAGAAATAGCAAAACCCATTTGGTTAACTAAAACTTACAAATCTATGAGAAAAAGTACTGAAGTTAAATATTTGATAGTAATAATTACTAGATATATTTATTTATTCATTATTTATAAAATGTATAGGCCACCCATCTTACCTCCATCTAAATTCTGTTTTTCCTTTAAGGTCTCAAAATAGGAAACACTAGGATCTCTATTCTTTTTATTTATCCTCCAAACCCCACTCTTATGGGTTAGGTTCACTTGAGGAATAGTAATTGAATGAGCTAGTGAATTCCACAAAGGGAATGGGATTTAAATATGGGACTACTCAGTCAATACCAGTCATTAGTCGCACATTGGCTTGGTTACTCTGAATTTGCTGTCAATTTCTTCTTATCGGTGGGCAATACCATTTTTGGCAACTTAAAGAATTCAGAGAACATAAGACATTAAATCTATGAAACATGATTTACAGAGATTTTGCAATCTCTCTCTCTCTCTCTCTCTCTATATATATATATATATATAAAAAATAAAGTGAGTGAATATAAAAGAAAAAGGTAAACATTTTCCTATCAGTTGTGTTTGATGCTAGGGCACGATGCTCATGTTTCTTGGCTGAGGGAGCCAGCTTTGTCCTAAGACATATTCTGTGATTATGTGGCCAGCATGGCTACGTATATGCCATGGGCGCATGGAACACTGTTACCTTCTCACTGAAGTGGTACCTATTAATCTATTCGCATTTGCATGCTTTCGAACTGTTAGATGGGCAGGAGCTGGGGCAGGAATGGGAGCTCACCTTGTTGTGTGGCGCTTGGGTTAACCCAGGCTGTCAGCTTTCCAGATGACAAGCTCAGTGTCTTTAACTGAGCTATTGTGCCCCGAGTAAATAGTAATGATTAATAAAATATATGAAATACCAAGAATATTCTAAAGATAAATATTATTTTAACAAAACATTACAATATTTTTGTAAATTTGAGTACTAATTCGGGATATGGAATATTTAGTGATTAAGAAATGAATTTCAGAGAATTCCATATTCTCCTGAATATGCCATTCCAAGCACAATTGCAATTTACAGAAGTCTGTTGAACCAATGTTCCAGATGTATTCGAGGATCTGGATGATCCCTATCACTATTGTGCTTCATGGCCAGACTACCCCTGAAATACCTCAATGTTTCCTAGTTCAAAGAATTTTTGAAATGATCAACTACTGTAGAAAGAGAAAGGTTTTGAAGGAAACAAAATGCTCTGTTCCTAGAACAATGAATTTTGCCTTCAAGATGCAAGCAAAAGTTGAAATATAGATTGCCAAGTACATACTAGACAATATATATCCAAGATGAAATCTGGTCTATACACTAGAAACCCAGAAGTGGCTGAAATTGTCTTCTATTGTTTCATGTTTTTATGGAAATGGGGCAAAAGCTGTTATTTTATACCATAATCATCAACCCAACATTCCTGTTTTATACAAACCACAATGTTTGAGCTGACACCTAATATCTCCAAAATTAGTCACTTTTCTAGTTGTGGACCTTTATGTAGCCAGAAAAGTAAAATTTTCACAAAAGATGCATCTGCATTGTAATATTTCATTTTCATACTACATCCATTTTGTAAATGCTATACATACAAAAATGTTTACAATTTTGGTTCTTATATTATTTCTTACCTTACCTGTTTCTTCACTGGACTGAGCTGATTTTTCTATAGGAGAAGTAAATGTTTTTACATTTTTATTTCGGTCTTTAAAAATCATGGGCGTTGATAACTTATTTCTAGACAACTTCCCTTTTGGGGTTTTGAAAGTATTTTGATCCATAGTTTTGTGTAAGGGGTCTTCTGTTTTTTTCACATCATAAGGTGGAGCTTCTGAACTGAGTTCTTCAAACCAATTGAGACTTATTGGTCCTAGGTCTAAGAAAAGCAGTCAATACATTATTTAATGTATGTTTCAAGTTATGATTTAATGATTACTACAAATTAATAATTGGTTCCACTAAATTACTATATATTAATGTCATCAGAAAATAGTAACCTTAGAAGTAAGATTATTTTGCAGGATCTAATCTGGGTCAGTCACCAGGACCAGAGGTGTTGTCTTCTGAGCCTTCGGACTCATGCTGAAGCCCATCCTGAGAGAGAAATACCCTGAGGATGGGCTTCAGCATGAGTCTGAAAACTTAGAAGATAAAACCTCTGATCCTGGTGACTGACCCAGATTGGATCCTGCAACATCATCCTGGGACAGGTATATTCATCTTCATTCATAAGATTATTCTTTTACACAAGTACTGATGTAGGTTGGCTTTCTAAATATATTATGTAATACTAGATTTTTAAATAAATATGAACTATCATCAAATATTACTACTATTACTATAAAATGTTTTTCTAATAGTAGGGGATGCTATGGAGAATATCTCCTCCCACTTACTTTAAAGGCAGAGTTCAAAACTACTCTGAAATTCTTTCTGTAGGTCTTTTCCCATATCAGCCGCTCAGAGTCCCTGTTGTGACCCCGACTCCCGAGCCTGTCCTCACAGAGGAAGAGGACTCAGAAGATGATAGGGAGGAACTGACAAGGCCTCCCTCTTCAGGACCCTCCTTTTTGGCAATGCCTCAGGTTCCATCCGAAGGCCAGGAGGAACAGCTGGGGATGGGCCAGGAGGAAGGCATTTTGGAGCACCCATTGATAGGGAGAGATGATGATGAATCCTGGTTTGATCCCAGGCAGCGTCGGAGGGAGAGGGTGCGCAGCAAAGGAAAAGGCGTGGGAGGGCCAGAGATTGAGCTGAGTCACTGAGCCACACCCCACAAGGGATAAAAGTGGGTGGGATTGCTCTTCAGGCTTTATGACGGACAAAGTTCACACTCTGATAGTCACATCATTATTCCTGAACTTCGGTTTGAATATATTTTGGACTGAACATTGACTAAACTCTTGTCTTGCGGATAATTTGTTGCTCCTGGAATGGACTGAAGATAAGCCTTCTCCTGTTTTCTGGGAGTGCAAATGGACTTGGCAGGCATTTTGCAGTTAGCTGCCAAAACCCTCGTCTGCCAGGGATTCAGGTCTGTTATATAAGAAACTATTGACAGGCGTGTTTGGTATTGCGTTTGCCTGTGTGAGGGAGAGGGACAGAACAGTCGCCTTGATGGGTGGAAATAAATTTTAATAATAATATCTGGCTCTGCCTTGTTTGGAGAACATGCATGCCTATTAGGCATGTGACCAAGATTTGCTTACAAGCTAAAGATTCTTTATCAGGTGACTCTTTTGTAAACAACTAACTGCAATCTTCTCTGTTATCAGCAAAAAGATTCACCTCCATGCCAAATCACTGGAAGGTTTAAGAAAGAGAAACAAAGTCTCTAGGCTAAGGTATATGTTGGCTCCAATTGGGAAACAGCTCAATTGTTGAGGCTATTGTAATCCTTCTTAATATATCTTGCTAATGATTTATAATAATATAATTATGGTTCATCACACATTAATTATATTATTTATAACAACAGACAATAAAAGAAAAAGGTGAAAAAACTTGAGAACCTGACAGTAGCTACAATTTTCATCTTAATTGTATAACAATCTGCTTAAGTTTTCTTTAAATTCTTTTTCTGATTTGTCAATCTGAAACTGGGGAAGCAACTATCCCCCTCAGACCAAGGAATTTCAAAATAATTCCAATCTTGTCTCCAGAGCAAGTAGAAAGGAATAGAGACACACACACTAAAAGCAGCTTGAATTGAAATAGTACCTGATTCACTGTATTGTGTTTTGAATATTTCAAACAAAGATGGTTTCTTCGCAGATATATCAACATTTTTCTTTTCCATTGCACTGTTAATACAATTAAGAAAATCTGCAAAATAAAGTGTTCTTAAAATTATATTGGTAATTTATCATATTTGACAGAAATTCTATTTCTTTTTCTTCTAGACTGCTTACACATCATATACCCTCCCCACAAGAAATGCAAATATTTATGGTCACAGCATTAACATCATGAATGAACCAATAAATTTATAAAATAAAACTGTATAATTTATAGCTTATATGAAAATACCAGATAAATTTATTTTGACAAATTATGAGGACTGATTCAAACATAGATCTAGGAATCTCTTAAATAGAATCAAAAGACTAAAAACAGACTATAGGATTTTTTAATTTCTGACTAATTCCCTTAATTGTTTGGCAAGAAAGCCAAGACAAAATATAATCAATGAAAACTGCTGGCAGTCTTTGTTGTGTAATGACTATAGTATTGATCTTTAAGGAAAATTAGGCCAGATTTTTCATTTAAATTGGTATGTTGTTTCAAAATGGTCAGTTTATAAGACTCATTATTCCTATGCAAAATTGTAACATGTTTTTAAGTATGCAACTTCTATAAATAAGTACTGCCACAACAAATCCAAAAATATAGAACAAAAATCCTACAACTGCAAGTGTTTTATAGAAACAAACTGCCTGAAAGTAATGATATTATGGGAATAAGCTACATCCTACACTGGACAATAATACTGTAATTTTTCAGAGACTGAATGATAGGTCCATATTTGTATACAGTCAATAAATCTGAAGTAGATTCTCACAAGCAACAAAAAATCTAGACAATGATGCTAACGTGGAAACCAACTCCTGCAACATTCCCAGATTGTAAGGTAAAGGTAAAGGTTCCCCTCGCACATATGTGCTAGTCGTTTCCAGCTCTAGGGGGCAGCACTCATCTTCGTTTTAAAGCTAAAGAGCCAGTGCTGTCCAAAGAAGTCTCCGTGGTCATGTGGCCGGCATGACTAAACGTCAAAGGCACATGGAATGCTATTACCTTCCCACCAAAGGTGGTCCCTATTTTTCTATTTGTATTTTTTATGTGCTTTCGAACTGCTAGGTTGGCAGAAGCTGGGACAAGTAACAGGGGCTCACCCTGTTACGCGGTACTAGGTATTCGAACCGCAGAACTGCCGACCTTTTGATCGACAAGCTCAGCGTCTTAGCCAGTGAGCCACCGCGTCCCTATTCCCAGATTGTACCTACATCTAAATCAACAGCTCCAATAAAGGCCCCAATAGTATATTTTAAAAGTTTGAAGAGCATTCATAGGCTTTTCCTCTAATGGGATATATGCTGTCATCTACTAGCAATGATCCCACCCCCTCTGGATTCTGTCAAGTCAAATGGTACAAATTTTTTGTAAAAGAATTAAAGGTAACAAGTTTAATATCAGTTCACACTTCCAGATTTTTAAAATTTTTTTTAAAAATCTTATTTTAGAACAAAACAATGCAAAATTGAGCAAAAGATTCCTGAACCTGGATACATTATAACCAGGCTCTCACAAAAGGGCTCAAACAAACATATATTGTCAATACAATTGTTAATTGATAAAGGTGCTTATAAATCTTTCCTACATGTAACCTGCATCTGGCTAAGCAACCTATCTTCCATTCCATTCCCTCCACTCATCTCCTTCCAATATAAATCCAATTCCAATTAATCAACTCTGCAGAAATGAGTTGTTGCTCAGAAAAGCTTTTAATAAAATGTGTTTGTTAAAAAGGTGCCATCAGACTGGCAAATTAAATGAATATAGATGGAATAAAGATCCAAAAAGACTTCCTCATATTCATTAAACTAGTAACAAATAACCAGGATTTAACATATGCTTAAAACCTTGTGAACTCTCTTGAATTTTTAATATTTCTGCATAAATATGAGCTAAAATGTGAACTGTTGTCTAAACAAGTCCTAAAATTAGATAACAAATCCATTAGAGAAATGTGTCAAAAACATTATTCTTGTTCATTTATTGAGGAAAATGATCCAAAGCTACATATTTCTATGTGACAAGATAGAATTGGGATTATCAGTTCATTTGAAGGGAAACTAGCATCATCAGGTGTTTCAATTAGTGGGATGATAACCAGGTATGAATGTGGGAGGTCCTTTCTTATTTAAAGACTGAAAATGTAGGATCTTTGCAACACAAGCATGGAAGAAGTGTGTCATGGCTTGAACAAATGAGACTTCTGATGACCTTTGAAAAACAGTTAATTGAAGCATACCAGGTTGGAAAAGGGTTACAAACTATTTCTAAATAGTTTTAATCAGTCAGATGCCAGGAAGATTGTGTACAAATGGAGACAATTTAACCTCACTGTTATTTTCCCCAGAAGTGATCAGCATACCAAAGGCATACTAAGGGCAATGCTCTGGGAGAACCTCAAGATGCTCTGGGAGAATGCTCTGGGAGAACCTCAAGATAAAGTCTAAGAAACCAAAAGCCTATCTTGAATTGGTGAATGTCACCATTAGGAAAATATTGAATTGGTGAGACCACCATTAGCAAAATACTGAACAACAACGGTACGCATGGTAGGGCTGCAAGAAGAAAGTCACTAATCTAAAAAAAAAAAAAAAAATTGCTGCCCATCTAGAGTTTGTGAATTACCATCTGCATAAGCCAAAAGGTTATTAGAAGAAAGTTCTGTAGATGGACGAGACTAAAAGAGAACTTTTGGCTTAAATAAAAAGATGTTTGGTGAAAGGCAACACTGCATTCCAACATAAAACTTTATCACATGTGTGAAACAGCGTAACAGTACAGGTAGTATTGTTCAAAGTTAAAATGGCACTAAAAAAAACTGACTTATGACCAGTTTTCACACGGCTGTTGTAGCATCTCCTTGGTCATGTGATCATACACTTGGCAATTGACTCATAATTGTGAGGGTTGCAATGTCCCAGGGTCCTGTGATCCCCTTTGCTATATTCTGACAAGCAAAGTCAATGGGAAAGTCAGATTCACTTAACAACATTTTGACTAATTTAACAACTACTATGATTCACTTAACAACTTCAAGGTATTGGTTACCACCATTAGAGCGCTCCATGGCTTAGGATCCAGGTATTTACGAGACCGCCTTCTGCCACCGATAGCCTCTCACCAACCACTACGCTCCCAGAGAGGGGCTCCTCAGGGTGCCGTTGGCCAAATAATGTTGACTGGCGGCCCCCTGGGGAGAGCCTTCTCTGTGGGGGCACCTACCCTCTGGAATGAGCTGCCCCAGGAGATACGGCGGATCCCAGATCTTCGCACCTTTCGCCGTTCCCTAAAGATGTTTTTATTCCAGCAAGCCGGGCTGGCCTAACTCTTTTAAATTGTTTTAATTTTTAAATTGTTTAATTATGGGTCTTAATACAGGGGTGTTTTTAATTGTGGGCCAAATTAATTTAATTGGATTTTAATACTGTTTTTAAATTTTGTATTTCTTGTGTTTTATCTGTTGGCTGTTCACCGCCCCGAGTCCTTCGGGAGAAGGGTGGTATATAAATATAAACAATAAATAAATAAATAAACTGTGGAAAGATAATAAACTCACTTAGCAATGGAAATTTTGGGCTCAATTGTGGTTGTAAATTGAGGTCTACCTGTAATATGGTTTAGGCCTCTGATCACGAGAGCTTACTATCTTAGATGGAATAATGAATTCTGAATTCTACTACCAGTAGCAAATTCTACATGAAAATGTCAGCGTATATGTCTAGGAACTGAAGCTCAACAACAAAAAAAGTTTTCGGAATAGCCAAGTCAAGATCTTGACATTAAGTTAGAAAAATGTTAAAATATCTAAGCAAGCAGTTTGTGAGGGGAAGCCCACCAACATCCCTGAGTTAAACCTGTTCTCTGAGGAGGAATGGGCTGAAAATTGCTTGATCAACAGTTACTGGTAATGTTTAATTGGTTACTGCTGCCCAAAGACAACCCATAAGTTACTAAATGCAAAGGTTTACATTTTTACACATATATACACATATACATATATGTAGGTCTGGAATTTTGTCATGTTTTATATTTATATTTATGCAGAAACACTGAAAATTCAAAAGGATTCATAAATTTAGGAATCGCTGTAAATCCCAGCCCAGCAGATTAAGACAAACTCTAAAAATAACTATTTATGGGAAATAACTTGGCTGTGACTTGTAACTGGTGGAAATGGTGTAGCTAAAAGAAAACCAGAAAAAGGACATTAAAATGATCAAATTTAATGTCCAATTACATTGTGATGGAAGGATCGGTACTAGCTACATAGCCACTGAAATTTACAAAGTGTAAAAAAACAATGGCAATTGCCAAAAAAAAAAAAAAAAAAAAAGGAAGTTGGAAAAATGTTTCGAATATCAAAATGTTTTTGATATATCGTATATTTGCTGATACTTGTATTCCAACCAAGATTACAAAAATCCCATTCTATGGAAGCTTTGCATTTTCTGAAATCAGAATCAATGTTCCATCACTGTATTTCATCATTCCCTCCACAAAACTATTATGGAGAATGAAGCTTAGACAGCAAATCTATCCCTCTCCCATCTCCACATCTGCTAACTGGGTTCTAAGAACATAAGCCTGTACAAAACAGGAGGGTTGAATCCAATTGGACAAATTTGCAAGCCTACTCAACAGCCTTTGCCTGTTTTTGCTGCTTTAATATGCATTTCTTCACAAGGCAGGAAATTAAACTTGAATGACTATTTAGCTCATCAATCCTATCATTGTTAAGCTGCCATCCTGATAAACTTATCTGGAAGTTAAACCCTTCTATTTACATAATAACTACAAGTGAAAAATATCCAATGAGGCTTGCCACGGCTACGTATTTTGCAGGACTACCTGCCCCCCTTTGATGAAATACCCGTCAGCTGTGCTAGCATAACACACTAAGCACTAATTTTACTATATGACTAATTGTAGTATATAGCCACAGATGTATTGTATTTGACCTACAGCAAAGCTATGATCCAATATTTACTATTTCTACACACTTAGTTGGGAATATTTAATTCATATACTAATTTAAGGTACTCTGAGTAGTAGGAAGAAATATTAATTATGTTCACCACCTTAACTATCCAGTATAGGGGAAATAAAAATATAATCATAATCATCTTTGGAGCTACTTTGGTCTAGTGTTTATGGCATCAAGCTAGAAACCAGAAGCCTGCAAGTTTCAGTCCTGCCTTGAGCATGAAGCCAGCTGGGTGACCTTAAGCTGCTTCAGTCCTAAAAAGCAGGCAACAGCCTATCACTTTTGAACAATCTTGCCAAGAAAACTGCAGGGACTTGTCCAGACAGTCGACAGGAGTAAACAAAAAAACAAAAAACTGACTAGGAGGCACAGAAATCTTTATGCCAGAGGTCTTCAAACTTGGCAACTTTAAGACTTGTGGACTTCAACTCCCAGAATTCTCCAGCCAGCTGGCTGGAGAATTCTGGGAGTTGAAGTCCACAAGTCTTAAAGCTGCCAAGTTTGAAGACCTCTGTTTTATGCTCATCATACGTCAGATCTCGTAACGACCGAATAAATTATCCAACGGGATGCACCGTCAGCGTCCCTTCCCCTCACACCCAGATCTCAAGCCCTTTAAGAAAACCCGACCTGTCTTCCACTCACACACGGTTTCACCTCAGTGCCTCTCTTCATGGGACAGCGAGTTTCTCCTGAGCCAAGAAGAACCTCAGAAGAGCAGCCCTGCGGAAATGTAGTCGAGAGCAAAAAATAAAAATAAATCAATGGATTAAGGAAGGGTTTCTCGAGGCCAAGCGAAGAAGAAGCGACGCGCCCCCGGTACCGCCGGGCTCCAAGTTCACCTCAGCAACAACTTCCTCAGAAAGACAAAAGAAGGCGCCAAAACCTAGCCAACGCATGCGCAGTTTCAGAAGGGGGGGGAAAGCAATCATTTCCTCACAGCTGATCCAGTCTCATAATCCGGAGGTTTTTCCGTACATACCGATCCGGCCTACGAACGGAAATGAAATTGGTCTCCCGTTGGGAACGGTGGAGCCAAGCTCTTGCCTCCGTTTTTTCACTGGCAATGGCGTGAAGGCCCGAAACTAAGAGAAGAGCCAGAGGGTAGACTGTAATGGTTTAATCCTGCCGCACTCAAAGGATCATGGAACTTGTAGTTTCTTTTTATACAAAAAAGAATTGGTCCGTTTTAGCTCACGAGTTTAAGTTAGGTTTATGTGCAATACTTAAAAAGTATGCCCAAACCAAGGAATTTTAATAGTTCAGAGACAGGCACATCGTTTTCATTTTTCTCTCAGGAGCTGTTAAGATCCTTCCCCCCTTTTTTTATTCTTTTTTTTTATTCAAAAAGCTGCAAATTATCCCATTGAAATATATTCCACTTCTCAAAACACATATTTTACACTTATAACAGCTTTTCCATATCGGTACCAATATCTTTCATAACAATCATATTTACAAAAATTCTATTTATATACATCACTATCCTATGTTATATCCTTATTTAAATTATAATAATATCTACTCACAAATCAGTATGTGTTTTGTGTTTTAAATGTTGGAAAATTCAATAAATACTATTTTTTAAAAATATATTCACTTTGTTACTGCACATTAAATACAACAATGAGAATCTGATCCTGCAAATCTCTTGTGAAAAAAAGTTTACATTTTACACAATTAACTGATTTGCTATTTATATTCTGCCTTTCTTCCAGAATTTCAAGGAGACATAAGAGAGCACTCACTTCTTCAGTTTCTCCCGAAGGGTGCTTTTCCAAAAGGCAATTGAACTTTCTTGATTTTTTTTCTTAAAAGCAGTTTGCTTCAGTTCTGAAGAAGCTTCTTGGATGAGAAGCCAAACGTTTTCAAGGGAAACCCCCCCCCCCAAGAAAGTCCAGTTGTCTTTTGGAAAAGCACCTTTGGAACAACCATGACTTGGATGATTGAAAATCTCTAGTCACTCTGAAGTTGGTTGTACTGTGCATGATTAGTTCAAAGTCACTGGTATGCTTTTGGTCTTGAATCTGGATGAGTTTGCATATAAACACACACACATTTTTATGTTCATGTGACAGAAATTGGATTCATACAGATTATGCTAAGCCCCAGTATGATTTTATTTTACATATTGTGTAGAGTCTGAAGCCATTACACATAATATTCTGCACCATAAACCTAGTTAACAAATTTCAATATTTAAGCTGAAACCAAACATCACATTAAGAGTTAGTGTATTGCATGAACAATGAGCCATTAAGTGGTTTATTCTGGGTTACTACACTATATTAACATAGTAATTGTGATTTCTTCAGTAAAATCAGGAGTTGGGACCTATATCTTCAATGTGATGGCCTCCACAATATGCCTCATCATTGTATGTTTTTAAAGCTTGTTTTAATTTAAACAGTTAAATATAAAGTTAACATATTACTAAGCAATATGTTGATCATAAAATTCCACAAAGCCTTTTAGAAAATGCATATATCCCACAAAAAGTGTTAAAAATAAAAATACACATGAAAGAAAACAAACCAATGCTACTTGAATTATGCTTCACTTGTTTAAAAGACTAACAGAACCATCCAGAGAGGTTAGTGCTGAACAATCTAGCCAGGTTGCTTTTTGACAAATGGGAGATTAGTTGTATTCAGACAAACACAGGACCTTGGTTTTACTGCATTGAGTCAAATTGCCGGGATTTACAGAGCATATTAAATAATTTAACTTTATTGTTTGGATTTCCAGAGCATACTAAATCACATTTTGACTATGAGAACCAGTGCTGTTTGGATAACTAGGTTTGTAAAGAACAAGAGTGTTGTATTGCAACTGGGCCAATGTTAGATGTTTACTGGATTGCATCTCCAAAAGTCAGTTGATATCAATGTACTACCTTGGAGTAAATGTTTCCACTCCCTGATATTTTGGTACGACTTAATTTTCGGTAAAGTAACCCTTTATCTTCAAAAGATCTGCTGAATCCTCTTGTAGTTTCATCTTTCCGGTTACAACCAACTCAATCCAAAACCTTGGTTCTTGGTTGCAAACATTTAGTGGAAGCGCTTTATAAAGCGAACGCGCATGGTCGTTAGCGGGTCCAAAATCTGTTAACTCCGCACAACTCCGGTGCGTAAATTTCCAGCGTACTTTACGAGCGACGTAGTCAGTGCAACTGTTCCTTCATTAAGAGGGTTTATTGGTTTTCGCCACTAGTTAATGAGCACTAATTGCAACCGGTACTCCTGGGGCCGATAAAAGCGAGGGAGGCAGGAAGCCTCCCCTTAAACCAGGCTCCCTGTCCCGGCATGGACCGCTTCGTTTATCCGCCTTACAGCGTTTATCAAAGTTATGGAACCAGCTTTACTCCAAGCCACAACGTGGCCTCGAGGCTACCGCCCAAGCAGAAGCAGCCGAGCTGGAAGCAAAGCAAATGCAGCGGCATCTCCAATCCCTACCGAGGGGTGCTCACGGCCCCTTCCGCGACTCCTCCGGTGACTTCGCCGGATTATTTGGACACTTACAAGCGAGCGCAGCTAAAGGCGCTGCTGTCGCACGTCAGCCCGGGCCTCACCCCGCGGCTCCGTAAAGCCAACACCAAAGAAGTGGGCGTCCAGGTGAACCCGCGGGCGGACGCCGCGGTGCAATGCTCGCTCGGATCCCGGCCGCTCCAGGCCGTCCGACCTCAAAGCCCCGCGGGCCGGATCAACCGGGAGCCACCGCTCCCAGGTTTCTACTCGCCCGTGCTCGGTCGCCGCCTCTTCACTTTGCCCGAAGCGGCGGAGAAACCGAAGGCGCACCCTGAAGGGCCGGCTTCGTTTCAGTTCAACCAGGAATCCGAGGAAAAGGGAACGTCCGTAGAGAAAGGGGACGGCGGTGCCGATGAGAAGGCGGGAGCTGAGGACGAGCTGCCGGGGCACGCCGTCGGATACTCTGCCCAGCAGCAGCAGCAGCAGCAAGAGGTCGGAAAAGGAGGCGAGGCTGAGGAAGGCGGGAGTCGCCTCGACGAAGAGGGCAGAAGAACCACCTTCCAGGTGAGCGGCGCGGTGGTTTCCCTCAGACGCTGCGCTCGGTTGGAAAGCTCTCCGCGGCCTCTGGCGGCCGCGCTTTGATGATGGAAGGCGCAGAAGGCGGGAGTTTTTCAAAACGCCTTGGAAGAAACGTGGTGTTAGCTGGAGCCTTGGCTTGCCTGGCTTAGCCCAACCTCTTTAGCGGCTTTAGGATGTGTTTACTTCAACTCGCAGAATTCCCCAGCCGGTTGGGAACTGAATTCTGTGAATTAAAGTAACGGAGGTTGAGAAACGCTGCACTAGCCCACAAGGCCTGACATTTGAACAAACCAGGCAACGTGTATGGCGAACGTGCGAATACAGCCAGGGTGTTATGTTCCTTTGTCACGTTTCTGACGCCCTACCTTCCACCCCAAACACAGGCATGGAGTTTAACAGTATATTCGCACGAGGGGTTGGGATTAAGAATTGTATAGAATCTGGTTAAATACAGACTCTTTTTTTATACTCCCATGGTTCTGGCTTCCCTTTTTTGAGTTTAGTATTTAGGCTTCTGTTTAGTAGCTTTTCTCTCTGGGGTAGTACTGTAATTGTTGTATGGGCAGTGGTGAAATCCAAATTTTTTTACTACCGGTTCTGTGGGCATGGCTTGGTGGGCTTGGTGTGGCTTAGTGGGCATGGCAGGGGAAGGATACTGCAAAATCTCCATTCCCATCCCACTCCAGGAGATGGATATTGCAAAATCTCCATTTCCACCCCACTCTGGGGCCAGCCAGAGATGGTATTTGCTGGTTCTCTGAACTACTCAAAATTTCTGCTACCGGTTTTATTTATTGGTTCAATTTATATGGCGCCCTTCTCCGGAGACTCAGGACGGCTTACAATGCGTTAAGCAATAGCCTTCATACTTTTGTATATACCTGCTTAGTAGGGCTTTTGGCTCCCCCCCAGTGGTGGTCTTTTTTATACAAAGTCAGTTTATTGCCCCCACAATCCGGGTCCTCGTTTTACCTACCTCGAAAGGATGGAAGACTGAGTCAACCTTGAGCCTGGTGAGATTCGAGCTTCCAGTAATTGCAGACAGCTAGTGTTACTTAACAGCACTTAGTCTGCTGCGCCACCAAGGCTCTCCGAACAGCTCAAAAGTTCCACTACCGGTTCTCCTGAATCTGCTGGATTTCACCCGTGTGTGGGGTAACTTCACCTCTGAATGAGAAATGGGTATAAAGTCCTTGAAGGTGTCTAAATAGAATGGATATATTTGGCTGTGGGAGTAGAACAAATCTGTATTTGGCCAGAAATAATTGAATCTTAATATTTGGAGAATGCTTTTTTTCATGCTTGCAGAACAAGGTAAAATATATGGTCAATGGAATGGGAATGTGTGTTGGACTTGGTCTTTGGGTGTTAAGTGAATTTCGTTGTATGGGTAAACTGTATACACGTACAATGACAAAGTTATTATTTTCCTCAAATTTCTGAATTTAAAAACTGCTTTAAATGTTATTTTAGTTAATTAAAGTAAATGTTTATGATTTAAGAATAATCTTGCAAAGCAAATTTAGTATTTACTGTTCATGAACATCTTTCCGTTGCAGTTCTTAGAACAGAAATATGGCTATTTCCATTGCAATGACTGTAAGACCAGATGGGAAAGTGCCTATGTATGGTGCATTTCTGGAACCAATAAGGTATGTTTAAGGGAACATTGGAAAAAAATGCTTCTACTGTTTAAGGTGTAAATTTCAGAAAAGGATTCAGTGTCTGGACTGCCCATTAGAAAATGTAATTGTCTCAAACTTGCAGAATCTTTTTAGGCAGTTTTAATTGAATGAGAGGTGCAAATTTAAAGTGATGCTTTTATTGCAATGCTTACCTGTTAACTATAGTGGTGACCAACTGCAAATGCTGGAAGGCAGCATGTTGTTGGTTCACAGTTCATGATATTCTTCACTTTTTCTTAACATCAGTTATAGTTACATTTTGCTACACAAACTTTTTTTTTTTTTTTTGCTTTGGGTTAAACGGTGCCATGTT